GGGGGGGGGGGGGGGGGGGGACGACTTACCTTGCAGGAAATCTGCGGTCCGCCTTCTCATGCGGGAGTGGATGTATGCCTGGGACGTCGTTAGCGATCGTGTTCAATGCTCGTTGCGTTTCTCGGAGGGGTGAGAGTCCCCGGCTCAACGTACCTTGGATGCCTTGATGTGGTAGTGGAAGTAGTCGCGGAAGGTCTGGATGTGCGAGATGACCTCGGGCATGCGCTGCGGCGTCAGGTGTCGGGGGAAGAGCACTGTTTTACGTTCCCTCGCCATCAGTCATGCTCTGCCAATACGGCAGCAGGCCTGGGCTTCCTCAAAGAAACTCACCAAAGGTGACGTAGCCCATCTCGCCGCCGGCGGGGGCGCCGGCCGCGGCGGACCGCACGCCGGGCACGCCCTGCAGCTCGAGCGGGGGGTCGTGGCGGAAGAGCACCTGGGGCGCGTTCTGGATGGCGCGGCGGCGCGCGTCGACAAACTCCTGGATGAAGACCTTGCCGAAGACGCGGTCCGTCTCCTCGCGGAAGACGGTGCTGAAGATGACGGTCACGCGGTCGTGGCTGGCCTTGACGTAGATGGCCTCCTCCTCGCGGTAGTGCACGGCCATGACCTCGCCGCCCTCGCGGACGCCCTGCGGCGCCTCCTCCGAGGTGTACTTGGAGGCCTCCTCGCGCAGGCGGTAGTGCTCCTCGTAGGCGTGCTCGAAGGGCGCGGCCATGGCGTTGCGCTTGAGCAGGCTGACGGAGCGGACGAGGTCCTCGCGGGCGGACGGGTCGGCGGGCAGGCCGTCGAGGTCGATCTGGATGGAGAAGTCGTAGCCCGGCTCGGGCGGGGAGACGACGAGGCCGCCGTACTCGCGGCGGAGGACCTGCTCGGCGCCGTAGCGGACGAGGTCGGCGTAGCAGCGGATCTGGATGGAGACGAGGATCTTGGACTTGGACTCGGGCGTCGAGATGTGGAATGTCACGCCGTCGAAGTCGGAGACGGTCTGGTCTATGGAGACGGGGGGTGCCCTGGGAAGTTGGGGAGGGTTAGCCATGTTTTGCTGCTCGTGTGTGGGTATGGAGATGGTTGGGAGAGGGGAGGGGATGTGAGGGCGTACCCTGAGAACCTCTCGGTGAGGACCGATTGGATGAGCACATTCTGGTAGTCGAGGAGAAGCATGGCGAGAGGTGAGGTCCCGGGGAGCAGGACCTGTCTTGTCGGAGGGATGTCGTGTGCGAAGGATTGTATCTCGTTGAGAGAGCTGCGATGATGTCGCTGGTTCGGTGGCAGGCGGTGGTGATGGGAGGTGTGTCGTACCTCAGGTAGCTGGGGCTTGGTGGGGCGCATTGAGCCCAGTGCGGGCGGGTTGCTGCTCCCGCTGACGTTGCTTTGGGGCTGGTGTGCAGGTGGTGCCGGTAGCGAATGATTAGTCACCTGACAATACCCCTCTGACACTTGACAAGAACGTGAAAGCGCCCGCCGTGGCTCTTCTTATCTTATCGCACGACGGATGCCCCAAAAAAAAGTTCTAAAGTCGGATTTTGCGCTCCAGCCTCGATTCTCTCCAACTGCGATTGTCGAAGGATAGCAGCAGCTCGAGACCGCCAAGATGGTCAAGTCATATCTGTAAGTTCTAAACAACTTTTCCACTACCTATTAAACCACAGTCTCCCTGATACTGACCAATTTGCAACCTGGCAGAAAATACGAGCACTCCAAGTCCTTCGGTATCGTAACCTCGACCACCTCGAACCTCGTCTGGTCGGCCAAAGAACGGTCCGGGACCGGCGCGGGACAGGCCTACGTTGCCGCAAACGAGGAAGTGCTATGCTGGGACATCAAGAAGGGCGAACTGCTCAGCAGGTGGCGCGATGAGAGGTGCCGCGCGCAGGTCACTGCCATCGCGCAGAGCCAGGTCGACAAGGACGTCTTTGCGGTCGGGTACGACGACGGCAGCATAAGGCTGTGGGATAGCAAGATCTCGACGGCCATTGTCAGCTTCAACGGCCACCGCTCTGCCATTACTGTCCTGGCCTTTGACAGGTCCGGCGTGCGCCTGGCCAGCGGCTCCAAGGACACCGATGTCATCGTCTGGGATCTCGTCGCCGAGACGGGCCAGTTCAAGCTCCGAGGCCACAAGGACCAGGTGACGGGTCTCGAGTTCGTCGAGCCGCAGCCCGAGGTCACCGACGAGGAGTCGGCGCAGGCCATGGTGGTGGACGGAGATGCTTCCGCCGAGGGGTTCCTGCTCACGACGGGCAAGGACTCGTTGATCAAGCTCTGGGACCTGTCGTCGAAGCACTGCATCGAGACGCACGTCTCCCAAACCAATGGAGAGTGCTGGGCTCTGGGTGTATCACCAGACGCCAGCGGCTGCATCACCGCCGGCAATGGCGGAGAGCTCAGAGTGTGGTCACTAGACACTGCTGGCCTTCTGGCCTCTACGCAAAAGGTCGACGTCGCACAGCAGACCCACTTCCTGGAGGCGAGAGGTACGCTGCACAGGCAGGGCAAAGACAGGACGGTCGAGGTCATCTTCCACCCTCGCCTGGATTACTTTGCCGTGCACGGCGTGGAAAAGTCTGTCGAAGTGTGGCGGATGCGGACAGAGGCCGAGATCAAGAAGGCTCTTGCCAGGAAGAGGAGAAGGAGAAGAGAGAAGAACGCCTCCAAAGATGCCAAGGCGAACGGGGACTCCGAGATGCTCGATGGCGAGGAGAAGGAGGACGACGTGTCGCAAGCCGACATCTCTGATGTCTTTGCACAGCACGTCATCGTTAGGACCACTGGCAAGGTCCGGTCTGTAGACTGGGCGCTGGCTCACGGCAACAAAGAGCTCCAGCTGCTTGTCGGCACCACCAACAACCAGCTTGAGCTCTACCATATCACCACAAAGGACAAGGTTGCGAAGGCGAGAAAAGAGGACACTCCTGACTACTCAAGGGCGTTAGGGGTGGAGCTGCCTGGTCACCGGGCAGACATCCGGGCGCTGGCCCTCAGCTCGGATGACCGCATGCTTGCCTCGGCCGCGAACGGCAGCTTGAAGATCTGGAACGTCCGGACGCAAGCCTGCATCAGGACGTTCGAGTGCGGCTACGCGTTGTGCTGCGCATTCCTTCCGGGCGACAAGGTAGTTGTTGTCGGAACCAAGAGCGGCGAGCTCGAGTTGTTTGACGTGGCATCTGCCGCGCTGCTGGAGAGCGTCACCGCTCATGAGGGAGCCATCTGGTCCCTGCAGGTGCACCCGGATGGTCGGTCTGTCGTGACTGGCAGTGCCGACATGACGGCCAAGTTTTGGGACTTTAAGATCGTTCAAGAGGCAGTTCTTGGGACGACGAGGACAACACCCAAATTGAAGCTTGTCCAGACCAAGATCCTCAAGGTCGCAGACGATATCCTCAGCTTGAAGTTCTCGCCGGATGCCAAGCTTCTGGCTGTCTCGTTGCTCGACAGCACGGTCAAGGTGTTCTTTACGGACTCGCTGAAGCTCTACCTGAATCTCTACGGACACAAGCTTCCGGTCCTGAGCATGGACATCTCCTACGACAGCAAGCTCATCATCACCAGCTCGGCAGACAAGAATGTCAAGATCTGGGGCTTGGACTTTGGCGACTGCCACAAGTCGCTCTTTGCCCACCAAGACAGTATTCTTCAGGTCGGGTTCGTCACCCACAACAGCGAAGGTAATGGCCATCACTTCTTCAGCGCCAGCAAGGACAAGTCTATCAAGTACTGGGACGGCGACAAGTTTGAGCAGATCCAGCGCCTAGACGGTCACCACGGTGAGATCTGGGCGCTCGCTATGAGCCATAGCGGTACTTTCTTTGTCAGTGCCAGCCACGACAAGAGCATCCGGGTCTGGGAGGAGACGGATGAGCAGATCTTCCTCGAGGAAGAGAGGGAGAAGGAAATCGAGGAGCTGTACGAAAGTACCCTCACCACATCACTGGAGCAGGATCCAGATGAGGCAGACGAGAACGGAGAGATCGGAGCTGCCAGCAAACAGACGGTAGAGACCTTGATGGCCGGAGAAAGGATCGTCGAGGCTCTCGAGTTGGGCATCGCCGACCTCAACGTCGTCAAGGAGTGGGAGGAGGCCAAGCTGACGCAGCCCAACATCGCCCCGCCGCAGCGCAACCCGCTGTTCATGGCGCTGGGCAACATCAGCGCCGAGCAGCACGTGCTGAACGTGCTGCAGAAGATCAAGGCCTCGGCGCTGCACGACGCGCTGCTGGTGCTGCCGTTCGCCTCGGTGCCCATGCTCTTCACCTTCCTCAACATCTTTGCGCTGCGGTCCATGAACGTGCCGCTGACGTGCCGCATCCTCTTCTTCATGCTCAAGACGCACCACCGGCAGGTCGTGGCGAGCAAGACGATGCGCGGGATGCTCGACGGCATCCGGACGAACCTGCGGGCGGCGCTGAAGCGGCAGAAGGACGAGATGGGGTTCAACATCGCGGCGCTCAAGATTGTGGGCATGCAGGTCGCGGACCAGAGCATCAGGGACTACATTGACGATGCGGAGGCGCAGGGGGCGGAGAGGGAGGACCGCCTCGTGAAGAAGAGGGCGTTTGTGCAGGTCTCGTGAGGAACGAGAGGGAGTGGGAGGAGACATGTGGGATGATATAGAATAATACCCAAAAATGGCATCTCGGAGTTGGATTACATCTACATGCATTTTAACGGTTATGTGACTTGATATGTGTTGTGTCGGAGAGATGCTGTAGCTGCTGAGATGTGCATTTAATTGGCCAATTGTAGTGGCTCCATCAGCGATCATCCTCAAATTCTAGTGGGTTCTCAACTTCATTCTCCGACCTCCCAACGCCTTTTGATCACACGGACACTTGCTAGGAAGTGCGCTCGCATCAGTGCCCTCCGGCATCCCAAATACATCGAGAATGCCTTGAACTTCTCAAATTTGTTTTTATTTCCGTCCGATAACAGCCCGCAAGAGGCACCCGGGCGCAGCGGTGATGGCAGGACGAGATGCTACCTCATCAGCATCGTCCAGCAGCGACGAAATCCACATCTACGCGGAGCTGCTCCCGAACCTGCGCCAGCTGTCCCTGGCCGTGACCTTGCCCTCTCCCGCGGACGGCTCTACCCAGGCGGGCCTGTTGCTCGGCGATGCCGATAGCGACAGCAAGGCTCGCCTGCGCGTCACGCACGGCGACGCGGCCCGTGAGATCGCCCTGCCGGGCAGGCCGTCGCAGCTGGCGCGCCTGTCGCCGCCGCAGAAGGGCAGTCTGTCCCTGGCGTGGCGCGTGCCCCTGGCGCAGCAAGGACGCGGCGCCGGCACCCCCGCTCGTGGTGGTAACAGTAATGATGCGGCGGCGCCGTGGTCGGCGCCGGAGCTGGTGCCGGGTGGCGCGGTGCGGTGCAGGCGGTGCAGAGCGGCGGGGGCGGTAGTGGCCCCGGGCAAGGTAGGGGCGTGGAAGGACCTGCCTAGTGAGAACTGGGCGGAGATGATGGAGTTTTGGCACTGCCATAAGCCGGACCATCATCACGGGCATGGACATGGTCAGGGGGAGACCCATGTGGCGACCTCAGCGGCGGCCACGAACGGCGAGGGGGAGAGGGAAACTGAGGAGCGGCTCGCGGTGAAGAAGGGGTATGGCGCGGCATCGGCCATACGTGCGCAGGCGGGGACTGGGTTCGTGGACTTGATGGGGCTGTTGTTTGCGGAGGAGGACTGTGGAGGGATCACGGTAAGAAAACGTTTTGACTTTTGTCTTACGGGGTATAAAAGAAGGCGGCCAGGCCTCGTGTCTCCCAGCAGACTCTTCAGTGGCCTGGTCACCGATACAAATGCCCCAGAGCAATCGAACTGATGCCTCATCCAAACTGCGGGGAGAGCCGGCACTTCATCTTGTTTCGCAAGAAGCGAGAGAAATGTTGGCGCGTCCTTGCGGGAGGCTTCTAACTCTCGCATTTTCACCGATCTGGCCTAGAGTCTATGGGCGTGTCGGGATTACTCGAGGCACATTCATACCTTTCTTTTAATTGTCATGCTTTTATACGTGTCCATGACACTTGCCAGGCCCGGCGATCTAACAAGAGATTCAGTACTCCCAGACCACCTTTGAAGAAGGGTCAACGGAAAGATCGCAGCTCTCGAGGCAGCCTGACGGCGTGCGCAACCTCAGCGTGTTCTGCTCGTCGTGCCAGACACAGCTAGGCCACTTCAGCTTCCGGACGATGGGCATCACCCTGTTCAAGTGGCGGGTCGACGTCGAGACCAGCTCTACGGTGTCTACGGCCACCCCAGCGGCTTCGCCTACTATCGCTCACTCTCTGTCGGCAAACCTCGTCGCTATGCTGGCGCGGTCTGGGTCGTCCAAATCGTTGATCATGCCTCTGACCTCGGATGGCTCGGCCGCTGCCGGCCCAGAAGCAAAGGCGCTGCACGTGTGGATCCTCAACGCCAACATCGTCTACGCTTCCTCCTCGCGCAGCGGGTCCGTCCCGGCCGTCAAGCTGCTCTACCAGCTCGTCAGCGTCGAGCAGGCGGACAAGATGCTGGAGAGCCTGAACTCGGACGTCCAGGAGGTCAGCCTGCCCGAGGACGCGGTGCGGGAGGTCATTGCCGGGCTGGATGCGAGTAATTGCTTGCTACCGGCCAAGGAGAGGGTATTTAGGGAGTGGCAGGTCGGGCTGTTGGAGAGGTGGGTTGGTCTATGATTCAATGAGTTTTGAGGCCTAGATACCTTATGTATGCCTACAAGATGTAAACAGCCCTGGCAACAAAAGGACAAGGATGGCGTCATCACACTGAGAAGGCGCCGCACTGCAGGTGGTGCTGGTAATAGTCAGTTAGAGATCCTGCAGTCTCTCTTTAATAGAGAATCTGCTTACGCTGAACTCGTTGTCATCGTTCAAGTACCTCCTACCTGGCTTGAGCCCATAAATGGTAGCCCAGATTGCCCTGTCACCTCATACCTAGGTTAATCAGAGTGTGTGGGGAAATTTACCGCCAAACAAGCTCGACCCACCCACTCGCTCAACCAACAACCATCAAGCAACAAACCTCCTCCACCACCACCACCCATCACCTGTTGGGTACTCTCCTTTACAGCGAGTAGTACCTAGTTACTCGATTCAGTGCTGACGCTGGCTGGCAAGTTCCGCTTGTGATGCAGCCCTAACTTTCTTCTCCCTCCGACGACTCTGCCACTTTGCCCAATCGACCTGGAGATTTGACTGCTTTTACGAGGCGTTGGGAGGCTTGCGTATCATCATTGACAGCAGGATCTGTTTCTCCCTTTCCTTCTCGATGCTCTTTGTCTCGTTTTTCATCGAACATCACCCATTTCACACCGGCACCCGTTGAGAGCATGTTCACCTGTCGCCGCTCGTGACCATGGCCCGAGAAGCTCCCGAAGCTACGATATTCTCCGCGACGTATTCGCCGCCACCCGGCCACGGCCACAGCATGGCTGCCGACGTAGTTTCGCTATTCCACGACGACGACAAGCCCGCCCTCTGCGACCGGACCTTGTTCCGCGAGAAGGGGCCTTCCAATACCACGACGACTAGCGGTCTGGACTCGGCCGAGCGCCCTCCGCAAAGCCGGGCGAGCTGCACCATCTCTAGGCTGCTCAAGGGGAAGGAGCGAGAATGGGCTGCTGTTTCTAAGAGGAGCCGGCCACTGACTCTACTCGAGCTTCCCGTCGACGTCCTGCGTCTGGTCGTCAAGGAGGTGCGTTTGGACTCTCCTACTCTCCACTTCACCGCCCCCTCACAGACATCGCTTACGAGCATCGATGCTAACGTCTTTTGGGTACAGGTAACTCATACGAACGACTTGACGGCGCTCGCCCTGACGAATTCGACCCTCTACAACCTCGCCGTTCCCCAGATATACGCCCGCTTCGATATCGTCTGGCCAGACACGCAGACGACAGCCCCCGAGGGCAAGAGCGTCGATGCATTGACATACGGCCTATCAACTCTGTGCCTCGGCAGCACCTTTGCCAAAACTACATATCGTCTGCGGAAACAGGGACTTTTGGATCGTTTTGGACGCGGCGATGTACGGGAGCCAAAGTACGGCGGCGCAGACTACGCCAAATACACGCGCAAGTTCTCGCTCGGAAATGGCCCTCCGGATTGGGTAGCCGAGTACCTGATCACCAAGGAGAGCGGCAAGATGCTGGGGACGCTGGTCGCGATGGCCGTGGCCAAGATGGCCAACCTGGAGGCCTTCATGTGGGACATGCCCACGGGCGTCTTGTCAGACATCTTCATGTCCCTGGCGTCGCTGCCGGACCTTCACCCCAACGGCGAGTGCAAGCTGGACAGGTTATGGATCCGGTGGCACGACAACAATGAGCTTAATATCCCCTCCAGTTCGACGACGAACCTGGTCACGACGGTCCAGCAACAAGCCGTGGTTCCACTAGGAAGCACTCTCACCCCTATCGGCATCCTGCTGCCCAGCAACGCCAGCCATCCGAAGCCGCGGGCCAAGATCCCCTACTCCGAAAGCCACGTCGAGTTTCCGACGTTTAGTGTCGTACCCCCTGTCAGCAGTTTGACAGTATTAGATGTCGATGAGCTGTCCTACCTGGATGAGATGTCTATCCTGATAGAGCGGTCAAAAGACCGGTTGAAGGAGCTCAGGATCGGTGTTTCTGCCAAGGCGATGCACAAGGACTTCGTGCAGACTTGGGACGGTGCCGACCTCGAGCAGATCGATCACGATGCGCGTTGGCCGGGAGAGAGCACAATAGGGGAACGCCGGCTGGGAGGTGTTCTGGGAGTGCTGGTGGGGAGAATATACGACATTCGGCGAAAGGTCAATACTAAACCCAGGGGAACGGTGGCAGCAGATTCCGAAGCTCCGCCATCGGGGACGCACGCTCATGAGCAGACTCATGGCAGTGATGATGGAGCTTCCGACGGCATGACTGACAACGTCGATGGTCACGTCTCCATGCAGCGGACAGCCCTCGACAACCCTGAGAACCAGACCTCGAGACAGTCTGTTGATCTCAAGCAGCTCAAGACACCCAATTCCACACTGAGGAGGACGTCTGAGGATGCAGCCGAGACCACTGGCCGCCGGAGGCTTGAGGGTAAGCTCAGACTTGAGACGCTCGAGATGGAGCGGATCAACTTGTCGATTCAAGTCTGTTGCAAAGCACTCGACTGGACCACGTTGACCAACCTGACCATCCTGGACTGCTCACAGCACGAAAATCTCTGGAAGCTGCTGAGGCGGCACTTTGCCCCCACCCCCATGTCCGGAGGTTATGGTATCTCTACCTCTCCCGCCAAGCATAATCCCAATGCGCCAATGCACTACCACATGGCTCTCAAGCGGATTCATGTAGATGTTACTTCGCCGAGCTTGATCACATTCATCAAGGAGACATTGGCTCCTAATTCACTCGAGGTCTTGTTCCTGCAGGACCGGCGCCGGGCTCCCGGACCACCTCCGGTCAGAATCGAGGCGATATTCAAAGGCGCCCTGAAGCGCCATCGTGGGAGTCTGCAGAAGCTCCTGCTGGATAGCTCTACGAGACCCAACGCGAGCAACGCCGCCGTGCCAGAAAATACCCGCTGGAAGCAGTGGGCTCTGTCGACGCGCGTGCTCCTCTACATCACCAGCGGCCGGATGACTAGCCTACGCGAGCTGTCCGTGTCGCTGTACTATAGAGACTGGGTATGTCATTGCTGTTGTATGGATCTCCAGTGATGCCTTTTGTTCGCTAACATGATATTGATATTAAGCATACTTTCTTGCAACGATTGCCCAATATCCCGCAGCTTAGGTCGCTGCATATTCCGCATATGGCAGAGCACCCCGTCGGTACGTCGGATCCCCGCGACCTCGGCCTCCAGATCTCCAATATCATCACCCTCCGCCCGGAGATCCAGCTCTGCTACGTCGGCATCTTGTCCAAGTGCTTCGAGATCCTGGAGAGCTCTGGCAAAGACGCACAGAGCGGCGCCGTCGGCTTGGACGGCAACGGCGGCGGCGGCGGCGGCGCCCACAGCCACGGGGACGACGGCAACTCCATGGTGGAGATCATCGAGGGCACGGATGCAGAGGAGACTTCCGAGGATGACGATGACGACGATGACGACGACGAAGAAGAAGAAGATGACGACGACGACGACGTGGCGACGGACAGCGACACCGAGGACGCGAATGCGCCGGCGACGGGCCTCAGCGCGGCGGACCCGGGTGTCATGGAGGACCTGGGCCACTCGGGTGACTCGGACGCCGCCGAGTCGGAGGAGGATGATGAGGATGATGACGACAACGATTCCTTTGTCGAGGCCGACCGCTTGGCGAGGCCGAAGCTGCGGCTGAGGGAGATACTCTTTTACGATGACAAGGTTGCGATTTTCAAGGCTCGGCACGGCAGACTTTGAAAGGTGGACTCGGAGAGTGAATCTAGCCAGATGGATGGTCGGTTCATAGACTGAAAGGGAGGTTGAAGGATGTTTGAGAACTGGGATCTATGCATCCCCGGATATGGGAAGCTCGTCCGTTGCTGGTTGCAGCCTTGTGCACAGCATGTTGCTGGGCTTTTTTATTTTTGCAGAGGAGGAACATGATGGCAATGGTAGCGGGTAGTCTACCATTGAGATTTTGAGAGTGTGTACAATCAACCGAAATATACCCCCGAGACATGAGCCTGTCGTACTAGGAGGCAGGCAGGGAAATAGAGAATGCGATGGTTTTCACTACCTTTCCAGAAGGGTTTGCAAGCTGCTCTATTCCTTTGGGTCCAAAGTCTGTAAACAAGCTCCAGCGTTTACTCCGTTGGGAAACTCTTGAAGTTGCGATGGCCTTCATCTCAGAGTGATTGCATGCCTCGAGCCGTCCCGTGGTGACCGGATGTCCCACAGAATCTTCACGACCGCATGCTGGGGGATGGAGGGAGACCAGGACGAGTCTCGGATCAAAGACCTGATACCCAGCTGCCATCTTGTCCTAGACCTGTTAGACCTGCGGGTCGTGAAAGCAACAGTCAGGGCCAACGTCCCCTAGACTGGCTCCGGATCTAGTAAGATCTATACGTAGTGAGGAGAGGGAGTGGTGAGACTCTACTCTACTTCTTTGCCCATGATATCCTGAATCAGCGTTGTTGTTTACGACGGGCTAATCTCCCACCAACTGGCTCCTGGAAAGGGCGGCAGTGCCTGATACATCTTGCCCCCCAGACCTCGGGGAATTACATCAAGAAGCAGGGGGCGGAGGGGGGGCGCGTCGTCTACAGCAGTACACGATCCAGGTGCATCGGTCTCCTCTACAGAGGGTCGAGTCATAGAGTGGAACGCTTTCTCCTCCTCTAGTGAGATGAGACAGTGGTCAGAAGAACAGTCATCGAGCTTCATGCCGTCTTCGTCAAGTGCGCCCTCCCCCCGCCCCCTGATGAAGATCAACCCACAAACTAGCTCTCGCCGTCACAAATGCCCTCTCAGCACCGCCCAAACCGACTCATCGCACCCGCATCAGCCCTTTCATACGAGACCTTGCCTCGTTCACGGTCCAGTCATAACCCCGTTGGGCGTTCCCTTCGCAGGTCATGGTCCGAACCCTCCTCCGGGCCGCAACCACACACTCCCCACCCAAGGTGACAAGCAAAGACCCTCGCAGGTGGCGCCCAGTGCAACCCGATCGCGAAGCCAACCATCTTGGGAAGACGCGGGAGAGTCGTTTAAAGATCTGGTCGTCTGCCCGGGCGTATTACGTGAGCAACGTTAATGGCTAAGACATTCGCTTTATGAGCTGTCCGAGCCCTGGTCAACCCACGATCCCGGAGTGCAACTTATGTGGTGTGGTGCCCCCCTTTCTTCATGTACGGGTCTTGTGTGTCGACGGTGGCTTACGGGGAAACGCTGGCACTCAAAACTGGATTTGGGCATACGATCGGTAGCGACCGGTGTGTGAATCAGTAGCGGGCAGACCGAGGAAGAAAACGTGCAAGTTTCAGGCAAGGTAGGTAGGTAGAGCCGAGAGAGTTAGGTCCTCGACGGGACCATTTTGGGATGACTATTTGTAGAACCAGGCACCAGGGGGTCCTCCTCGCCTTGACTTTGCCTTCCTCTTGCTTCGACCAGGGGGGGAGGGTGTCGTGAATGACTCCCGGCAGACGGCAAAAGACAGGTTATCTATCAACCAACGAGCGAGCTTACTGCTCCTTCGGACACTCTGTCCATGACGGCTGAGATAATCGGCCCACGATCGTCAGCACCCTACTTTCATCGGGGAGGGGGCGCATCTCACCTCGTATGCAAAGGCGATCTCGTTAGACGATGTGTGGCGCCGTAGGTTGCTTCTCGAATGTTTCACGTCGGCCGCTGATACAGCGCTTTCTGATGTGATGTGTGTCCAGAGCGTTGGGTTGCGTTGACTAAGACAAGTGTGTGCCGCATTCTGCATGAGCCACTGTCGAAAATGGTGCTAAATCGGGGCAGTGTGGCTGGATGCGTCATGACGATCAGCTGGGCTGATGTGGAAGCCTACGTGTCCGTACTAATTGCCCCATCGGGCCTCTACATCCTCGACAGCCTCCAAATAACACAGATGACGACGAAAGGCATTCAGCGATTGTCGTGTGCTGGGAGGCCCGATGACCTCCGGCTGTCACGGAGGGTATCCACTCATTTTGGTCCCCGATCCCGATCCGGGCCGGGATGGGGGACGAAGCGAAACTCGCTGAAGGCCCCCCCCAACGCCTGGGAATGAAAAACGAGAGGACGCGTGGGGGGCTTACGTCAAAGCCTTGAGGTCCTCTCACCACTTCCCGGTCTCGGAGATGACATGAAGTCCGAGGTTCTCTTTCTCCAGAGTCTCTGATCGTTTGTCTTACACTCGTACAGGGAGCCCGCGGCTTCCAGGCAAGGAGACACAAGCCGGACGCTCGTCAGAGTCGCTTTAGAGTTCTACAGCCCCTCCTCACACCGCCGGTTCCGGGGATTCCCATGTGGATGCAATGCGACATGGCTGGTTCGTGCTTACGCGGGGTGATCGACGTGCAATGCGTCACGGAGATAACATCATGGCTTGCAGGGCTTTGCAGGTGCGCATGAGGTCAGGTTACGCAGAAGCAGACATGGCTTCCGGGGTTGGGGGCCGGGGAAACACCACTCAGCCTGGTGACGAACACCGCCTCGACCAATAAGAGCCGGGTCACCGTCTCAGACAGGAAATAATGTCAATCAAGAAAATCCTCCGGTCGGGGTCCTTGCAATTGGTGCTCAGACGCCCTCTTCCTTGTCGACAGGGCGGATGAGCCGCCGGCCGTATTGCCGCAATCGAGCTGGGCGCCCGAGGAGGCGCGGGCATCAAGTCGCTTAACTTTACTGTTTTCCCACTGCTGACCCGTTCGAGTAAATGCCCCAATCGAGGCAAGCTCTGGTGCAGGAGAAAGCGACAGCGAGCCGCTCCCACGGTCCTCCCCGCCATGGGATTTTGACGGAATGGCGCTGCCTCTCTGCCGGGGATGTTGCGCAATTCGGAAAACAATCAGACCGCCCAGTGGGATGGAGAAGGTCAGCCAGTTCGTTTTGGCTGGCTGCTATCTTAACGCAGCAACAAGCGGCTTTCTCTCTGCTCTTCTGCCCCGCGATTCTAATACCTATCACTTTTGAGGGCTGGTGCAATGTGCCTCGTCGTTCATCGCATATAAGCCAATGTGTGTACTCCGTAGGCCAGCGTGCCGTGCCGCCCAGGGTGCGTGGCGCAGCGCAGGCTCAGATGGCCCCTTGTTAGTTGTCACCATCGCAGAAGTACCGGTCTGCCGCGCGCGAGCGCAAAACATCTCGCTAGGCAGAAGGATTCTCTGCGCTGTTGGGTGCGTGGCTCTCTCAGGCGGGCCCGGCGTTTTGACAGAACCGTCTGTTGAGGTGGGGAGGATCTGTGATGCGAATGCGACTCACCTTTCAACTGTGGCCGGAGTAGACACCACCCACCACACCCACACACCCACACACCCCTGCCGGCCCATGTCATGGCAGGGTGCGGGAAGGATTTTGCCTCGAAACTTTAGCTTCGCTCGACAGCTGCCGCTGCCAGTGCACATCCGACGCTACCGGCCTTGCCAGCCTTATGGGGTATCAAAGCCTGGGTAGCAGGAGGATTCGACCACGGCGTGCGCTGCCTCGTTTAGGTAAGCAACCCCGGAAGACACGAGAGGGCATATCAACGGAAGGCGACGAAAGTGAACCATGACTCCGGAATCCGTCTGTGAGACCCGTTGTGCGTCCGATCGTTCCGGGGTGGGGTTCGCTGCGTTCCGTTCCGGTGTCATCCTGTCTCTCGGTCTGATAACCCTCTTTGGTGTCGTTCGTCATGCGGTGAGGCGGTGAAAGGTGTGAGACGATATCCATAGTATTTACGCTTGTTCGCATGTCAATTACAGCATCCCGGTCATGCCAGATTGTTAAGCTGGCAAGGAGTTAGCTGCGCTGGGCGGGATACGACCATGATTTGTCACGGATGCCGTCTTGCTCGCTCAACCCACAAGCAAGGGTAAGTGCTGATCGGGGACTTCGGATGGAAATACCTCTAGAACATGACAGCCATGCATGCAGAGCTGACGTCAAGCCCTATGTAGCTTCAACATTGAATGGCATTCTTGCAGAGTCCAAAGCCATTCGATTTGTTCAACAGAACAAGCACATGGCGGAATTGAAATTCTGACAAGCCACCGCCAGATAGCAAGTCTTAGTACAGGTCGTCAGACGACCAGATTCGATCACATTTGCTGCTCACAGGAACAATGTCCACTGATACTGATAGAGCCCAAGATCTGGGCTGGATTGTCACTCAGCGGCAAGGAACCGTGCCGTGAATGACGCGGGCAGGATGCGGCCAGGATCTGTTGCATCACTCCGTCAAATCGATGTGATGTAGTTGCACAGTGCGTGAACAGGTCTTGAGAAGCTGGCGCACCTCATGTAGTATTAGAGCTCTGTTCCTTGCAATGTAGTAGATCTTTCGTCCATGATCACTTTTCCTCTCGTCTTTTTCTCGTCTTTTCGTCGGCATCCGAAAAGATCGCGGCCTTGCCTGTGCAACCCTGGTCGTTTGGGGAACGATAGGGCTGCGCCCGCGCGGATTCCATGTGGGGATTTCTGCACGTCCTTGACGGTTTGGTGTGGTGGAGTGGTTGGGTTAGGTACAAGTAGGCTCGTACGGTAGGTAGCTTAGGTGAGCTCGATGGGGCATCTGCGCCAATAAGCCTCATTCGGAAAATCTCCCGAGCTCGAAGGTCTTCGTCTTGGTTTCAAAATGTGAGCGTGGAGCAGACCGTCGGGCACGTTTGAATCAAGACAAAGTTTCCGGTTGGTCCTTTCGTACCTGCGCCAAGCAAGGCCAAAGACCGCCATGATGCCCTTGTCCTCGGAAGCTTACCCTGCCGGGCTTGGGCTGCCAGCCTTGTACGCTTGCAGAATAGCGATGCTTGAAGTCTTGCTTGTAGTGCACTAGCTTTCCCATAATTGATCATAGTGTCGGTGAAGAGCGTCGATGCCGGGCGATGGTAGCACACACCCGTCGCCGGGCGAAAAGCCGCCACCGGCTTTAATAAATTGCGCCGTGTCTCCGGCTGCCAGGTTGACGGCCGTAAGCGCACGGCCATAAGGGGAGAAGCGGACGGACCAAACAGAGCTCCGCAGCGTTGCAAGAAGGTGCTTATTTCGTGAGATTGTCCATTTCCCAACGAAATGTCTTCGTCAGAGACAAGCTGCACAGTAACCCTACACCATCGGAGCTAGCCTGGATATGTGGTGAATCCGTCCCCCCCCCCCAGGGAGGAGTACCTGGTTAAAGCTTGCCATGTCATCACCATTGGATCAGGGCCAGGGCGGCCGCTTGCTGACAGACCCGAGCGCGCTATGAGTTGGCAGTGTTGTAGGCAGGGCTAGGCCCAGCGCAGAAGAAGCACTTTACTGCTCTGTAAGCCCAGGGCTTGGGCGGCGGTAGACATCAGCATAATCGAGCAATAACCGCATCGTGGCTGTGGATGGCCTGGCTTTTGGCGGTAGCGGCGTAGCTAGTTGGACGGGCTAAATCGGCCGCATTGAACTACGGCACCGTCTGGACAAGCTGCGTGGTAATCTGCGCCGGTGCTAGAGACTGATGATTCTGACAGCTTGGAGAATTTCGCATTTTGGCGAACACCAACGCTCCAAGAGGGCGGGTAGGAGCGGTGGTATAGCCACAAAACAGTGCCTGAGAGGCGCATGTGGTTGTTCGTCCAAGCATGCCCCGGTCAATTGGACAAAATAGGCGCGTGGCCAACCACCGCTGCAAGTCCTGCACCCTGTTCGACCCCAAAGATGACCTGGATGGAGAGTCGTGGCCTTGACTGACTGGCCTGCGTGCAAACCCCGCCGAGGGCTGTGAGAAGATGCAATTGTTGCAAGCGCTGTGCAATGTTGCCTTGCTTTTCCTTAGCATATCATCAGACACACGAGGCCACGGTCGGCGACCCGAGCGAACTGGGAATGACAGGTCGGCGATCTTGTGTCCCCTCGCTGCCGTGTCGCTCACGCACAGTCAATCCATGCTCGCGGATGTGCTCTATTCAAGGGTCGTCCAGTGTGGGGGGTTGCTGACGACACCATCGTCTTTGGGGGCAGAGGCAAACGATCTTGTCGATGCAAAACCTCCGGATAGCATACATGTAATCGCGGATGGGTGTGTTGACTACCGCGGCGGTCAATCGGTACTGGGAAGCCACCGCGAGCGTGATTTGCTACGTAAGCTGCAAACTTGGCAACTTGGTCAGCGGAGCTCCGCCCGGCTGCCAGCGTTTGTCAGAGAAGCTCTGAGAAGTTGAAGAAGCGGCGGTTGCATGCGGCACGGTTGTTTTGGGGGACGCGTATCCTATTTCGAGGCGACATGCCGCCGAGCAAACGAAGTCGCCTGCCCCTCCTCACACCGAAGCTGCGATGCTGTTTGCCAAGTTGGCGGTCTTGTTTTCGGAGACGCCAGGGCACCCGAAGGGACCGAACAGAGACCGACCGACTGTGACTCTGGCGATCTTCCTCGACCAGGCGCAGGATTGCCGCTTAATAATAACGGCGGCGGACATGTACTCGGGCTGTTTGGACAGCAATCAGAGGGTGCTGATGACTCTGGCTAGTCGTGTTTCTGGAGACTCGAAACCAGGCTAGGCAGGGTGCAATGCAAGAGGCACTGCCTGTATTTAATTAGGTAACTTTTTAAACTAGATCGTGGAAGGTACCGAGCTCTGGAGCTGTGCCGTTCTTTGAAGAGGAAGTAGCTAATAAGGTAGGTAGCTACAGACCGCAGGGCAGGTACTACGCGCAGCGCAGTGGAATGTCCTTTCCCTTTTCCAGATCAGATCAAATGGATCACGATCGACCCCAACTCTGAGGGTAATCATCATCGCCATCCTGAAACATTGCTTGTCTGTGACTACATCATCTACCTGCATATGGAAAGTACTTTACATTCACGAGGCGAACGAGCTGCTAAATCCGTGGAGAGACCGGGCCGGGATCAGGGTTACAGAATCATTTCTTACCAAGGCAATTGCAGTGGAGAAGATTCTTTGACATGTTGCAAATCCCGGATGCAAAAAAATCAGACGAACAGCGAACAGCGAGCCAGGGGAAAGCCGGGCGTTCCAGCTGGCATGCACCCACAAGGCAGCGTTGGAATTAACTGCTCAACCATCAACGGTACGCTAACGTCGACGCAGAGTCGATCCGCCACTTGGGGAAAAGCGAGCTTGTTTTGACACTCTCGCTCTCTGCATCGCTTTTCGCCGTCTCGCTCTCTCTCTCGCACTCCCCACAGACGCTAATGCCACCCGCGTCAGAGCTGCTTGTCTCATAGCTAATAGCTAACATGATTGATCAGTCATCTTTACACATGCCCGAGGTCCTTGGGCATCTATTCATTGACCTTGATATCTTGCGAGCATCTCCGCCAAGCTTGGAGAGTTCCACTTGGAGACGTTACGGTTGCACCTTGCAGAGCTTCCCGTCCGGCATCGTCTCCCACGCCGCAAGCAAACACCACCCCCGATCTTCCCAGCCCCTGCCATCAATGTGCCCCTCGATCTGCACGGTTCTTGTGACCAAGCAGGTAGGGTCTGCAGCGACCCTTTGTTTCAATCGCCATTGGGAAAGCAGAACCTATTTCGGCAGCCCGTCGTTTCAAAAATATCATGTTTCCGAGCCAGCCTGTCTGTCTTCGAGAATGGCCCGAGCTTCCTCGGGCCCGACAGCTAGGGCGGTCACACTAATAAGCATGCTTGCAGAGCTTCAACGGTTGTCTCCGACCCGCCCTGTTGTCTCTTACACACCACCTGCCTCACCACACACACCACACCAACAAACCACTCACACCTCGTTCCAGTCCCAGGGACAACGTTGGCCGCGAGAACGTTGGCCTGCTGCATACATAGCCATCTACCCCAGCATCCCGCGCAGATCCAGCCAGGCGTTCCCTACCGAACGAGAAGCCAGCCGTGGTCGCACAACTTTGCACGGTTGTGTCGTACAGTTATTAGTGATCATTTCCTGCATCTTGCTATTTATGCGCGACCTCACCACGTTTCCACGTGCCCTGGGATCCATTCATACACCAGCCATGTTCAAGGCCACTCACTCAGTCAGTCACTCACCCTCCCGAAGCGAAGGACGGACGGTGGCAGGCGGTCTTGATCAAGCAAAGTGGAAATATGGGAAATGTTGCAGCCTACGAAGTACAGTACCCTGTCGATCCGCGCCACACTCTACCGACGACAGAGAGTACCCGCCGGGACCAAGCGTCTGGCGCTTTCGTCGGGCATGTCATGTTCCCCGTCTTCTCTAGCGACCGTCTCTTGCTGGCGACCCGCTACTCAGAGACAAACAGGCCACTCCCCGCCGCCAACCTTGCCCGCCAGCCAGCGGGTGTCCACCCCTGGCCCTACCCTAGTGGGCCCAGGACCACTGAATCGAGGTCCCCACAGCAGGGTGACAAGCCCCTTGCTGTAGGGCCACCGTTTACCAAGTCCCAACCTAGCCCACCCTGGTCTCGACACCACTCTCCCCAGCCCTGGCATGCCTGCTCATCTCGAGCCAGGTTGGGACACCAGTCTGGCTTAGGTCCTGTGCTGTCTGCCTGCCCATCAACAAAGTCTCTGGACTGTGTCTTGGACACTGTCCCAACCGCTTGCAGGGTACTCTCGGCCGCAATCACTTTGCACTTCTCTGGGACGTCGTCTGTCAGTGGTAGTACACACCCATCCCCACCAACGCTTCCCAATCTCACCCCCCCTTTTCACACAACTCTCATCTCCCGCCGCCTTTTGATTCCCCTTCTTACCGTGCCCACTTAGACGCAAGGCCCACGACCTCGCGCTAACGCGGTCCCTCACCCTCGTCTTTCGTTCTCTCTCGCTCTCTCTTGCTTCTTCTCGTTATTCCCTGTCCAGGGTGGATGTACAGATAGAGGTGACTGTGTAGGTACATTGAGTACGTACCTACCTACCGACCTTACCTCCTCGCTCCCTCCTCCCACCATGGGGCCTACTCGGAGTGACGGGCACAAGTGTCCCCCCTGTCAGGCCGCGTCCTGGGTCCTTGTGGGCTTCTGTCCATACCCATGGGCCATGATACACACCTTGAGCTGCCTGTCTCCCTGATCCGTTATCCTTAACGGTAACTAGGTAGGAAAAGGGTAGAGGTGGGCTTGTCCTGGGCTCTCTGGGATCCACCGTAGCACACTGCCTCTCCAAATTTATAAGCGTCCCCGGCCCCAAGGGTTCGACCATGTCGACCCTCTGAGGCTGAGGATGAGCTTAAAGCTTTGTCTTCATTCCAAAGATAGACTCGAGCTACTCTTGTTGTTTCTCGACTTCTCCAACCTCCTACTCAAGGCCAACCGATATTGACAAGCCTCCTCGAAACCCAAACTTCGTCTCCCAGCTTCTTATAAGTCACTGTGTACTTCCACAGTCGTTGCCAAAGACGCCCTTCCCGTGCTCGTCATACCATCGATGACCTCCCGCTGTCTTGACCACGAGTGACGTCTACGTATGTGTGCTCCAGAGTCTCTTGGCTTTCTAGTTCCTTTGTCTCCTCCAATGGACTCGTCATTATCACAAGGTCACGGCCGCGAGGACCCGTACTCACAAGCTCCCAGATCAAGAGCCAACAGCGGTGTATCTACCACCACAACTGAGGGGCTCTTCCAGTCATTACAACTTGTCGACTCCCCCCGGAGCATAGTCTTTGGCTCAAGTAGACCACAATCATCACAGAGCTGGGCCCCGTCCCCCTCGTATATCAGCCCCCATTTCTCTCACACTGCTGCCGTTCTACCAACTTCCGTGTCACAAGCTCCTTCTCCACTACCGCAACCCTTTCCCGACGACTCTTTGAATGCCGAGTGGTTCGATCTCGAATCGACATCAGAAGGCGCTCCCTTCCTGAGGCTAGAAGCAGCAGAGGGCTACCCGCAGACAGCATCGTCATCGCCAGCCCTTTCATCCCACTCAGCAAGCATGAGGTGAGTTTTCTTCTTCCTCTTTCACCGCGGCCGCCGGCCTTTTTCCCTCCCGCGCAAAGTTCCCCAAAGCTCACAGAAGGAAATTCTTCCCGTGGAACTACAGCGCTGTTGCCATCTCCAACTTTGATCCTATGTTCGGTATGGGCAGCAGATCATCATTCCCCTGGCCCGGCATGGAGGGCAGCAGCGGGCTGCTCGGGCACGACCTCTCCTCGTACGGCGCCCCGGACCCCAGCCTGAGCCCCGCCAGCACCTCGCGGTCCATGACGGGCAGCCCGCCGCGCGGGACCCTGACTCCGGAGCAGCGGGAGCTCAAGCGCCAGCGCGACCTGGCGAGGCGGGACTCGAAGGCGGCGACGCGCCTGAGGAGGGCGGGCAGCGCGTCGTACCAGTCGCCGCCGACTACGATCGCCGAGATGGCGCACGGCGCAGCGGCAGGCACCGGCAGCGTGTCCATGTACACTACCACTGCGGCGCCCTCGCAGATGTCACTTCTCACCGAGCCTGTGGCCAGCCACGGTGGTGGTGGCGGCGGCGCCATGGCGCCCCCGCCGTACATGTCGTCGTACTCGCCGCCGCTCGGGACGGCCGCGGACCACCAGGCGGCGGCGGCGGCGGCCATGTTCCAGAACCCGTACCAGCAGACGGCGTACCTGTCTGACTATCCTACCTACCCGGCCGTCACGACGCCGCCTTTGCCGTCGCACTATGGGTAAGTCGAGTGCCACAGAGAGCTGTCTGTGTTTTGCTTGGAGAGACCTAGGTGAGGACTAACAGATTCTACAACTAGTCGCACGCCGTCCATACCCATATCTCAGGACCCGAACTTGATGTACCAGCACCTCGCCAGCCAGGCAGCACCACCACCGCCGCCGCAGTCACACTCACAACAACAACAACAACAACAACAACAACAGCACCACCACCACCACCAACAGCACCAGCAGCAGATGATAGCCAGTGGCGGCGGCGCCGGCGGCGCCGGCCACGACCCCGGGTCGAGCGTGCGGGTCGTGCAGAGCAGGCCCAAGCCGCAGTGCTGGGAGCACGGGTGCAACGGCCGCCAGTTCTCGACGTTTAGCAACCTGCTGCGGCACCAGCGCGAGAAGTCCGGGCAGGCGGCCAAGGCGGTGTGCCCCAACTGCGGCGCCGAGTTCACGCGGACGACGGCGCGGAACGGGCACCTCCAGCACGACAAGTGCAAGCAGCGGAGGGGGTCATAAGTGGCCCCCGAGTGAAGGGGGGGGAACAGCGGGAGTGGGTTTCTGTGGTTTCTTTCATGCAGAGCTGTGTGTGTGGTCTATGGGGTCAAGATGTGACATTCTTCGACAGAGTACGACTTGCTCCAAGAGCAGAAATTTTAAGATGTTGAGTACACAAACGAGACAGCATCTTCCGCATCCACCAGATGGCCGCGTGCTACGAGACGATCACGATGCTTGGGACAGGACAGGAAGAGGGGGAATATGGGTGTTCAGCGTGTGTCTTTGTTTTCCCTTCTTAACGATCTCCATTGCAGTGCGGATACTCTCTTTTGCCTTTGCGTTTATTTTATTTTCACAACGTTTATTTTTTACGGGAGGACTTCTTAGACAGCCAGAGCATACGGAATGGGGAGGGGGCCTGTATATACACCAAAACCCGTGTCTTTCTTTTCTTGTTTTTTTTACTTCTCTCATGAACGCAACTAGGTCCGAAGAGAGAGAGAGAGAGAGAGATGGGGAGGAAGCAAAACAGCAATCTACACAGCTACCTTTTAGGGTGTCTAGAGCAAATGGCAAAGAGCAGTGGACGGGAACAACAAAGGTGTGGCGAGCGGCCGTCCCCCAAGAGGGGAGGAGGAAGGGGGGGGCCGTTACAAAGTCCATATCACAGGGAGAAGTATAGAGAACGAAAGCGAGGAGAACAGAAGAAGAGAATGGGGGGGCGGTCCCAGCGTGTACTTTCGCAGGGAAACCAGAGAAACCCGCCCCCCTTGTTTGTTTCCGATTGTTGCACCTCCAAGTGGTATTCGAGAAGCCTTCGTGATCCTGTGAGAACTTGCCTTGAGGACATTTCAAATACCTGGTCATCCATCCTTAGCCGGCCCCGACTCAGTGCTTTGATCGTCTGACGTTGGCACTGACACGGGTTAAAGAGAAGCGAGGAAGGGAAGGGGGGGGGGCATTTGTCCGTGGAGAACATACTTGTGAGCATTCCACCCCCCGCCCCCCCCCCGGTCTGTTCCGTGGGATAAAAAACTTTGAGCAAAGAAACGTCAACGATCAGTATCGGCAAGGGCAAGGGGGTGGGAAGGTTTGGGAGGGTGTGTGGGTTGTAAAGGAAAGCAACAACACCCTCCCGTTCCCCAGCCAAGGGTTTGGGCTGGGTTATCTAAGACAGGTAGTTCAGTCTTATGGGTGTTGTCATTGGAAACTATATCCATGGATGTCAAGGCACCCAGGCGCCAGGCCGTCCGTGTCCTGGGTTTTCCTGACGCATGCACGTATTGAACCAGCTGGGCTGACCTTGGCTCTCGTCCCTCTGGTTCCGGGGACTGGACCCTGCTGGGAGGGGGAGGAGGAGAGTCAGCTATTCACAGTGAGAAGTGCGATGCAACCCATTTAGGCAGGTCTGTGAGAAAAGCACTCTTTGGGCTTAGGTGAGGAGGTGTGGTGTAAACGAGTGGGAAGCAAGCGAGACGAAACGGAAAAGGGGGACCCTGATGATGACGGTGCCAGCGGGGAGACCAAGACGCTCCGCACAGAAATTCGCCAGCCAAGTAAATGCACCGCAGGCAGGCAAGGTAAGTAAGTAGCCGGCCGGCCGGCCGGCCAGTCCACCGTGCGTGCTTGTTTCTGACACACCCCAGTTTCTTGCATCTACGGAGTAGTACTTTTCTCATGGCTCGCCGCGCGCGTGCGTACCCTAGTTAAAGAACTCAGACCAACCCTTTTCTGGCAAGAAAGGTCATGCATAAACAGGAAAAAGCTAGCGGGAGTACGCCTGCCTGGAGAACACCGCCCGTTTGTCAAGCTTGGAGCTTCGCCTATCTGTCATAGCGTGCGGACTTTCGGCGGCTGTGCGGACTTTGGCGGTCATGATCTTCCCGGGGGTGTGTGCGACTTATACGCACACCGCTGTTCGTAGCCCGTGGAGATGGTGTTGATGTACATGGCTAGTGAAGGACGCAAGCGTGAAGAATCGAAGAGAGACCAGGGCTTGAGCTGTTTTTTCTTCCAGGAACCCTGAAGCGTCCTAACGTTACCTTTGGGACAGACAGCTAGAACCCCGGGCATGGCTGCTGCGCCGGCGGCAAGCTCTACGGCGCGGCAAGGACCCTTGGCTATGTCGTGTTAGATAATCGGTTAAAAGTTCTTTGGTCTGCTGCGCCGCATCAAAAACGGTTTTTGACAGCTTTGCTAGTCCAACGGTCGATTGATTACCCAGAAAGGCAAGTCAACGTAAGTATGAACAGCTCGGGTCCACGCGTGCGCAATAAAAACATGCCATCCACAGCAACAACACGGTGCTCATTAAAGGTAGGTATGCGTGCTTGCCATAACCAGGACGGACGTGGAAGTGGTGGGTGTGTGTCGCTGGCACTTACCAACAACTTTGAAAAAATCCCGAGGTCATTTCGCAAAGGCGCGGTTAAACGCCTCAATGCTTAATGTTTAATGAAACCAACGACAGGGGGGGACACATGTACACAGACAGAAGCCAAGGAAGGGGAAAGACGGGGAGTTACCACTGTCTGGGAGCCGGAGCATTCACTCTGGCGATCTATGGAAGTGGATGTAACTGCAAGCAGGTGCGAGCTTTGACGCCTGAAGCGCCCTGCCGCTCTGTGCAGCCCGGATGAGAATTTGGTGCTGACTGTGTCGAAATTAGCGGTCAACCAGTGGTTTCGGATGGCACCCAAGCCCGGGTAAAGTCCACCATTGCGAGACTGGAGGCGCGCGAGGAGAGGGGGCAGCCACCAGCGAGCGCATCATTCCAAATCTCTTCTAATCGCTTAGACGAGAGAACTCATGACGCGCGCGGCGCGGTGCATGTTTGGTTGCCAACCCTCTGTCAACAGGTATGTCGACTACCATTGAACTCCGTCCAGAGAAGGTTGATACCAACGCCAATCAGTCGGCACAGCCGCCCCGGAAATAGTTGCAACCTTGAACCCAAGCCCTATCATTTACCCAAAAGGGAATCAAGTGGACAACCTTGGAAAGGCCCAACCATACCAGGCCTAGTTAGTGTTGGTACTGACACACCCTGGTAGAGGAAAGGCACCGGTGCCCCGGCATGCTGAGTGGAGGTAGACAGTTGGGCGGGATTGGACGAGCGTGACAGCCTACAGGCTGGTTCTGCCCTACCAAGACCTTGTCGGGCTTGGGCCGCGCTGGGGAAGGGGGAACAACGTGAATCCCTCACGTTTCATCTCATCGCGCGGATCGTCGTGGTGAATTTTGTGAATTGTTACAGGCGCCGGTCCATTGCATGCAGCACTGGAAGCAACCTGGGTCCCCCGTCCCTGTCCTTGGCCCCGTTTCTCACAGGGATTTGCCAGGGCGCCAGACCCTCAAGTCGGAAGCCGGGACGTCGTGCGCTAGTGCGGGCCCAGCGAGAGATCACAGTGGCTTCCGGTGGATTTGCAGGTCGGTGGAGCCGGTGGGCAATCACACACCACACTGTTGGTCCAGGTAACTGAACTGGTCTCTGCCCTGTCTCTCTGGGTAAAGTATGTGCAGAGTGTGATTGCCCAGAAACACCCCATGCAACCCTCTGTAACAGAAGGCAATGGCAAGCGACGCTAACGCGCTGCGCGCGCATCCCGGCCGCCGCGATGCACTCGCGGCCGAACGCAAAACGGAGATGCCTTCGGCGGACCTCTTTCTGGAGGACGGCGCAGATCCCGGCCCACCTTAGGCGACAACCGCAGGCCGGAGTTTGGGGGCCAAGTGAACAGCTCTGCATTGATATGCCAGTGCGGCGGCCGCTTGCTTTTCCTTCTGACTGACGTGATTTGTGGAGACGGGCTGTCGAGGCTGCAGACTTTTTCATAGGCTCGATCGCCAATTTGCCTAGAAATGGTCAACTGCTGGGATGTTTGCAGTTTTTTCGAGTGCCGCGACGAAGATGCAGACGCACCTGCCCCTGATTGGGGCCGCCCTACAGGGCTCAACGTGGGCCATGGCCCTCGATCAGATGGACGATGTACCTAATACGCTCTCGACACGATTTCGGCTGGGAATCCTCTACATCCTTCATGCCGGGTGAGAGGCAGGTCCGGAGCTCGCCTGCCGGAAGCCCTGTCGGGAATTCTTGAAGATGCCGAAGCCCCCAACTCTGCTAGCAGGGTGATCGGAGTGGCGCGCAAAAACGCCCAACCTCGTGTTGCCCCTGTCACTCTGCCTCTCAATCTCTGCGTACGCATGAATGACACCTAGTCGAGAATATTCTGCAGAAAAGTTAGGTAGGCAGGTACTTGTACGTCCAATATTCGGCGGAGGAGGGCGAGGACGGGATGACAAGATGCCGCCACACCCACCTTGCCACATCCGTCCTAGCTGTCAACCTGTCAGGGAGACAAGAAGAGTAGCGTGCCGGCTTTGTTTCAACCCCGCCGAAACAAAAGCTAGTCCCTTGACGTGCCTGACAAGCTTGGGCGAGCTTTGGAGAGCTGTGTGTCTCAGCATAGCGCCTGTTAGTGGGTGGGTTGAGGTGTTCTGTCCGTCTGCGCCCGCTGTCAACTGGCTTCCAGAAAGGTCAAAGCCATTTCTGGCTCGACGTGCCAAGCTCGCCGCTCCTCAGCCTAGCTGTTAGTCTCGGCCTTTCTTTTCTCGAGACAAGGAGCTCCCTTGCCTGGCTCAGCTGTGCTGGTTCATCCGAGATGGCATTGATGATGCAAAATTGGTATGGAGGTGCCCCCCATGTGAGGCATGCGAGGGAACACTCTCCTCTACTTGTAACCAGGCGCGCGCACGCATGTAGATCGACGCCAGAGGGGAAAGGTAAAGGCGGGTGGGTTGTGAGCATGTTTGCTGGTCTCTTACTGTTTTGCTGTGAGGACAGGGAGGTAAACCAAGCGAGCCCGTCTATCACCTGGAGTTAGCCGGAGCAGAAAATGACAATGAAACTCTCGAGGCACTTATTTCATGCACTACAGGCCCAAAATGGAAGGAGAAAGACCACAGTTGCAGTGACGTCAAATCCAGAATACGCGGAAGCCTGGCCCAAACCTCAGGCAGCTGCTCACTCCCGCTGGTGGGCAGGAGCGAAGTACAGCTACAAGTACTTGCTCTATCAGATGGTAAAGTAAACCAAGGAGCCAAGTTGGGAGGAAAGAGGTATGGATGGCTTTGGCGGCCCGCGCCTTGATCCCTGTCTTCATGTTCTTTCTCTCTCTCTCCATACAACCCTCCATGCCTCCACCTCCATCCTGGCCAGCCTCCCACAGTGTGTGGTCTGGGATTCCCAAGCGAACACAGACACAGACAGCCTCGACAGCCCAGAGAACCCAACAACCCCTGAAGTCAATCATTCGCGCGCCCCACAGTCAGCACTTTCCATCATGACTGCCACATCTCTTTTTCTTCTTGGTCTAGTGCTCACCCTCTCTCTCTCTCTCTCATACTCCGTATGTGTCTCCCCTGGAGAAAGCGTTTCTTCACGACGCGTGGGACATTACACACCGCACTCGAGATACCTGTGCGCGAAGCTGGGCGCCACACCCGCGGACACAGAGTCGCGGTGGTCGATCTAGACCTTGTCCATTGCCACTTCAACTTCGGAGCTTATTCGCAGTACCGCACTTGCAAACTCTAATGCCCTGGGCTTGTATCGGCTATGGGCCATCGCAATATCACGTTCTGGAACATCCTAGCCAAAAGCTGTGGGTGTCATTGAGCCAGACCTCTAGTCGCGACCCCTACCACGTCACGTTCACACACAGAGAGACCGGTTTGAGTGCTCGGAAAGTTTGGAGGGCGGGTAGGTCGGTATTGCAAAGGGGTGCTCCTGGTATCGACAAGGTCTTTCGGTTTTCGGTGCCGGCATCTCCGGCAAACTATCTTTCCCAGCGAAGAAACTGGACCATGTGGCTGCCGGGGTCGACCCAACGTCTACTTGTCTACTTGTCTACTTGTCTAGTTACTTGTAGAAGAGTTGCAATGGCTATGGATCAGCAAATCAATGCACTGCCGAATCTGACTTTGAAGAGATGGCGCTGCCTGGCTGATCGACAAACCGTGACGAGTCTCACCCAGGTAGTCCGTACCCGACGGGAGCCGGTCATCGACGCAACCCCTGTTGAGCGGTTTGGATGGTCAAGATGCCACCCGAGTTGGCGATGCTGTTGCAACCCCAGCGCTGCTCTCGCAAAGACACGGCACTAATATGTTGTTTCACTGATAGACTTATTCCTGATCGGTGTTCGCCTCTGTTTTAGGAGGGCCCCAGGGTCGGGACGTGAACTGTGTCGGTCCCGAGGCCTACCGGGTCTAACCTGAGGAAGTCATCCTAAAGATCTAGTGAGTCACGGCAATATCCAGAGCCGCAAAGACGGGGGAGGAATCTGGCACCCGTCTTGACAAGAGATCGAAGCTCGAGAAACACGCTGTGCCGCTTCTAGACTGCGGATCAAGCCATGGATCATCGAGGGGGGTGGTGATGATGCACGCTTCCTTGCGACTGGGGCCGGGGACATGCCCTTTTCTTCCAAAGGCCGAGGCGATCAAGGTTCGCACAAAGGATCACACGAAAGCCCCAGCCCCTTATCTGCATTGCACCCTCTTCCCCCATCGTCACCCCCTACTCCTACATGTGCAGCGGGTGCAAAAGGAGAAGGCGGATCCTTGTGCCCGTCGTTGAACCCGCACTGACAAGAGCACCCCACTCGACAACTGGAGGAGCACTGTCGGCCCAGCCGAGGTACAAGTACTTACAGCGGTGTCCCGCAGGTCGCAGGGCATAGCGTGACAGCTACTTGATCCTCCTGACCAAGAGTGGCGGCCGAGAGCGGAGGCGTACCAGGCTAGGCCCTACGGCCGTAGGTCAAGACCCAGAGCCCTTCTGGCCGACGGCAAACAGGCCACTGGGTTGATATTCCTTAGGGCTGAACAAGGGGCAACTGGGTTTTAAACTTGATACACTGGCTCTGTGTGATGTGTGTGATGAGTCGGAATAGGGATCGCGTAGGATCAGGGAGAGCCGGTGGTCCAGGAGATGCAACCACATCGTATCGATCGACGCCCCGAAACTTCCTGAACACGCCCCTCCTCGAACGGGTCGGGAGCATGAGAGGGCCAGAACACAGAAAAGGGGTCAGAGAAGAGGTGGTACCTAGGCGAATTGCCGGACGTGGACATGTGCGGCCTGAAGCATGTGCTGTCCTGACGGAACATCGCAACGGTGATAGCTAGCGAGAGGCCGAGACGGTGAAAAGGTGCCACGCCACTGGGTGTCGGTCCAGGACTCCACAGCCGAGCACCACGCACAGGCTGGCTGGGCAGTGGGCAAAATGATGATGGACGGGGAGCATCGCGATGGCTGTGCAGTGCAAAAATAGATTTTTATTCCAAGTACAGCCAGTCTCTGAGAGAGCTGTTCAAGAGCGGTGATGATGATGCATGGATGCGATGTCGTCTGTTCAAGGTCACGTCAGTGACGACAGCGATGCGGCCTGTTAGCGCCCTGCGTGCCTGCCCGCCAGATCGCGTCTAGACGGCGCTGTATTGCCTAACCAGGAAGCCACCGCCGAACGCGTCCCGCCCGAAAGCAATCACTGATTCACCAGGGCGGCGTGCGGCGGGCCAAACAAGCGCGTCGTCACATCCACCAAAACCAGACATCGTACTGCGAATCTTGTTACCGCTTGACCACCCGTTTCATCCTCGCTTGCGTGCAAGACAAAGACGGGCGTGGCCATTATTGTTTCCCAACGAGGTTACAATATTTGAACACCCCGGATACGAGCTATTTCCCCAACGAGAAAAAGGTGTCAGGTAAATTGGGGCTTGGGGGGGAAATGAGCGCCGATCGCGTACTCGGCATTTGCTGCAGAGCGAGTTCCGCCAGGTAACTAGCCAGCCAAACCGTTTCCCCAGAACAACACCACCCACCACCCCTGGTCGTCAACAGGACCTTTCTGTCCGCACGCCCGCCCGCCAGTTCCGCGACAGGGCAGGACGCAAACAAACTTCTCCAGCCTGCAGCCTGCAGCCTGCGCCATGTCCGCAGCAGTCGCGCCTTCCAGGTGGAAGAACCAGCGGCGGAGGGTCTTCCACTCGGTCTTCCAGACCGACTTTACCCAGCCCACGCCCTACTCCACACCCTCAGCCAGGTTCCCGGACTTCGGCCAGGCCTTCGGCGGCCCTCACGCCGGCCAGAGCCCGTTTGGCCACCCGCACGCTCCTGGTGATCTGCCCGGCACGCCGCTACAGCGCCCGGGATTTGGCCTCGGCGGGCCCTTCTCGAGCCCGGATGCTCTCAGGTCGCCGTCATCGACACATCCCCATACCGGGGCCTCGGAGATCTGGTCACCGTCCCAGCCGGACCGGCCTCTCCAATCCGAGGGCTTGGCGGACGACCAGGTGCGGTACGACCGTGCGTGGCATATCGTGACCACCCGCATCTCCCTTCCCTCCTCCGTGGCCGCCGAGGACTCGTTCGGGACTCTAGCGCCCGAGTCGCAGTATCAGTCCCAGGGCGCCGGGGCGGAAGCGGACTTCCAAGCTGCCTTGCGGCTCGTCCTCCACGCCAAGACGGCCCTGCCGCGGGCCAGACACACCGAGGACCTCCTCGGCTGGCACATGCAGCAGGTCCGCCGGCACTTTGTGCAGCATGTCCTCCCGATGCTCTCGGCGTGTGCCGGGGCCCAAGCCGGTGCCACCGATTCCACGACGGATGCGAGTCTCCAGGGAGACGTCCGGTTCTACGACAAACACTTGGCCATCGTCATGAGCAGCATCCGCACACTCGAAGCGGCCCTGCGACTTTACTTCTACGGACTCTCGCTGATCCTTCGCGGCCTGCCACCCGGACAAGACTTGGCCGTTGCTACCGAGACGGATGCCTCTCAGGCCGCTGCGGATGCGGTGGCGACGAGTTTCAGGAGGGACATACACGCACTCATAGGAAATTCAACATCTGCCGCCTTGATGCATTCCATCCGCGTCGTGTTCCAGCATCTCATGAGCGCGATCTTGGGCCTGTGCGATGCAGACGGCAACAGGCCTGCTTCAGTTGGGAAGAGGACACAAGAAAAGTCTCGCCCAGCGCCCCCTGACGAGAGAGACTCAAAGATCCAAGCCCTGCGGCGGCGGCTTCACGAGCTGGTCGAGGCGTTGGCCGAGGTCGGGCTAGCTGGCGAACGTTTTGAGATCCTCTTCGCCGAGATGATGGACGCTCTGATGTCGGATTTCGTGACTCTATCATATTCGGGCTTGTGGATCTCTGTTCAGGGCCGCGAGGAGGGCCAGAACGCATTCATGAGGAAGACCAGGAGCGCGACGGCGAGCGCCGGCAGCGGTCTGCCCTCGCCGTGCATCGCTAGCCTGTGCGACTGGATCGAGAACCACTACGCGAGACTGGCCCTCGAGGTCATGGGTCGCATCAGCAAGGGCAGACACGAGGCCGTCTCGTTGTCCCACGTCAAGCAGTGGAAGGAGATCGGCGTCGGGCGGCTGGCGTCGCTCCGCATCTCTGAGCTGTTCGACATTGTCATGCAGTGGCCGGCGAGCAAAGGTGCTCTAGACGACCTGAGGGCCAGTGTGACGACGCCGCAGAGGAGATTGCAGCTGACCAACACCCTATCCGCGACGTTGCAGAGGAAGTTGTTACATCCTGCTCGCTCGACGCTGGAGATCCTACAGGTGTACATTTCGATGATCCGGACGCTCCATGCGCTGGACAATTCCAAAGTCCTTCTGGGCAGGGTGGCCACCTCGCTCCAGCTCTACCTCTGCCAGAGGGAAGATGCCGTGCGCATTGTCGTGACCGGCCTGCTTGCCGATCCCGAGGAGACCAAAGAGAAGAAACAGACGGCGGAGGACCAGGGCGACTCCTCCCAAGAGAAGAAGCCCGACACACTGGTCGAGCTCGCTGTGATACTCAACGACCCGTCACAACAGCGCCGCCAGACGGTCGAGGACGAGGAGCTTGACTGGAACGACATGACGTGGGTGCCGGACCCGGTCGACGCGGGCGTCAACTACAAGCGGCCCAAGTCGGAGGACGTCATCGGCACGCTCATCAGCGCCCTCGGGAGCCAGGACGTGTTCATCAAGGAGTTCCAGAGCATCGTCGCGGAGCGGCTGCTCGCCGCCAAGGGCGACATATCGCAGGAGATCAAGGTGCTCAACCTGCTCAAGAAGCGCTTCGGCGAGGGCGCGCTGCAGCACTGCGAGGTCATGATCAGGGACATACAGGAAGGGCTGCGCGTCGACACCGTCATCAACAGGGTGCAGAAGCTGCAGCGGCGCGGCCTCGCCACGCCGGGGACGCCCGCCATGGCCGGCACGCCACAGGGTGGCGGCGGGCCCGTCACGCCTCAGGGACCGCCGGGTACGCCCCTCCCGGCTGTCCTGCCGCGGGGCGGTGCCCAGCCGGAGGACAACGGTGGCGGCGGAGGCGGCGGGATGGAGTACCACTCGCGCATCCTGTCGCGGCTGTACTGGCCCAACCTCGTCAAGGACACTTTCCTGCTGCCGAACGAGGTCGTGGAGCGGCAGCGGCAGTACGAGGCCGGCTTCGAGCACATGAAGGGCGGGCGCCGGCTCAACTGGCTCAACTACCTCGGGCGCGCGTCGGTCGAGCTCGAGCTCGAGGACCGCACCGTGGCGGCGGACTGCAAGATCTACGAGGCGACCGTCATCTACGCGTTCCAGAACGAGGACGAGGACGGCGGAGAAGGAGGGGATAATGATGATGATGCGACACGCGGCCCGGTGACCAGGTCGGTCGAGGACCTGTACATGCTGCTGCAGATGGACGACGACCTCGTCGCCGCGGCGCTCGAGTTCTGGGCCGGCTTGGGCGTGCTGCGCCGCGTGGAGGGGACGACGTACGCTGTGGTCGAGCGCCTGGGCGAGGCGGGCGAGGCGAGCGCCGCCGCCGCGGGTCCGGAGGGTGCCGACGAGGACGAGGACGAGGAGGCGGCAGCGGGACCCGCGTCGCCGCACAAGTCGGCGGGCCAGGCGGGCAGCTCCGCGGCGGCGGCGGACGCGCGGGACAAGGCGCGGCGGGAGCTGTACTGGAACTTCATCCGGGGGATGCTGACCAACGCGGCGAGCTCGATGCCGCTGGCGCAGATGGCCATGATGATGAAGATGATGATCGCCGAGGGGTTCGCCTGGGGCAACGAGGAGCTGCAGGAGTTCCTCGGGGAGAAGGTCCGGGAGGGGGAGCTCGAGGTCGTGGGGGGGAAGTATAGGCTTGTCAAGAAGTGAGCCATTCGTGGTGTTGTACGATGAACCATGTCTACATATAGAGATACTATGAGAAGGGGGAAAACATCGAGTCCCATGACAATGAGTTTACGGGGTTTCACGTGTCTACGTTGGCTGGCTCTTTGACCAAACCAATACTCTTTTGAAGCCATATAACGAGCATTCACAGACGAATGCCCGCTGAGAAGGGCCCGTGACACCAAAAGATCGCACGGGTCCAAAAAGGGGCATCGTCGCTGTGTTCCGCTGGTGTGCACGGGTGAATACGCGGAAGTGAGAAATACCCACTGGGCGGGCATGTTCACGTTGGTGAATTCACGGATATCATAGGCGGCAAACCGGAGGAGTTTATCACAGTCGCAGTCACAGCTGGAGGAGCATTGAAGTGTTGCCGCTGTGGCGCCCAGCACCGCCATGTTCTAAGCCCCGCTGGCCCCGCGCCATGACGATCCGGGGTCCTTCCTGACGCTGACTAGTTACTGAGCTGAGAACTGTAGCCGCCCGGGAACTCGAACGCGGCCCCTCGAGAGCAATCCCGACGACAGAGCACCCGCCTCCCATTGTACATAGCCAATTTTCGAAGAGGAAGGGCGGTTTTATTTTGGTAGAGTTACCGTTCTCAGCATCCTTGAAAGCAAACATCGCAATTGCTCACGTTCTTTGTTCTACCGAGACCGCAAACTTCCAACTGCCATATATTTGCCCCACCGTCGCGAGATCTCTCTCCCCAGAGACAAGTCTCTCCTCTCCGGTCAGTTGCGATACCGATACCGATCTCGACCTCGACCCTCCCTTACATACGGGGACAGAAGACCACAACAAGACAAAAACGCACATAGGCAAAGAAAGGGGGGAGCACCGCGTGCCAAAAAGATGGGGCTCCGGGACATGCTCAAGAAGAAGGACAAGATCGACGAGGAGGCCGAGCACCACCACCAGCAGCAGCAGCAGCAGAGCCTAGGCCCGCCCGAGTTCACCTTCATCCGCTCCGACACCGTCTCCCAGGAGATCATCCACCCGCCCAGCGACCCGGCGCCGTACCCCGGCGGAAGCAACAGCGGCGAGAAGCCCCCGTCCTCGTCCTCGCACCACCGCGGCGTCTTCGGCCGCGGCTCCCGCTCCCGCAGCGCCTCGGCCTCGTCGGCCGCCTCGTCCCACCAGCAGAGCCAGCACCAGCAGGGCAAGAGCCCGCCCGGCGGCGGCGGCGGCGGCGGCACGCACCGCCGCCTCTCGCAGCGGCTGCACCTGTCGCGCACGCCCTCGAGCTCGAGCCGCGTGCCGCAGGACCTGCCGGACATACCGGCCGAGGCGAGCGCCGCGTCGCCCGCGTCGGCCGCCGACGAGGAGGACAAGGGCGCGCGGTGGGAGAAGCGCGCGACGATGCTGGCGCAGGCCAACGACCAGCAGCACCAGCGGGCGCGCAGCGCCAGCCGGCCCGGGACGCCGTCCGGCACAGGCACATGCACAGGCACAGGCGGCAACAATAACAATAACAACAACGTCGTGTCGAGCAAGGAGATCGACGCCGACATACAGGAGGCGATACGGCTGCACGAGGCCGGGGAGCTGGAGCAGTCGACGAGGATGTTTGGCCGGCTAGCGGACCCGGAGGGGGCGAACAACCCGCTCAGCCAGGTGCTGTATGGGCTGGCGCTGAGGTGAGTGTTTTTTTCTTGTTTGTGCGTGTTGGTGCTTTTCTTGGTGCTGCGAGGGTCGGGATGGCTGGTGAGGCGGGCAGCAATGCGTAGCGAGGAGGAATGCAGTGCAGTGCAGTGCAGTGCATGCAGTATGGCCGAGCTTCACAGTCACGCATATTTGTGCTATTCTGATCACACGAGAGTGGCATCTCTTGGACGAGGGCAGGGCCACGCAGCGGATGAGACCCCCAATGGCAGTCCTCGTCACATCACCCAGGGCATGCGGGAAAACGCATGAGAAAGAAAACTAGCTAACGTGTGGCGGAACCCTCTCCCTTGCAGGCACGGTTGGGGATGCGAGCCGAACACGGAGGCGGCAGTCAACTACCTCTCGGCGGCGGCGTCCAACGCGGCAACGGTCGAGGACCTGGCCCTGCAGGCGGGGCTCAAGAAGGGAGGCGCCGCTAAGGGCGAGCTCGTCCTCGCCATCTTTGAGCTGGCCAACTGCTTCCGCCACGGGTGGGGGATACCCAAGGACGCCATCGCGGCGAAACAGGTACGTCTGTGGACCACTCGGAAGTCTAGCCCCTGTGATGCTTTTTTTCCTTTTGCGTCGCGCCTCGGCGGGCGAAAGAGGAGGCGTCGAGCAGGGAAGCAGGCTTTTCCCCCTTGACATGTAGGAGGCGATGTGAAACACTGACGATCTATTGGCAAAATACGCAGTACTACGAGACGGCGGCGAATCTGGGCGATACAGGTAGGCAAACGGCATCTAGACCCTCGATGTTCCCTGCTTCCTCTTTTTTTTTTTGCACTTTTCTTCCCAGCTCCAATGGCACAGGTCATGCTGATCGAGAATCGTGCGATCTAGATGCGATGAACGAGGTGGCATGGTGCTATCTGGAGGGCTTCGGATGCAAGAAGGACAAGGTACGTTGCCCGCCCCATGCAAAGGTCATTCGCCCTGCCACAAACAACACCTGCCTCTCCCTCGAGACGGACATCGTGATCTCAGATCACACAGAAGTGCACATCAGCCGGGATGGGAATCGCTTCGAGGGGAAGGCAAGCTGAAGTCAGCCTTGACAAGCCAGTGAGGTTCTGGCTTACGCAAGCGATCTCCTGCACTGTCCAAGCATGACATCGAATCCTTCTCCCCCTTGCCCCTATTTTCTTTTCGAATGCGTGCGCTTTTGGGTGCCCGTTGGGCATCAACGAGGTGCAGGATGACCTGAGCACTTTGTATGTTGTCCTGCGGCCTCCGCGCGAATCGGATCCCCGCACACTGCCCTCTCTCTCCTCCCCACCCCCTGGTCCGATCAGATATCCGCTGCAGGCGTAATCACATGAGGCTGACGACATGCCCGCTGCTCGCGGGCCTATTAGTTCGCGGCGGCAAAGTACTACCGGCTGGCCGAGGACAACGGCAACAAGACGCTGGGCAATACCTGGTAAGCCGGAAAACCCCGTTTTCTTTTCCCTGGTCATTGAAACCCCACCCCTCATAACCCCTTCTTTCCTGATTTGCCTATTGCATGCATTTCTGCACTTTCGGGGGGTCATCTTTTCCCCACGTTTCCTCTCGAGTCCAATAGTTTCGGAGCTGTGGTTCGGTGGGCTATGCATACGGAGGATCCAATGGTGGCTTGAGCAGCGGCTGAGACCTCGATGGTCTTGTTACCCACATATGTCTGCATGGCGCGGTGCGCGTTCGTCGCGGATGACAGCTGCAGAGTCGGCTTGATAGGCTCTCGCGTGCTGGAATATCCCATCCCCCCCGGCTAGCCCATGTGCTCTAGGAGCATGTGTGGGCTTCCTGTCCGCCTCGCTTTCTTTGGCACTGACTGGTGGCTGGATCACGTCCCTGTCCCCCCTTCTTTCTCGCACCTCTTCTGGCATGGGGGGGTTCTTCTTTTCCGGAATGGAAACGTCTGCTGCCGGTTGGGCCTCAATCGGGTCGTGTGTTTTTACCTTCGCGTGCGGGATGCATGCTGCAGAGCCTCCCCTGTGCTTGTTGAAAGCTACGGGGTCGTTGGGGAAAGGGAGCCCCCGGCGTCCTATCAGATGCCTAGGGGGCTGTCCTGTCTGTTTTTTTTTTTTTTTTTTTTGTCGTCTGATGCCAACGGGAATACATGCTGACACCTTTTGCATTTTGCGAGTCAAACAGGATCTGGAAGGACAAGTATAACCCGGAGAACCAGAAGAAGAAGAAATGAGGGGGTTCTAGACTGCGTACAGAGAACTTCTTCATGTGTCCATTGGCTCGCGGCTTGGGGATCGTCCGAGGTCATGGACTGTGCCTCCCAGCTTTTAAGAGAGGGCTTAGTTAGGGTCTGTGATGTCAAGATCCCTACGAGCGATCACAGGAAGCTTTCTCTGGGGGGTTTTCTCTGGTCGAACGTCAGGGTGAGAGCACCAAGCCATGCTGGGTTTGTCTTGTTGGAGAACGAACATACGTGGGGGGGCGAGAGGCGGAGGCTTTTTCAACTATCGCGACTACGGTATAACTTACTTCTGTTGGATTTGGCATGTACTCCTTTTTCCCTTCATGGCTATTTCGGGGGCTTGGAGTATCGTCGCACTGGCCTCTCAGAGTGTCGAATGCCAGTAGTAGCACCAACAGCAGGAGGAGGCAGGCGTAGTTATGGGTCAAGGCGCATGACGGAGCCGAAAGGTCTGGAGATCGCAAAAGTGCCGTTTTCTCTGCAGGATTGGACTGGGCTCGGTACACTTTCGGAATAATAGCGTATAGACATCATCATTATCCTCTGCTGTCGAAAATGCCCCCTTGCTACTTTTTGGGCGTCGTATGACATCCAACGGTGTGACCGCTGCGACATGGGAATGAAACCCTGAAGAACCCTGAATAGGAAAGATAGACAAGGTCATACTGGCCGGAAGCAGAGATGTAGATCCCGACTGAGAAAGGAGAATACGGAAAGGGCACGCGGGGATATAGCAGATCCTTTTGGGCCGTGGTGCGGTTCGAGGTGGTAGCTAAGCTGTAAGGGCCGGTGTGTTGTGCGCGTGTGCGTGTGTGTGTGTGCGTCTCGTGTATGTGCCACTGAACCTCTTTCCTCGTGTGTGGGTGGCGGGTTGTCTAAGACACAACCCAAAGGCCAGACATGTCACACATACACACACCTCCTCGTCCGTGGACTCTCTCCGGTTGATGTCCCACGTGCAAACAAAAACCACGATAACTAACCCGGAGAAAACCAAGGATTTGGTTCCGTTTAAACCACTCCTTCATCCAAAAATCGATCGATCGGGATGAAAAGAAAACTTGTTTCCAACTTAGACTCCTTTGTATATCCATCTACCGATCACCGGACGAACCCCTCCCTCCCTTGCTTGGTGAACGTCCACAGGCGGGGGGGTGCCAGGCAGCAGTGCTAGCTAGCTAGGCCATGAGACCTGCTTCGGCACTTTGCGATACAGCGATATTAGCACACTTACGAGGATCAATCAACTAGACCACAGAAAAACGGAACTCGTGTCCGGCTCGGCTCGACAGACCAACGGACGGCCGCCGTTGGCTCGCACCGGTCCGCCACCGGCACTAACACTAACACTGGCACTAGCACTAAATACTCACAGCCTCTGAGCTACAAGTAGTCACACCGTAAAGCACCCATCAGCCCCCCCGTATCCAGATTTAGCAAATGTCGGACAGAAACTACAAAGAGGCACACACGTATGACACGATGGAGAGAACAAATGATCGGACAGTTTTTTTTTTCGAGATACAATGTCGCTCTCAGTGTGGTATTAACTTATTACTCAAAGACTAAGTAAGTACCATTGATGGTTGCAAATGCCACCTTATCTCGACCAAAAACAAAATCCGTTCCGCCTGGCCCAACAACCCGCGTGCCGCCAGGACACACACCTGTAGGCAAGTCCATGCAATGAAAAAAAAAAAAAAGATCCAAGCCTTTTCTCCCTGCCCGGGCTCGCACCCACATTCGTAATGCCATATTATCATCATATCCGTGGATCGTAGACCCCCGCCTCATGATCAATACCTGCCAACCTGTGGGAAGCGCCGCGCTGTGATGAAAATAACTTGTTGCTCTTCGGTCACGAAGAGACGAAGAGAAGAATAAACACCCGTCCGTCCGTCCATCCACTTTGGAAAACTCCGTGTCTCGTAACCTTCCACATTCGCTGGCTGGAGCGAAAATCACGAAGAAAAAAGAAGAACAAAAAGAAGTCGTGAGACTGTTGCGAGGAGGAGCTTGCCATGTCTGGAGTTTTTGTTTCTCATCCATCAACCCTTCTGCTCTTTCATTGAAACGAAGACAAAGGAAGAACAAGACTTAAATGAATTTGGTATGCAAAGTACGCCTCTCTTCCATCGGAGAGGCAAGGGGGTGCATTGAATGCAAAGTGTGTAAATCAGAAACGCAGTTTGTGTGTCGATGTCGACAGTCCCCGAGACTAAGCTCTCTCTTCCCGTGCCCAATGCCTGCCCGTCACTGTACATGAAAAAGAAAATCGCCCCCAATGTGACTGGCTCACTGTTTGAAGCCAGGTCGTTCCCGGACCATTCCCGTACCCAGACCCCGTTCCACACCCAACCCAGGATATCCCTTGACCATACCAATCCGCCGTTCCTGGCAGTAAAGCAGAGACGGGGACCCCAAATGAGTTTGTAACAAGACATGGAATGCAAAGGAGACAAATCCAGGCAAATACCACCGAAAAAAAGCAGACGCTCGCTCGCTCGCTCGCTCGCTATAAATCAAAACAAGCCAAAAAGAAAAAGAGAGAAAAGTCACAAAGTGGTGTGCTCGAATAAGAAGTGGCTATCCTAAAAAGAAAATCGTCCGTCCGACGGCGTGAGCCTATGATGAGCCAAAAAGGCGCGTGGGCGCCCTACTCTGCTGTTGCATTGCGGGAGCTGCTGTTGTAATTGTATTTCGCTTTCGGTTGAGATCCAAGATCGAAGACATTAAAACTAGAAGTCGAGTATTTGCAATGCGGTAATGGAAATAAAAAGCTGGAGTTGCAAGTGACAAAAGAGCCAAAAAAGTCTTTGGTCGTGCAGAGCATATGCGTTGTCATAGAGTCATGGTTGACATGGAAGTTCATGGTGTTTCAGAATCGTGGGTCGTGAGAGCATGAAGCAGTGGAGATTCGTATTTGTTCGTCATCATTGAATAAAATGTGTATCATCAAAGTCGTGAAATCATGGGCCTGGCGCTTCGTTATTGCAGGCCTGTTCTGCGCCATTTCGTGTGTTGCACTCTGCCACCATCTTGGCAAAGGTGCGGACGACGTCGCTGGGGATCTGATCCCACAGCAAGGACCGTGTGTACACATCGGCCTTGTTGTTGGTGCGCATCGAGGCCAGGGCGTCGGCAAGATTGCGTCGCCCCTGGCTGGCGGCACGCTCGGGAGGAGGGGTCTGGAGGAAGTCCTGGGAGTTGACGCCGTTGTACTGAGCTGCAGAGAGAGAGAAGAGCTGCTCGTTGGTCTGCTGCTGCGTCGGTCGAGTGAGCGAGTCGGACAGGTCGCCCAGCATCGAAGGGGCGACTCCGTCCAGTCCAGTCATCATGGGGGCAGCGGGAGCATGGCCCCAGCTCGCTGGCCCAGAAGGCTGCGGGGCCATAGCTGAGGCAGAGGGGGGCACACCGGCGTCCTTGAGCACATTGTCGAGAAGGGTCTTGGATGCGGCACGAACGTCTTCAGACACACGTGGAATGCTTGGCGTTTGCCGGCTCGACAACACAAAGGCTCCGACGAGGAAGAGCATAAAGAGCAGCCCGCCTTGGTTGGCGGGCTTCTCCGAGTCCGACGGAGGCAGCGAGACCTCGTTCTTCTTGGTCGGCACCATCTGCAGCTCCTGCTTGACCTCCGCCGTTTGTTCGAGCGGGAAGTCATGCATGAAGCCCATGTTGTCCCAACCACCGTCCATGGCGAGGCCGTCCATGTCGCCGAACGGGCCAGGGAAGCCGGGGTTTTGAGGGACATTCATGGCCGCGGTTGTCGGCATGGTGTTGCCTTCCAGCTGCTGTACGTGGCTGGTGAGGACGCCAATCTTCTTGCGAAGCTCGCCGGTCTCGATGGTGTGCTCGCGGATCATTTCTTCCTTTTCGAGGTTCAGCTTCTGGACATACTCCTGGTAGCCCTGGTTGTCGCGCATGAGCTGGGCCATCTGTATCTCCATCTCAGCCACCTTCTCTTCCATGTCGCCGAGCATCTGGGTGTAGTGCTTCTTCTCGTCCTCGAGACGCTCAGTGTGCTGCTTCTTCCTTTGCCGAGAGTCAAGGCTGTGGCGTGTATTAGCACTGGTCAGGATGTCCCTGATGAGGAAGTTGGGGGATGAGACTTACGCTGCTTGCCGATTACGCAACAACCGCTTTTGCTGCTTGAGCTCCTTGATCTCCTGCTCATCGGTCGACTGCGCGATGAGCTGATCAATGTTGCTCAGATTGCGCTCGGCGGGGATATCGAAGCGGGCATTCTTCTTCCGGATACCATCGCCACGGCGCAGCTCGTTGTGCGACCTGATGGCGGGGCTATTGGACCGCATCTTTTTGGACATGGCCTGGCTCTGAGCCGCCCAAGGATCCTTCTGCGGAGACGATGGTATTGACTGGCCGGTCATGCCCGAGAACATGTTGATGTGAGCACCCTGGTTGGAGAAGGAAGATTGTGACTGGATCGAAGGACGGTGGAAGATGGAGGCGTTGGCGGGGTCAAACTCAGCGGGCAGGCCGTCAAAGCCGGCCATGGGCGTTGCCGAGGTGGACGACGAGGTCGCGGTCATGGGCCAGGACGTGGGCTGCTGAGCAAAGGCCTGGGCCTGCTGGTGCTGGTCGAGGCGCATGAAGGGGTTGTTGCTGTGCGGGTCCATGAAAGGGTTGTTGGAAGGCACCGACTGCATGTCGACCGACTGCCAGTCCTCTTGCTTTGGTGAAAACAGTGAAGAGCCAACTGCGAAGGAGTCTCTCCTGCTGTCAATCATCTGGGGCGACATCTCGAGACCAGAGTCAATAGCGCTGTGGTCGAGAATGGCGTCGTCTAATATGCTGTTGTCGTCCTCCTCGAAATATTTTTGCTGTGCCTGTGCGGTGTCGACAGTGAGGGAGGCTTGTCTGTAGTAGGGCTGCATTGAATACGAGACCATTTCAGGTCACTGGGAGGAGTTTTGTGGCGGGAGGAAAGCAGAGGGCGACACGCTTTTTGAATGGTGATACTTGGACTCTGTGCCAAGATATGCTTCCTTTTTCTTGTTCTTATGACAGAACCAAGGGTGGAAAACCAGCACAGTCACTCTGTTATAACCTCTTGGTTAGCGGTTGAAGCGGTGAGCGCAGAGGTTCCAGGGTGCCGCTTTTTATTTTTGGGAATGACCAGGGACCTGGTCCTTCGAGAGGAAAGTCGGTGGGCTTGGAAAGTGGGCAGAGAGCAGGGGATCAAGAGGATTTAGGGCCAATGTGGTCAAGCGGGAACACCGTCGGGCTGGACTGGGGCCCAAGCAGGGGGGGAAACGGAGGGTAAGGGTTTCGTTTGATGAAGTTTTTCTCTCAAGGGCATGCACCGTATGAGAGAGACCATGAAGGGCCAAGAGGAAACATTGAGCTGCGGTGTGTGAGAGGGGAGGGAGAGAAAGGAGATTCTCGAGAGTCGAGAGACGGAGACAGAGACAGAACGAGAGAGATAGAAGAGAAGAAATGGCGATGGTGGTGAGTGCGATGGGATAATCGATGTATTGTATGTGCATGGATTACCAGGTAGGTATCGCTCTCTCGCCCGCACGCCACCGTAAATCGTAAAGTGGGAAAAAAGTTGGCGGCCGGGAACGAGGGGAAGGAAGGAAGGACCGGGGGGGGAGGGCGCAGTGGGTGGTGGTGCCGTTTGTTGGTGCAAAGGGCTGGAAAAGATGGAATGCCAAAAACGGCAAGAGTCTAATCGGGTCGACTTACAATGGTCTTCTGGTGTTTTCTGTGTACACACAACTCTCTTCTCGACTCTAATAAAAGCTTCGTCCGAGTTGCACCGCGTTTCTGCTGGTGCCTCTTCTGGGCCCGTTTCGTTCGTTTTGCGGGGTCGGTCGGTGCAACGCGAGGAGCAGCCGGGACCGATGAAGAAAACGAGAAGCGGCAGCAATCGCTCAATGATGAGGAGGCGGCGTCCCGTGGGGTTTTGTAGTGCGAGTTGGTGTGTGTGTGTGTGTGTGTGTCCCCGAAGGTAGGTAGGTGTCAGTATGCGTGTGTCTTGGGTTGAACCGTCTGAAGGATGCAACCCCAAGAGCAAACAATCGTGCGTCTTAGATGACTGAGACAGGAGGACCAGATGGAGGAGGGAGGGAGGATGGCAGGTGACAGCTTGTTTGTTGGAGAGAGAGGGAGAGGAGGGAGAGGAGAAGCAACCCTTTTTAGCAGTCAATGATGAGCTTGGTTGCTACCTGATAAGTAGTTGCAGACGAGTTGTGCGGATGACCAGAGATGATCGGTCTCAAATCCACGGGGTGTGCATATGTATGCTTGCTTGTGAGTGTGTGGGTGGGTAAGAATCGAGGAATCTGCAGACGACAATGATGCTGGTGGACGACAGGACGGGTCTGCTTTGCTTTAAATCTATCTTACTCGGACAGCCATCGAGGGGGGGGAGGAGGAGGACATGGAGGAGAATGGAGGGCAGCGCACGAGTGGCAGGCCAGATACAGAGATGGTCGGGCCGGGAGGTTAGGATGAGGAGGGATGAGGAGCACGGCGGACAGAGCAGGACTGGACGGGGAGGGTGGTGGTGGGTAGGAGTCGGAAAAAGGTAGCGGGGTACTCTTGCGACTACAGAGAACAAGCGGCAAACACATGTACCACCTACCTGTACTTACGAACAAGGGGGAAATAAGAACCCAACTCGACTGATGGACGAAGGGTGTGGAGAGAGGTAACCGAAGCAAAGCAAAATAATCCAGCGAACCGGGAGCTCTGCTTGCTTCTCTTGATCTTCCTCTCCTCTCTCTCTCTCTCTCTCTCTTGTCCCTTTGTACATCCCCACCTTTCCCCTTCTACCTACCTACTCTTTCAGTGTACCCGTGTGCAGCTTCTGGCAAAGTACAACGGCAAGCAGGGGACCTGGGTTGAGGGGCGATGATGGATACGATACCAAGGCAGGGAGGGAGTGCATGTACCTCTGTAACTCGACGCCCCCGCGTCCCGGACTTGCCTCGCTCGTTCGTAGGCTGAGAGGAGAGGGTCCTGTGTTGCAGAACGACAGAGAGCGCCGGGCTTGTCTGTGCTGTGGATGGGCGGTACTTGCGCTCGTCTTGGTAAGCTCGACAATACCGAGTAGCGTGCATGTTTACTGGGTGGAGGGAAGTTGGATGGCGCTGTTGGAGCGCGGGTTGGTGTGGGTGTGGATGTGGTTCGAGTGGGTGGGTGGGTGTGAGCGACAGAGCTGGGTCACTGGATCCGGACCAGACGTGGTGTGGCAGAGCGATTGGGAGCTGTTGATGGCCTGGGCAGAGACGGCCCTCGCTGGGATGGCGCCTGTCATGCCTCGAGGGCGTCTGTCATGAGAAACATCCCCATCGATGAGGCTGATCCCTTCTGTCTTTGCTTTTCCCTCCCATCCCTGGCATGGCTTTGTGGCTCCTCCTCACCAACGAGCCTTATCACGGGTCGGGCAACAAGGTGGAAAAAAGAAGGCACTCCGTCATCATTGTGATGGAACAGGACAAGCAGACCGGAACAGACCGAGGTCATCGGCCGACCAGGTACATAGCTAGTTAGCTAGCTACCCGACTTGGATCGGAGCACCACCAGTGAATGCAATGGACTGACTTCTTGCACAGCTCGGGAAGCACAATTCCATTTTTGAGGCTGGCCAAGAGGATAGGCATGCGACAAACCCGGCATCGTCCAGTGATCAAAAGTGCACAAACGCTGCCTGCCTGGCCCAGAGCTCTGACCATCATCAACTCGGCGTGTACGCATCGCATCTGGTGGCCCCGGGACGCGTGCAGCTGTCGCACGTTCCGGTGGATTTGGTCATGTTGTGACAGTGAGGAGAAGAAGAGTACCTACCTACCCATGCCCATTGCAGAGGCAAGGGCAAGGATAGGCTGCTCCCGCAACGCAATGCACAAATAGGCTCAAACATCCAGATCCAACCTGGAAAGGGAAAATTCCCGGTCGGCGGGGGGCCTAGTGGACGATCTCCCTCTGCGCAACTGCCATGTTTGTTTCCTCCCAGGATGGAGACGGCGGCAAGCTCGGCTTGGACGTTCTCTTTTTGGCATCAGAATACGTCCTGTTGCATACGAACATTGTATATGGATCTGCTTCAGGGCAGCACCCGCCGCGCGAGAGAGAATGCAAAAGCTGCGGCTTCGAAGCAAGCCATGGGTTTCATCGCCAGGACTGATCCGCTGCTCAGAGGGGACGACTTCGAATCGGGGATGGGCGGAGGTCGCATCCCAGATCGAATCAGAGATCGCGGGCGGGATCTAAACCAGGGCAGCTCCCCCCTGGCAGTCCCTCCCACCTCCCCGCCGTGACTCCATTCTCGCCGGTAGGCCGTCAGCGGATAGGGCCGTTGCCAGCACGGTGGGGGGGATGATGGTGCGGGAGCGTTTCCTGAACCGGTTGGTTGGCTTGGTCCAGGACAAGTACTGTACTTGTAGATACGTCGAGAGTAGCGTAGCGCAGCCTGCTTCGAGAGTGCAAAATGACCGTCGAATCCTCAGACAGAGCAGCAGTCAAAGCTTGGCAACAAGTGACGGGAAACGGCGGGTCCTGCGTGTGCGAGCGCGCTCTCGCGACAAGGGGGAGGGGGGAGAAAGAAGGAGCGAAACAAAACGGGACCCGGCCGGCGGAGCATGTCTTGACAGGCGACGCTTCCATGTTCCAGACCCCACCGGCAGCGAGGACTGGCTCGGGATTGAGCCCTCAACGACAGCCCTGCAGGTTGGGCAGAAATGGCCTTTTTATGGGCGTCGCTACCCAAAGCACACGCTGAATGTCGGCCGGCATGCTTCGAAGCTGTCCATCCATGGGATGCTCGTCTCGACTCGCCCAGCACTCGTCCAGTCACCGGTTTCAATGGCATGGCGCATGTTAGCACCCAAGACATTGCCCCGCGTGAGCCATGAATCCGTCCCTCAGAGGCAAGCCATTTGATCACACTGGGTCCGGCGAGATACCACCCAAACCTGATACGAGCCACAGGACCCAGGTGATGGGCGGTACTGATGCGTGATACTGCGACAGCTCTGCTTCTGGCACAGCCAGTCGAGCAAGGAGGGTAAAGCTGTCTTTCCACCAGCGGACCATCCAGCTCTTCCTCCCTATTCTACCTAGCGTCTCGATATTCCGCGATCGGGTGGGGTGATGAGTGAGCTACCTCAGAGCATCCATCAATCATTGCTCGTGGTTAGGCTGCCCAAATGCTCTGGTACCGTCCTTCCAGGAGAGCGAGCGAGCCCGAGACCATGCCATCCATCCTTTTTGTGGTCAACTGCTTCCTCAACCACTTGCCGGCCGTCCCTCAACCTCCCGAGTCAGGCCGTGACAGGCAATAGTAGATGCATTTTCGTTCTAGAACGACGAGCCAGGACTGCCTGTCAGTGGACGGGACCCATTCTTTCCAGGCACCGTGGAGACTTGCTGGCATCAGACCGCCAGAACTCGCAAGGCTCCCTCGTCCACCACAACGCTCTATTCATGTATCTTACCCACCCGGAACGCCAAAGACGACTTCCCCGGGCCCAGCCAAGGGATGAGTTTTCAGAATTAGCGAAGTTTACACCATTCTCACCGTTCTTACAATCATGTCACATGACTCTCGACGTCGGTGGTGAAAGCAAGCGGAAAGACTCCGTTCGATTTGAGCTGGACAGATTGGCCAGGGAATCTGTTAAACGAAGTAGACTCCTACCTCTTGTCCGGAATAGCTGCGCAGGTAGCTGTCCTCTGACGTTTTGGATATCCATTTCTCCCTGAATGAAGTGACCTCATACCTACCTGTGATGCCGGTGCAGACACAACCCCTGCCCTGTCATCGACCGATCTGATCCACCGCTCCGTCACAACCTTGACCTTGTTTTTCCGAGCTCACCGTCGGGCAAAACTAGGGTGCCAAAAGAGGAAAGGACAGAGACAAAAAAAAAGTCATAACAACACCAAATAAACATGAGGATGGAAAAGTTGGGTGGCTGGGGGGAGAGGCACCTGAGCCTGTTTGCTCGATGCAGAGATCACTCGCGCGAACTCATCGGTTCCATTGCACTTTTCCAGGCCCCATTTGCCTGCTTACCCGCAGCCATTCAGCACGAGAAGCTCTCGGTCCTGAACCCTCGGCCGCAGCGCATGTGCTCCCGGCCGCATAAAGGGCGGCCCGCTAGCGAGAAAGGACCAAACAAACAGCAAAGAAGACCTCGGTCGAGGCAGCATTCTGGGCAGAGCGCGTGCGCGTGCAAAGGGCCTGTTTGGAACCCCACGGCTGCCCAACGCCCTCCAGGACTGGAAACCGGCGAAAACTAAACGTGCGCAGGGCAAAACAAAGACAAGGGCGGCCTGCGGTGAAGATGCGGTCTACCGCGTGCGTCCGGAACCAGGCCCCCGTTCGCGTTAAGAGGTGCAAGGTCAGGGGAACAATACTTGTACACACGCAATGCGCCTGACGGAGCGAATCCTTGCTGTGCCTGTCTCTTCCTACTTGTAACTATTGTAGTTATCCCCTGGTCCGCGTGTCGTCACGACGCATCTCTGTCGCATCTGATGCTCCGGCCGCCTGGTCCGTTTCCACCTTTGGATCCCGTTCCCGTGCGAGACGTCGTCCTGCCCCCTCTCCCCCTCGGCTCGCCAAAAAAAGGCTACCTGACCGAACCGCTGCTGCCATGTGCGCTAGGGCCCATCAAACGGCGGGGATCTAGGAAGGCAGCAGCCGGCCGCTCCATCACCAATCATTTACGGTGAGGCGAGCTACCGGCCTGCACCAGCCCACGACCTTTTCCAGATTCGGGCTTTTCCTCCAGCCCACGAATCAGCTCACCTAACTCACCCAACAACTCCGGATTGACCTTTCACGCCTTCCAGGGGGGGAGACGACGCCAAAAACCCATTGCCGTTCTTCTGTTCGACGATTTGATCCATCCGGCTTCCTGGAATTCCACTTCCTTACCTCGCGGCCTGCAGCACCCTGCTCCAGGATGCGCGCTAAGCCCTCTTGCCTTGCTCGCACTGGCACACGCATTGCTCATATTGATTGCTACAGCGCGCGCGCGCACACACACACGCTGCGCCCAATTACCGTGCCCTGGACCCCCCTTTCTCGTGATATCTCCAGAGATACCCAACTCATTGAGGCCCAACGGATCGTGACTGATCGATTGGAAGTCTGGCCGCCATCGACGGTTTCGGAAGAATGTGACTGCTCTTGGCGTGATTTCTCAGTTTCGATGCCTGCCGGGCTCGCTCGCCTCGCGGGAAGGATCGACTTCTTGTCCCCTTTCTCACCTGCGGAAAGGTCGGCGGCGGGCGGTTGCTGAGCCACAGCAGTCATCATCATCATCATCATCACGTTCTTGCGAGGCTATGTGTGCCTCGCCATTCACGTATACGGCACAGCCATTCATTCTCTGTTCACCGCGTCCCTCCCCCTCAGATGTGCCCAGCACGTCGGCGGCATCTGGCACGGCCCGGATGGGGCTGCACCCTGAGATGGGGAGCGATGGGGGGTAAAGAGCCCGGCTTTCTCCAGACGGTGCCGGATGCGGTGGGCCTGGAGAGCGACGCGTCAGATCTGCTCAGAGCGCGATGTCGATGGAGCTGGTCTATCCCCATCCATCGTCGTCGGTCCAGCGAGGCGGTCTACAAGTGTATGGCCGTGGTCGTCCGTCTTCTTCGTCCGGGTCGGAGACGCATCGAGACAGGTCGCGAAACCGCGACGCTTAATGCGCACACTTGTGCCATCTGAAGGAGGGTAAAGACCAGACGTTTCGTCCTCGAGAGGCTTTGTCTGACGTCTATCTTCACCTTGATGCCGATTCCCTGTGCGATGCTCTCCTTTCCTCTACCTTACACCTCGAGGCGGCTTTGCACATGATGGCACTGTCATGTCAGGCGTCGACAAGCCACACCATTTGGGCAGTGCCCACCCTGTTTCAGGATGTCTATACCGCACCTAACACGCCTGCGCCATCGACGAGGTGGATAGCTCAGGAAGACCCTGAAGCTGACATGGCGGTGAAGGGACCACTCGGAGAGTGGGTGTGTCTCAAGCTACTAGTCTGCGAGTACCCAGTCCGTTCGTTGTCTTAGACCGCCGGCTTGAGCCCCCGGAGAGTGGTCCGTCAGGGTAAGAGAAGAAATACCTTTTCCTTTCTGAAGCTATGGATACCTATACAGGTGATCGTTTTGGGAAGGTAGATTGGAAGAAAGGACGGCGTTTTGGATTTTCTGTACTGTACACAGGTCTCCCAAGTGGGTACTCCATTCAACGTCAGGTCGACATGCGTTGTCGTTCGCGCCAAGCAGCTCTCGACGATGGACTCAAGAAAAAAGAACTCCGTTCTTTCGTCGTTGACTCATACTTCTGGGACTGCCAACGAATCTCTGCCCCCTTGGGGAGACTTGTGCATCGCCGAAATACTCGGCAACTTTTTTCTTCTCTCTTGGGAATCTGCTGTTGTTGCGGTCAAGGAGGAGAGAGAGAGAGCGCTTCTCGCGCGTAGCTGTGTATTTCCAATCCTGCCATCATAGAAACAGAAATGATATGTGAGTCATTGCAAACTTCTGTGCTCCCTGTCGTGACGATTCGACACATGCTTGCTCGTCCGGTGAAACATTTCCATCACTAGGCCGGCTACCCGCCAAACACATTCGGTCTTGGGACAGCGAGATGGCTCTTCTTGGTAAAAATTGAGCTATCTCCCTGATGAAAACTCCGGCGACTTGTTCTGACCTGCGCTTGGCTGGTTGCCGTCCCGCCGTTGATCTCGCGTGCTAGTTAGTTAGTTCAGTGCCAGTGGCCCGGGCCGTATTTGCTTCTTTTGGGTCGCTTAATGTTCCCAGCCGGCCGGGGTGGCCCTTTCCAGCTCGGGAAGCAAGGGGATCAAAGAGGAAGAGCTATCCCAGCCACCGGTCCTCGTCGTGGCGGTGAAGGGCGTCATCGTCCCACTACCAAGGGCGAGAAAGAAGAAAGGACGTTTGGTTTAGTTGTGCATGCACGTGTAGAGATGAAACTGCTCGCAGACTCCCTGTCCATTACACACCAACCGCCGCGCCATCATATTGTCGATCCGTTCTAGAGGGAGACTCGTAAGGCTGGAGAAGGGGGGTATTCTTCGCTGGAATATGCGAGGCATGACCAACGAAGGCACCTTGCATCATGGGCAACAGCTTTCTTTTTCTCCGTTTCTGTGGGGGTTGTCTCCCTGCCGGGCGACTTGAGCTGAAAAGTGCCGATCAATGCGAGGCTCGCACTGAGTTTCTGTTGCCGTCGCATGTGACCTGCTCCGAAAAACCGATGTATGGTCTTGTCGCTTAACTAGATGTAAGGGGGCCTGCAAGGACAAAAAGCTTTTCAACCTCTATTGCATATATTGCATGAGCTGAGCGAGGCTGCAGGAGCCTTGCGTAATGTTTAGCTGTGATGGATGGGATGCCATGATATGCAGACACTACCGTCGCACCTTGCAGCTTGCATGAGACGAGCATTTTCAGCCTGGTAATAGCACCGAGTTGAGATTATGATCATCTCACCAAAGCTTTTGCTGGAATATCGCATTATGGGACGACTTGCGGGTAATCTGTTGGAACAAGCATCGCCTGGAGTGACACGAATCACGAGAGCACGGCAGGAACTTTGGTCGTTAGTTGCCATATCTTGTTGATTCGTAAAGAGCTATTTGGGTATCTCATTTCGTTCATCTATAGCTGAAGCAGATCTGATCAAAGCTGTCTAGCTGAAATCCCACAACTTGACAAGTAAGCTATCCTCCACGTCAGCACCAGCTTCCTGTGGCAGCAAGATGTGCTTAGGGATCTGAAACTCGACAACAGGCGCCTTCTTGACCTGTTTGGACATCTCGGCATCGAGGAGCTAAGAACTTATTATTAGCCTTGTGCCCTTTACACTGGAAGATGAACGAATCCCCGAGAGCTGGGAAGAGACTTACACTTCCGTAGGAATGATCCAGGAAATCCTCTACGTTGTAAAACTGCTTCGTGAACTGCTCCGACATGATCTTGGCTATGGTTGCAACGTTGGGGTGGTAATGTGACTGCAGCTGCACGATCTCCCACAAGCAGCTGTCGATGGCCTGGGTCTCCATAGGGTCGCTCTCGTCTGGCAAATAGGGATCCTCCATACCCTCGGCGTCGTACTGCTTTTGCTCCTCCTTTGTCCTTGGTACGCGGTGCAGCATGAATGTGCATGTGGGGTGTTTCTTGAACAAATTGTAGAACCAGGGGACGATGGCGACGACAGCACTGGGCGGGCCGTTGAGGCAGAGACGTGCAAGGCGCTTGATGAAGCTGGCGACCAGCTGGGCGGGGAGATGAGAAGAGGCGAGGAAGGTGTCGAGCAGGCGGAAGAAGCGAGAGCGGTGCTTGGAGTGGAGGATGTCTGCGTCGAGGAGAGAGTAGAGCTTGGCGTAAAAGGAAGGATAGTCGAGGTTGCGTTCTTGTATCAGGTAGAAGACGCCGGACAAGGCGAGGAGCGACATGGAGCCACCAGTGTTATAGCAGTCCGTAAGGAAGTCCATCAGCAGTTCGGGTTTGGTAAAACACGGCGCTATGACCTGAGACATGACGTCTAGAAGCTTCTTGCGCTGGTCCTTGGAGAGATTGAGATTCAGCAAGGCAAGCCATGCATCCTGTGCTTGCTTCTTGTGCTGCGATGCGAGATAGAGCGGATGTGACTTCTTCTTCGGTGCCTCCACATAGAACTCCTCAATCTCCCCGTTCGAATTCGGGACACCTTCTACCGAGGATAGGAACGTAAACACGTTCTCGAACTGTTCGCTGGTGAGGGTTTTGTCCGAGACCTCGTCTAGCATCTCGGCAATGGCCTGAAATGTGTAGAAGCGCACATCGTCAAACTGGTTGACGTAGGTCTCTATGAAGTCCTTTAGCAGACCGTCGATGGACTTCTGCTGTACCATAACCTTGTTGACGATGTTGCGGAGGAACTGTCGAGGAAACGAGTATTCCGCTTTGTCGGTTGAATATTGAGCCTCGGCCTTGAGCAGGCGCATGCATAGAGTCAATGCCGTCGACGCCGCCTCATCTTGGTCGAGAAGTTCGAGTAGAAGTTGCTTGTAGTCTGCCAGCCTGTCTTTGAGCCATTGCACCACGACTAGGTCCTTTTCTGACAGTCCCTTCTTCTTGATCAAATTGCCAGAGGACAAGAGTCTGATAAACACCCGGCATAGAGAAACGCATGCGACAACGGATGCTTCTGCGCCTTCTTTGCTCGAATCTTGGGCGATACCGATAAGCGTGGCAATATTGTTGTAATGTTTCTTCGATTCGACGATCTCGCTCTCAAGAAGGAGGATGCGACCTTGGAGGTCTTCTCCTTCGTCGCTGCTCTCGGAACGGGCACGCTTTCGAGGAGCCTCAGCTGTTCCCTTGCGCTTCCGCTTAACAGACTCGCCAGCCACAGCGGACGGCATGTTGACTACACGAGGGAGATGACAATTAGGTGACAATTGGATGTGTGCGCCGCTAAGTGCCGTGTAAGTCTGGCAGAATTCCTCACACAACTTTTTTCTCGCCGCGATAAGGATTCATCAATCGTGGGGCAGCTCCAGGGAACTTTTTAGCGGGTCCTCCGCGGAAACCGCCAAAACTTAGCGCCGGTGGTGCGGATGAGTTCGGGATGATGAACTGGGAAGCTGCGACACTTGAAGCCTGCACGTGACTTTCTCCTCTTACCGAGCTAGCGTGTTAAAACCTCAACATCAACCGGGGGAGCTTGGAAAGACCTCAATACCTGTCAAAAGTGCATTTCCGCTCACATCACAATGGCGTCCCGTTTGGCTAGAACCGCTGTCGGTAGGTTGATCCGTGTCCCTCGATGCGATTCCCGCCCAATTGGCGTGGGCGCAGCTGACTGACTGCCTCCAGGGGCCGCCCGCCTCCGACCTTCCATCGCTCCGCGATCCCTCCCGGCCCTCACCTCCCTGACGACCGTCCGCCCGGCGTCCAACGTCCCGACCGAGGAGCCCAAGGCCAAGGCCCAGTCCATCATCGATGCCATCCCCGGCAACTCGCTGATCTCCAAGACCGCCATCCTGTCCTCCGCCGCCGGACTGTCCGTCTACGCCCTCAGCAACGAGTACTATGTCGTCAACGAGGAGACCGTCGTCGCCTTCTGCCTGCTGAGCGTCTGGGGCGCTCTCATCAAGTACGGTGGCCCCATGTACAAGGAGTGGGCCGAGGCACAGAACGAGAAGATCAAGGGCATCCTGAACGCCGCCCGCAAGGACCACACCCAGGCCGTCAAGAACCGCATCGGCGACGTCCAGCAGATGTCTGGTGTCATCGACATCACCAAGTCTCTGTTCGCTGTTTCCAAGGTACGACACACTCGACAACCATCTGGAATGCAATTGGATTGAGTGCTAATGATTCGCGCAGGAAACCGCCAAGATTGAGGCCGAGGCTTTCGAGCTTGAGCAGCAGACTGCTCTGGCCGCCGAGGCCAAGAACGTCCTGGACTCGTGGGTCCGCTACGAGAGCCAGGTCAAGCAGCGCCAGCAGCGCGAGCTGGCCGAGTCCGTCATTGCCAAGGTCCAGAAGGAGCTCGAGAACCCCAAGGCTCTGCAGCAGATCCTGCAGCAGGCCGTCGCCGATGTTGAGAGTGAGTCTACGGCCAATGCGTATCTGATCATTGAGTGTCTGCTAATACCTTTTCTTTTACAGAGATCGTCTCGTCCAAGGCCCAATAGATACCACGATAGATTTTCGAAGCATAAAATCTCCTTTGTACTTGTCTATAAGACGAACCCCTTGTGCAATAGTCAATCAAGATAATCAAACTTGAACCACCAACCCTCCACTTGCAACATTAATGTGATGACACGGATAATTACTTCCGAGCTTTCCGAGGATTCCCACCATTGTTGTTTTCACGAGGCACGGGACCAGTGGCATCTGTCATGCAATCGATCTGCCTTTCTGGGTAGTTTGGTGATGCACAGGATATCAATCCAATGGATAAGTTTTACTGAACAAGAAATATTTCTAGGCTGCGCGAATTCTATATACGGACGCCTAGTGCGACCAAGGGCGATCATTGTACCGCTTCGCATCCTCTGGCCGGCCCTCGAGCGGCCACTCAACCTCCTCCGGGTTGATATACCACGATGGATCACCACTCTTCTGCACGGTACTCCAGCCGTTTCCTAGCCAGTACATGCTGTGCTTGGAAGGGTCTACAGTCTCATAGTTGAAGTCCTCCCAGCGGGGACTGCGGAAGGCCTCGATGGCGTGCAGGGTGGAGCCGGGCCACAGGCCGACGACGCGGTCTCCCCTGCCGCCGTCGGAGCGGTACCAGGAGGAGCAGTCGTCCATGTAGACGGTGTTCTTGAAGTAGGCCTTGACGTACTTGCTGAAGTCGGCGACGCGCTCGGGCTTGGGCTCGATGGTGGCGTAGTCGTCCTTTTGCATCTTGCGGATGACCTTGACGATGTAGTCGCACTCGGTCTCGATGATCTTGGTCAGGCTGCCGAAGCCGATGGCCGAGTTGGGGCCGAACATCATGAGGTAGTTGGGGAAGCCGTCGCACATGATGGACAGGTAGCTCTCCATGTAGGGCTGCCAGCGCTGCTTGAGCGTCAGCCCGCCCTTGCCGACGACCTCGAACGGCGGCGGCTCCGAGACGCGGAAGCCCGTGGCGCAGACGAGCACGTCGAGCTCGACCTCGCGGCCGTCGGCGAGGCGCACGCCCGCGGCGCTGACCTCGGCGATGCCCGTGGTCACGACGTCGACGTTGTCGGCGCACAGGGCCTCGAGGTAGCCCACGCCGGGGGTCGGGCGGCGGCAGCCGGGCGCGAAGCGCGGGATGATGGCCTTGAGCAGCTCGGGCTTGGCGGCGAGCTTCTTGCTCATCTCGGCCGTGAAGAAGTCCTGGCCGCCCCTTTGCATCTCGGTGCCCATGATGGTCGAGTCGTGGATCATGTTGCCGCCCGTCTCGAAGACCTTGCGGAACTTGAGGTAGGCCTCCGGGTCGGCGGCGAGCTCTTCCTGCTTCTCCTTGCTGACTGGGACGGACGGTGGGGGTCAGTTTGAATGAAATGTTTGCATCACAAAAGGGGGGTGGGTGGGCGAGGGGGTGTCTGCAGGGCAAGACTGGCTTGTGTAAAACTGAGCAGGGCTAATAACTCACATTCGATAACACCAGGCTCGAGGCCGACCTCTGCCGCCGCGGCGTCGCCGAACTGCGCAAAGATCCACGTCGGGGAGCGCATAAAGTTGGTCACTTTTGCGCCGGGGAGCTTCTGCATCTTGGGCAGGATTTGGATGCCGCTGGAGCCGTTGCCGATGATGCCGATCCTCTTGTTCGAGTAGTCGTAGCTGTATCGTGCGTTATGATCAGTCGACGGCTCCATCACACACACACAGGATACAAGTCCGTATCAGAGCGGAGCATTGGAACTTACTCTTCATCCCACTCTGCCGAGTGCACGATCTTGCCGCCAAAGCTCCTCAGGCCGGGGATCTGCGGCCACGCAACCTCGTGCAGCAGGCCCCTGGCCGTGACGAGGATGTGGCAGTCGTCCTCGAACGTCTCGCCGGTCTGGAGGTTCTTGACTTGGATTTTCCTGCAAAATCGGTGTTTTGCCTCTATTATTAGCCCAACATTTCTTCTTTCTTCCCCTTGTCTTCTTCACAGGGAAGGAGGGGGGGGGGGGGGGGGAAATCGAGCAGTAGTAGTACGTACCACTTCTTCTCGGCGGCGTCCCAGTCGCAGCGCTCGACCTTGTGCTGCGTCTTGATGAAGCGCATGGCGCCGAACTTCTGCGCGACGCCCTGGAGGTAGCGCCGGATCTCCGGGCCCGGGGCGTAGAGGGCGGACCATCGGGGGTTGGGGCAGAAGGAGTACTGGTAAGAGTGCGCTGTTGGTCCGTCAGTCTTGTCTGCTGCACGCACACCACCTCCGGCTTATGTAAGGAATTGATGTATGTATGTTCCGACTTACATGGGATATCGCAGGCCAGTCCCGGGTAGCGATTGACATACCTACGAGTTCGGAAACGCAGTTAGCAAGTATTACAGCCGCAACGGAGGGGGGGGGGGGGGGGGGATAACTCACCAGACACCGCCGACTTCCTCGTTCTTCTCGTACACGCACAGGTCGACGTTCCGGAGCTTCTCCGGTATCCTGTTTTGAGAGACATATTAGTAAATATGTTATTTACTCTTTCTTTCTTTCTTTTTTCTTTTCTCTTCTCCTTCGCCCCGCGAGTTAAAAACGAACCTGATGGCGGCGCAGATGCCCGAGTAGCCAGCGCCGATGACGCGGACCTTGAGCGGCCGCAGGTTCTCTACCGGCTCGTCCTTGACGTCGGGCTCGGCGCGGCCGCCGTTGGTCTGTGCCTCGCCGTTGGCTGCCGCGGGGGGCGGCGCGTCGGCGACCTGTGCGTCGATGCCGCTGATCACGGGGTCCAGTGTCGGCGCCATGGTCTCTGTCTTGTCTTGTCTCGTTTTCGCGTTTGTTCTCTAAATTTGCCTGCCTCTATCGGCTCTTGTGTTGCTGCTGGGTGTGTATATGTATGTATGTATGTATGTATGTATGTTTGCACGACTCCCCTCGTAACTTCGTTTTTGTCTACAGCAGCAGGACGGACGGCAGTGCAGCGGGTATCCGAAGCAATAAGGAACAAGCAATTGGAGCGCGTGTCTTGTCACGAGGCCGCGGTGCTCCCAAAAGAGAAGATGTGTCAAACGCTGGATCAGATCTAAGAAGAGAGGGGGGGAGAGAGAGTGTGTGTGTGTGTGTGAACGGCACGCACCGACACTGGGGAGAGGGGGAGGGCATGTTTTGTATTTGTATATAGCATCGGTTGCATCGCACCTAGTGTCCAGTCGCCGACGACAGTACCTGCGCCAACACGTTTTTTTGGGTTCTCCACCACCATTCTTGGAAGTTCGCTCGCTCGTGATGTACATGAAACTAATGGAATCGGTAGTCCCTTCGTGCTAGAACACAACACGCACGGCCCAATCAAGAAACAGATGAAACGAAATTCCTCACCTTGGACCATTATCCCCCCTCTTCCTCCCCAACGCAACCCCTCCTCCTCCCCCGTCTCGCCCGCCCCCTCCCCCCGTGCCACACAGCTCAGTTCGACTTTTGCACGAGCTATGTAGGATGTGAATACGCGCGCGCGGGGGTGGTTTTGGTGAGTGCTATGGGGCGTTTGTGTGGGCAGGGCGACAAAGGCGCGGCGGCATGCAAGCGATGCTACACTGCCAGTCTGCACTTCCCTGAGTCGTACAAAGCAGATCAAGAGGGAGAGACATGACCGGACTTGGCCCGCACTCAGGCTCCTGGAGGAGCCGTGCCCTGCCCTATCCATCATCGAAAAGAGACGAACTGGAGAGAGAGAGGGGAGGTGGACCCTGGGGAAAAGGGTGCGGAGAAATCCAAGAGTGCAGAAGGTGGGGTTAGCCCGGGGCGAAGAGGCGCCATCGCCCATTAATCATCTCTGACTGTGCAACAGAGCAGCGGGCTAGCAGGCGCAGCATCTCATGATGGGGGGACTAAGAGGCTGGTCCTTGGAAGCGGGTTGTCTAATTGCCGGGCCAGAGAGAGAGGGCGCGGCTGGAGAAAGAGGGGGAAAACATTAACACCAATCTGTCGATGGGGGGGCGGTTCACAGGATCCAGTCCCTGGGCCGGTCATCCCCGTTCCAAAAAGGTGGGCAGGTTCCGGGTCTCGGAGACTGGCCTGGCGGAGAATTCCCACTCGCAAAGGTCACCAAGTCGGCAATTTACCCCAACTTTGCTCTGCTGGCCCGGTCCTGCAGCGCCGCTAGTTCAAGCCCGCGTCTGCCTTGTTTGAAGGGCCTGCAGCAGATCAACCCTAGGTTGCGGGTGCGTCTATTCGGCAGTCGAGAAGCCAGATCGAGACCCGGCCATCCATTCATTGGTGGAGGTTCATACATATCACGGGATTCTGTCCAGAACAAGCCATATTCTGCTGGTTGACATAATGCAGTAAGTCAGGGGGTACAATACATATTACAATTGTACAGTGAGTCCGGCATGTAAGACACACAATAAAACGCCACACGCTATGTAGATACAGTCCAATCAGTAACACTCACTCCTCCTGATTCTGCGCCGACCGATCCAGGTCCCGCAGCCCCCCCGTCATCCCGAGCCTCGCCTCGCCGTCCTCCACGCTCTCGCTCACAGCCTCCTCCCCGTCCCCGTCCCCGCCGCTCTCGAGCAGCCGCGCCAGCAGCGCCTCGATCCGCGCGTTCGACTCCTCGAGCGCCGTCAGCCTGTCGCCGACGTCCGACATCTCTTCCGACTCGCGCAGCACGCCGCGCACCTGCTGCGCCAGCCCCGCGTACGGCGCGATGCTGTCCCGCCGGCTCGGCGTCCGGGTGTGATGCCGCGTCGAGGACTTGCCCTCGCCGCCGCCGCCGCGGTCCTCCGCCCGGCTCGGCGCCCGCGAGCCCTCGGCCGACGGCGCTCCGGCGGGCGTCCCGCTCGCCGTCGACTCGCTGGGGCCGCGCTGCTCGGCGGCGGCGGCGTTGCGCGTCTTGACGCTCTTGAGGATCGGGATGTTCGGCTCCGTCTCGCGCCGGGTGAACTGCCGCCTGATGAGGTGGCGCGTCAGGTCGTCGTCGACGGCGATATCGTCCTCGACCTCCTCGGGCGGCGGGAGCTCAAAGACCGCCTGGATGTCGCCGTGCGCCGTGATGCGCCACTTCTCCCAGAACCACTGCCGCAGGCGCGGCGGCTGCTTGTCGGCCGGGTTGGGAGCCGGCCCGCCGTGAGATGGCAGCAGCCGGCGCTCCAGCACGGCGATGATCAGGAGGAGAGGGAGGTTGATGGCGCGCACGCTGGCGACGTGGATCTTGTGGAACCAGCGTGGGCTGGCTATGAACTTGAGAGGGACCAAGACCAGGAGAGCGACGATGTTGAACGGCGGCTGGTAGGCGAAGATAGCATCACTCTTGACACCCTCGAGCGTGAGCACAGCGTGCCTGTATTGGATCTCGGCTGTGGCGTTCTGGACAATGGTGCTGAACGTGTTGGACAGCATCGACACCAGGATGGTCAGGAAGAGGGTATTACCCAAGAAGGCGAAAGCGACCATCAGGCAGGGGCCCAGGAGCCAATGGAACTCGGCAGAGCGCAAGATCCCGGACCCGTCCAGTCCGAACCAGATGTATATCATCCACCTGCCGATGGTCACCAGTGGGTGGACTCCCTGGCCTAACCATGCGAGCGAGAGCATGAACCCTGCGAAGCACCACCCAGCCAGGACAGTCAAGACGGTAAAATCGGCCATCATGGCTCGTAGCGAAACAAAGAGAAGGTTGTCGGACATGAGGTTGAAGGCCAAGCGAGGGATGAGCACTGGCGCTCCTATCGCCAGGACATCTAGCGCCTGCTGGCCCAGCTCCTCAGAGCCTGCACGCCAGCTCTGGATCCTCAAGATGAGATATATCCAGTAGATGATGGCAAATGTCACGTCAAGGAAGGACCACAGGTTCTGTGTGTAGACGTGCCAGCCGTGTTCGAGTATCGTTGCGAACTGGTCGAGGACCCAGCCGCACGCGTAGATGGCAAAACATGCCTCAATGACAGTCACCCGCGCCACTTGCCGTTCGGCCATGAAAGCAAGATAGAGTAGGAGGAGAATGATGAACTGGCACACTTCGAGGAAGTTCCGAGTCCGGGGGACAATCAAGCGATACTGGTTCAGCAAGCCACCCTCGCGTGGATCGTAGAGCGAGATTGGCTTTTGTTTGTACCGGTCAGGAATGACGTTCAGGAAGCTGGACGGTGTGTAGATGACCCTCCCTTCGTAGATTGCATCAACGCTATCGTAAAGTTTAGCTTACGGTCAGAACATTAGAATATCAGAGGCATGGCTTACACTTTCTGGCACGATGTCGAGCTGAGGAAGAGCTTGCTCTCGCTCAGCACGGCCACCTCGAGCGCAGGCAGCGTTCGATGATAGGCCAGCCTCTCGTTAGAAAGCTGGGCCTCACGACGAATGGACTCCGGTGCGTTCTGGAAGGGTTCAAAGCCAGCGACGAGGATGTGCGCGAGCACGAGCAGACCCTCGGGGCCCTCGTTGTCCTCGTTGAAGCGGCGCAGGATCCTAACGGCGACCAGCTCGCAGAGGGTGGCGCGGGTGAAGTTGACGTTCTGGCGATTGTTCAGGTGGGACTGCTCGTAGAGGAACTGGGCGCGGTTGACGAGCAGGCAGTAGACGATGGATATGTCGTCCATCTCGTACAGCTTGTCGACCAGGGGCCGCACGACCGAGATGTTGATGCGCACGTCCCTCAGCTGCTCGAGGGTCATGTAGTCCTCGACGATGGAGATGATATCTCTGCGTATGCGATGGATGTTGGTGTAGACGGGCAGGTGAGAGTGCGGGTTTGTGAAGCACGAGAAGACGGGCTCCTGGTCGTGCTGGTGGCTGAAGTACGCCCTTTCCAGGAGTGGCCGGCGCTCCGGCTCGGCGATGTGCACATGATGGTTCTGGTGCGCCGCCGCAGCTCTATTGCGGTCGCCCATGGTCGCGATTCGCAAGAACAAGTCCTGGGTCTTGGCTTGAAGCTCCCGCGATATCGCCACTCCCAAGTTGCCCTGCCGCGGCAAGAAGTCGATTTTGTGATCTGTCTCGGCCCTGATCTACTCCGGAAAAGACGCCATTGTCTAATAACTGAAGAGTGGTGTTTGGATTGAGCTGAACTGGTTGAGTGTGTGCTATGTTCGTTCTCTGCTACGTGGAGAACTGAAGATGGGATCGAGTTTCAGAGATAAGGAATGAAAAGATCAAATGGAGGAGTGATAGCAGGTCCACGGGTCTGGGATGACGCGGATCGGCAATTGACGTAGTGGCGCGGGCGCTAATTGGCTAGCGATGCATGGGACCTGATATCGCCCGAAAAGGCCTGGACTGGACTGGGACCCCACTGGAACACCCGACTCCACACCCAGATCAACCTTCAAGGTTCTTTCAACAGCATACCTAGGTAGCCTACCTAATCTTTATAAAATTCAAGGTGCGTTATACCTTGAAACGAGGTCAAATACATGGGCATAGAATTACTTCACATAGTAGTATGTACAGTAAGCAAATAATATACAAGTAGATCGTGATGAGTATCCTATGATTAGGCAAGAAACAAGATAATTCATCAGTCCCTCCCAAAGGAATCACCTCCGAGAGCCCCCCGCCCAACTAAGCAAAGGCCCGGTTGGGGTCGATACGGAAACTGTAGCACTTGTTCGAGACCACACCGCCCTGCTTCCCATCGACGCCTCCGCAGTTGCAGCTGTCGGCCGGCACCCTGAGGTAGTGCTCGCACTCATCGAGGTCGAACTTCCAGTCGCAGTTGTCAGCGATCTGCAACGAGACGACCATGCGCACAAAGCCGACCCCGCCGTTGTACGGGAAGTCGTAGGAGCTCTGGTGGAAGTAGCCCGGGCCGAAGTGGTCGCGGGCGATGCTGTGGCAGAAGCTCGCGCCGCCGCTCAGCATGCGGGCGTCCTCGGTGGTCTCGCCGCTGTTGTAGCAGTCGACCTCGTTGTCGTTGGGGTTGCCCGTCTCCAGGGGCGACGGGGCCGGCGACGTCGACGTGGTGGTGGAGGTGGTGCTCGAGGAGCTGCTCACGATGGTGGCGTCGCCGGCGCCGCTCCCGGCCAGGCACGTCACGGCCAGGTCGTCGAGGTTCTCGTCGTCGTCGCCCGGCTCGGAGCCGTCGTCGCCCGCCGCCGCGCACTGGTCCTCGTTGACGTCGCAGTACATCCACGGGTTCGGGATGCACTGCGTGCTGTAGAAGAAGCACTGGTCGACCGTCGGCGAGTCCAGCGTGCCCTGGTACGGCGTCACGCCGCGCGCCACCACGCCCGCGGGCGGCGTCGGGAACGCCACCGAGGGGGCCGTCGTCGTCGCCTGCCCGTCGTAGCCTCGGTAGCTTATCGACGGCCACTGCGGGGTGGACGCCGCCACGGGCGTGAACTCGGCGAAGCCCTGCGCCGCCCGCTTGCCCTTCTTGCCGCCGCCGCCGCCGCCGGCCGTGATGGTCACCACCTCCAGCACCCACTCGGAGATGGTCAGGGGCGCCACGGTCACGGTGCTGGTCCACGTGCCGTCGCTGACCGTCATCAGCGGGTAGTTGACCGTGCTCGTGACGGCCGTGTAGGGCGGCAGCTGGACCAGGCAGGGCGGGAGGCACGTGAAGCTGGGCTTGTCCATGTCCCAGATCTTGGGGTCGATCCAGACCAGCTCGTTGAAGTTGGTGGTGCCGTTGCTGCCGACGTCCAGCAGCGTGACCTGCGACCAGTAGGGGTGGGCCTCGCCGTTCATGTTGTCGGCGGCGAGGATCCCCTGGCCGTCCATGACGGCCATGTACTTTGCGCCGATGGTGACCAGGTTCTCGATGCGCACGCTGGCGGAATTGTCCTGGAGCTTCATCAGTACCTTCTGGCACTGCTGTCCATCGATGCACGTCTGCGCGTACGTCGAGAACCACGTGTAGATGCCCGCCGCCGCGATGAAGATGTCCTGCGACCCCGTGATGATGGTCGACCACGACTCATCGCACCCGTTAAACTCGTTGCCGGCCGTGCACGTGTAGTCTGGGTCGCCGGGGAAGTCGCCGACCACCGCCTTGAAAGGCGCGGGAGGCGGCGGCGTAGGCTGGAAGTACGGCGACTCCGTCTGCAGCATGCCGGCAAAGATGTTGGCGGCGCCGTGGAAGTTGTACTGGTAGAACACAGAGTGCTCGGATGCCGTGGCGTACAGCCTAGAGTCCCCGTGTTAGAGCAAAGCGAACCCCCTCTCTTTGAGGTATAAGGATCAGAAAGCAAAGCAACTTACCAAGTAGCATGCGTGCTCTCAATCAAGAAACCACGCGCAACATAGATGGAACACTGCTCCATATCATTGGTCGGGTCATCAAGAAGAGGATCGTCGATCATGTGGTCGGCACCCCAAAGCCACACGTTCTCAAAGTACCCGGACGCCTGCGAAGTGAGGCGCATCATCAGCGAAGCAGCGCTGCAGCCAGCGTCCGTCCCGGAGGTCGAGGGTGGGCACTCGGTAGGCGTCAGCTGGGAGCCGGTGGCGCCTCCGATACGGGCGTGGCAGTCCCACATGCCGGCCGACCCCTTCGAGGCCGCCTGGATGTTCCACTCGATCAGGATCAGGCCGGCCGTGGCGCCGCGGGTCGTAAACAGGATGTCTTGGATCTCTACGTCGCCGACGCTGCCGACGCTGCCGACCTGGATAAGCACCTTGGGGTGGCTTGCGTCCTCGAAGTAGGAGCCGGAAGCCACCAGCTGCGACCACGTCTCGCCGACGATTTTGGTGCCCGGGGGGATCACGACAGTGGAGGTGAGGATGTACGAGCCGGCATCGATAAAGAGGATCTTGCCCTGGCTGGCATACAGCGCGGCCTGGAACGCAGCCGTGTCATCGGTAGAGCCATCGCCGGTAGCGCCCATGTCCTTGATGTGCACAAAGTCGCCGACGGCCTTGTCCTCGTACTGCGGCTTGGCACGCTCAAAGTACGCGCCATCGGCGTCAAGCAGGGTCGAGTGCCGGCGGTAGTCGCCGACCTTGCCGCCCTCGGTGTACGTGCGCGCGGTGGTGGTGCCCTCGTACGTCGGGCCGAGCGTCCACTCGGTGACGGTACCCTGGGAGCCATCAAGCCAGACCTTGCCGGCGGTGTCCTTCACGGCAGCAGCGACGCCGGACAGCTTGACGTTCTCGAGGATCACGCCGGTGCTCCCCGTGCCGGGGGCCTTGTTTGGCGGGGCGATTTGCAGCGCGGCGGTGGCCACGCCGGTGAAGGACGAGTCCAGCACGCTGACGGAGCCGATATTGCCGGAGCCGTCGTCCGAGATCAGCTTGAAGCCGATGCCAACGTTCGTCATGGTCACGCTCTTCCAGACCCAGCCCCAGTCCCAGATGACGTGCACGCCGATGCCACAGCCTTTAAAGGTCAGGCGCTGAGCTGTGAACTGTTGAGATCCTCCATAGAGGCCGACCTTGCCGCCCGTAAAGGTCACATCCGAGATCTGGCCGCCGGAGCCATTCTCGGCGTACATACCGATCTGATTGGTGGCTGCGTCAGTCGAGGCGATCAGCTCCACGTTCTGCAGGCTGGTGGCCTGTGCGACCTGGTAGTGCAGGCACGAGATGTTAGCGCCGGCGCCTGTGATGTCGATGGCGATGTTGCGGATCTGGCGGTAGAAGTTGGCCGTGTTGATGTAGTACTCCTCACGGCCCCCCTGGCCGCCAGTGTACTCGTCCGTGGACAGGACACCCAAGCCGACAAAGTCGGCCGAGGCCACCAGCGTAGGGCGGTTGTTGGCGTCGCCGATGACCTGCGTGCCGAAGGGCATGGGCACCGTGCTGGAGATGAGGTACTTGCCCGGCGGAAAGTACACGATGGCGTTCTTGGTGGTGGAGCCGTTGCACTTCTCGCCGCAGCGCCCGCCGTCCTTCATGGCATGGTTGATGGCCTTGGTGTCGTCCGTCACGCCGTCGCCCACGGCGCCGTAGTCGAGCACGTTGCGGAACACGACGTACGACGCGTTGTTGCCCCACGGAACCGTGCCCTTCCGGGCCAGGCCCTGCATCCAGTACGTGCCCGCGGCGGCTGCGGCGCGCTTGGTAACGTTTTTGTGTTTGGCGACGCTGTTGGCCTCGGCCACGAGCGCCGCCGCCTTGGCGATCTCGGGAGTGATCCGCAGCAGCGGCGTGACGCCGGCGTTGATGGAAGAGTTGCCGGTTGCCAGTGTCTTGGTGTCCCTGGCGCCCGGGGCAAGACCATACACGTTGCGGAGGGGCCTAGCAAAGCGCGCGCCGTTGAGCCTGGCCGCCTCGGCCTTGGCCTGGGCGACGATGCTGCGCGCGTTCTCGATGTCCGAGGAGCTGGCCCGCTTGAGCAGTGGCGTGACGACGTGCGCGGGGACGCTCCGGGGAGCAGGGTCCGGGTTGGGATGAGGTGCGCCGGCCTTCTTCACCGGGACCGGGGCGCGCTCAGTGTAATGCTTGGCGCGCGTCACGTTGAAGAAGTCCTCATACTCCTCGTCCTCGTCGTCCCAGCGGAAGCGCGGTTCCATGTTCTGCAGCTCGATGGGTGTCGTGGACGCCATGTCCCAGTCGACGTACGACGTGTTGGCCGAGATCTGTTGCTCGTGGCCGTGACCAGCATCCATGAGAGCACGGAGCTCGTCGAAGCTGAGGTCCCAGAGCGTGCGGCCCTGAGGGTCGGCGGTCGAGTTCCACCCTTTGACGTCCCGCTTGAAGCCCTGCTTGACGGGGGTCATATTTTCAACGGCATTGGCATTGCCCACGTCGATGTACGTCCATATACGGGCCGCCACGCCGTCAACCCTGTTGTCCGGGAAGAACTTGAAGAAGGCTACCGAAGTCCTTTCGTTGAAGTTCTGGACATTCAGCTTCTTGGCGATGACCTCCTGCAGGTCAGCCCGAAGTCTGGTATGCGCTGTGGCTTGCCCTAAGGACATGAAGGTCAGCCCTGTTCGGAAGTACCCAAGTTGTGTTGAGGAACGCGAGAGAAACACCACTCACAGTCCTGCTCCGCCTTGACTCCTGCAGCGCAGCGCATGGCAGCGCATCGGGTGTTGGCCGGCTGGTCGTGGTCTTCCCCGTTCCCACCCTCGACCCAGGAAGCGGGAGGGAATTCATCGCAGGTGTAGCGAATCTTGGAGTACTCGATCCCAGTACTGGTGTGGTAGTTTTTAATGAGGTTGGTCACGGTGCCGCCGGGCTCTAGCTCGCGGTAGTACCATTGTCCGTCGTGACGCATGGGAAGCCGCTGGTCTGGCTCGGGGCACGTGTGCGAGTTACTCCAGGAGCCGGGGCAACTCGCGAGACCGCGCGCGTGATTCCGGCTCCCTCTCTTCCTGCCGCTGAAGTCGTAGGCAAAGGTGTCCCTGGAGAGCTCTGGGCTGCGTGGGTGTAGTCTCTGACCCCTGGAGGTGATCGTGAACTGTACCATGTTCTTGCAGATGTCCCTCATGTAGGCGCAGTTGTACACAAGAACAACCAGGTAGTCCGGGCCAATGTCTATCACCTCCTGTGGGACATCGCTTATTTTAGGCTGCCTTCAAGCTCAAGTGGTTAGCGGAAGCAATCCATCCGCCAGCCGCCCTTGAGAGAGTCTGGGAACTTACCAGAAGTACTTGCCCGTGGCCTCGACGAAGGTATAGTCCTGCTGGTACTGAGCGAGTGTGGCATGGCGACCCAGGTCCAGGGAGAATAAGGCCGCCAGGAGGAGAAAGGAATGTAAAAGAGCCATGGTGGTGGCAGTAAAGAGCGTAAGAACAATAACAGAGTCTTTTTCTCCCGATCGCTGTTGCGTTCCGGAATAAGCATCACCACATGGGCGTGGCGGTGGTGCGATATATATAAAACTCTCAGTTAGAGAGGGCCTGCCCAAGCCCGACGGACTGAGGGCTCGGGGTTTGTGTCCCTCCCTCGTTCCCTCCCTCGATCTTCCTCTACGCATGGATGGCCATGTTGTCGGCTTCGCGGCATCTCAGCCGAGGTCGCAGACCGACACGCGCGCCCGAGCGTGACTGTGATGCTGCAGGAGGCATAGACCCTTGCCTGGATGATGTGTGCTAAGAGCGAATGAGACGACGAAATTGGGCAACTGTAGACGGGGACTAATTTGAACTGACAAGGCTCTCGTCTGACTTGTCCCTCAGGGTGACATTCATTAGGTAGCTTCCGGAAAGGCTTGGCGATGAAGGAATGAGATGTGTGGGGGAGAGGATGTATGCTTATCTCCTTGCCGCCGAAGCTAAGCTTTCTCATTTTATGGGCCCCTGCTGATGTTGCCGCGCGTGCCGGGGTCCGGATCGGCGACCCCTACCCCACGTGTGCCCGAGTTCGAAGTCTAAATTTCCGGCCCGGCCGTCCGCGCCGGTTGACAGAGGTCAAGCCTTTGGGGTTCCTTGGCACCCGAGTCTTACGTACCATAACTAGCATAACTGCGTTTTCTAGCACGGGGAACCGTCACTGTGTCTTTGCAACACCGGCATTTTTGTCTATGTTGTTGTGTAGACTGTGCTGAATGTACTGCGTTGGACGTTGGTTGTCTCCTTTGCAGGGATAAAGCCGGTACGAGTGCTAACTAGTACAAGTAATAATCAGATGATTGCGTGCAGGCCGTTCTCGGTGTGGAACTCACGCCCCTTCGCGGAAGCGCGGAAAAGGGACTCTTTTTCGGATGGTCACATCCAAAGTGGCGTCCGTTTTGTGCAACATGCAGGATCTCATTAGCGCTATCCCGCTTATTGCCAAGTCTGGACAAGTCGAGCTGAAATGCGGCACCAAATCTCAGCTCACGCGGAATGCTCTGAAGGAATCGCCGCCCTCTCCGTTGGCTTTTCAGAGGTGCCTCTGCGGGTGCTGCTTGGCCTGGGCCCTTGCAGAATGCAGGAACGCGGAAAAGAACGGAAATTGGACGTTTAGGCCCTGCATAAAGGCTACCAACGTGCGGCACAGCCTCGGGATAACTTCACAACGGCGGCTTCTCTGAGTGCTAACCCCAAGAACCGGCTTGTCCTGGGCACGCTTCATCTGTCGTCCTGGCCCCGTGGTGGTCGCTGGCTTATTCCTCAGAACACTTCACTTTCTCCCCCGAGAGCGTCAGCACCAGAGAGTCCTTCCTTTGTAAACCTTCAGTCTAAGAAGCCAAGCCGGCCGTTGCCCATCATGATGCGCCTGTTTGCATCGTCTCTCATCTTCGTTCTAGCCCTCGCGGACGACATATGCCAGCCGGTGAAATGGAACGCCAAACGCTCGGAGGGGCCGTATAACACCAAGGCTCTGAGGGCCGCCAACGGCACCATGAGCACTCGCAAGACGCTGGTGACCACTACAGAGATCCAGCCCGGCGACATCAACTGCCGCTACTCGGCCACCACGAGCGCCACCGTCAACTACTACACGTGTACGCAGATGGCGACCAAGTATGGCATCACTATAGACGTCTTCTTCACGCTGAACCCCACCCTTGAGCTGGACTGCAGCAACATCCAGCCCAAGACCGAGTACTGTGTTGCTGGCTGTGAGTTGCCTCTGTCCCGGGCTGTTGTAGCTTCCGCGACCACAGGCTAACGAGGACAGTCATCGAGCCTGTGAGAGCCACGGACCGGCTCTGCGGCCCCCGGAACGGCAACGCTACGTGTCTCGGCACGGCCTACCAGTGCTGTAACTCGGAGACGTGGAAGTGCGGAAACTCGACGTAAGTCCTGTCCTATCTAAGCAACCCGATATCAGAGATCCCATCACTCTGAGAACGAGAAAGCCAACCTCTTGATGTGCCCATGCCATAGTGATGACTGCGCCGCCGGCACCTGCTACGAGGGCGCCTGCGCCGGCGACAAGGTTTACAGCACAGACGGCACCTGCGGCCTGAACCACGGCTTGCGGCTGTGCGCCGGCAAGTGGGGTGACTGCTGCAACCTGGACGGCGCCTGCGGCACGGGTGACGCCTTCTGCGGCACCTCTGTGTGCTTCTCCGGCAACTGCACCGTTCCCGACATCAAACCGACACTGCCTGACTGGATGAAGGGGAACACGCCTGACGGCACCTGCGGCGGCGAGAAAGGCTACACCTGCAACGTCGTGTACGGCAATTGTTGTAACAAGAATGGCATGTGCGGTGTCCTGGCGTCGGATTGTGGTGCTGGATGGTGAGCCGAGCGATTCTCTTTCCGTCCTGTACTATCGCCTGTTCCTTGATTGATATTGACTGCTGCATTGTGCGTACAGCCAGCCTGAGTTCGGCGATTGCAGCTCCATCAGCACGACGTCTGCCTCCAGGACCACGTCCAAGTCGTCCTCCTCCACCTCTTCTGCGGGCATAACGACCACAACACATGTTACGTCTACCTCTGCGTCCAAGACAACCACTACATCCACCACCTCAACTACCGCACTCAGCTCCCTGCCCTCATGCGGCCAGACGTGCTTCAACAACATGGTGGGCCAGTGGTCCAAGCTGGGATGCTCCAGCGAAGACCCAGCCTGTCTTTGCAGGAACGTCAACTTTGGCTACGGCCTGCGCGACTGCTCTAATGGCGCATGCGGGACGGACGTCGCCAGCACGGTAATCGCATATGGCAGTGCGTACTGCAGCTCGGCTCTGGCGACGACGACCCCGACCGCCACGCCGACCCCGACCGCCACGGGCGTGGCCGGCCTGCCGACGTGCGGCCAGACGTGCTTCAACAATATGGTGGGTCAGTGGTCCCAGCTGGGATGCTCCAGCGAAGACCCAGCCTGTCTTTGCAGGAACGTCAACTTTGGCTACGGCCTGCGCGACTGCTCTAATGGCGCATGCGGGACGGACGTCGCCAGCACGGTGATCGCATATGGTAGTGCGTACTGCAGCTCGGCGCTGGCGACGGCAACCCCTACCGGCACGGGCGTGGCCAGCCTGCCGACGTGCGGCCAGACGTGCTTCAATAACATGGTCGCCATGTACTCGTCTCTCGGGTGCGCGAGCCCGGATCCCTACTGTCTGTGCAAGAACGTCAACTTCGGTTACGGGCTCAGGGACTGCTCCAACGGCGCGTGCGGGACAGACATCGCCAGCAAGGTCATCGCGTATGGGAACGCATACTGCGCTTCGGCGAGTGCGACGGCCACCGCGAAGACGTAGACAGGGCAGTTTATCTGCTGAGAGGCGGTTGTTACTTCTAGCTTTCTTAGTATATACTCGTGCCACACCCAACTTCTTTGGAATCCGCTCGATGTACAACTTGTCAATTTCTTCAATATTTCCAGCTTCAACTATACCAAACAAATTACAAATAATTCTTATCCTGAAAAGCTTTTATTAAATAGAGATCTTGTAAATATTCAAAAGCTATTTAGAAATATATTTGATAGTAGATATCTATATATATAGACTACTGAATTATTCTAGATTACTAGTTGTAAGTGATCTAATTACTACCTGACAGATAACTCATTCAGCATAATTGCTAATCTTGTCGTGTTCTGCCCTGGGTGACCGCCTCTGTGCCTCTTAAAGTACCACCTGGTTGATCTTGTGACATGGACTTAATAATCAAAAATCGACTTTGTTACAGATTGAGCTTTCGTCCCCTGTAGTCCTCCCCAACACTTCATGTCTCTGGAAACCCACACCTCCTCGAAGCAAAACGACCGCCGCATCTCCCTCAGTCCAAACATCTCAAACACCATCAAACCTCTCACAAGATGTCCACGGCAGAAAATCCCTACCCGACCTACGAGGCCGCCTGGGCCACGGTGGGCGTCACACCCAATGGCGCCGCCAAGCTGCTCTTCATGCCGGTGCAGGGCACCGTGCAGAGCGCCATCGAGGTGCTCTCCAGCCCGGGGGACCCAGACACGCGGACGCCCTACTACAACCAGGCAGCCGGGACGTATCACCCCATCAGCGCGCTGCCCATCTCGGGGCCCAAGGTATCATCCATCACCGTGCACGTGTGGGAGCTAGATGACTGGGAGGAGGCCTGGCTCGAACTGCACGAGCACCACTCGGAGCCAGACGCGCCGCCGGGCGCATACCCCGGGGCGACATGGGGGAAGCTGAGCGGCAGCAGTGGCGGCGAGGAGGGGGAGGACGGCGAGGACGACGAGCCGGAGCTGCTGCGCTGCTGCGGGCAGGCCCGGCCGCTCGGCAAGGACGCCGAGCTGACGATCAAGCCCTCCAAGGGGTGGGACGGCCAGGGCGGCGGCTTCGTCACCGTGCACGACTACGTGAGCGCGGTGCACCCGTGGCTGGTGGGGCTGCGGGGCGACATTCTGGGCGCGATGGGCACGGCGGACGGGCTGGACGAGCCGCTCAGGGACGAGATGGACCTGGTGGTCAGCTGCGGCGCGCTGCACAGCCTAAGAATCAAACCGCGGACGTCTTGGATCGGACACAGGAAGGGGCTGCCCGTCTACGAGGTGGTTGGGGACAGGCTTCGCACAAGTGAGATCATCACGTCTGAGTAGTGCTGTCTGTTTTATATCTTATATGCGGTCTACTCCTCCTTCAAGCGCCCAGAACCTCTACTGGCTGTACCTGGATGAGCAACATCCGCTCCATCCCCGAAGGTTTCTCGATCAATACTACTATCATGCCTTGGATGATACAACGAAGCGGAACGGTGACCAGGTTACTTCGAGGTACTGTACGTAGCTGAAAGAAGTAGCCGGAAAGAAGTCGAATGACAATGTCGATGATCTAAAGAGAACGGTCTGAAGACCAAAAGGGATTTTGGAACGGTTCGTTTCCGACGTCGACTTTGTGGGAAGTCAGTCTACATACAACTTTGAATAAAACTGACGATGTCCTAGCTGCTTAGATCTGAAGCAGTTGCTCTCAGGATCTTCTCAGCCCGAAGAGTTCATGCTAGAAATCAACCTATCTGATGCCAATTCCCACGCTGTGCCAAGTTCAGATTTTAAAGCATCTCTTTTTTTGACTTCCGTCCAACACGGAGTGTTTCCTGCGGCATGAAACGAGCAAATGAAGACTATTCTTTTCGAACAGTGTCACTAGGTGCATCTCACTTTCGGTAAACGATAAATGATCACAAGAAGATCTTTACTTAGATAACTATGAAAAACATAAGAACTGATGTATTGGAAAGTCATGCCAGTCTTGCCTTGCCTGCTAAAGCTCATCGTCCATATCCATTCCATCCATGTATGGGAGGCTCAAACAGAAACACTGTTCCAGGACATTACCGCATATTCTACAGCGCGAATTGTTTGCACTTCCAGAGCCGGAAGCCGCGATGTTTGAAAGAGACATAGGGATATCCGGGGTGGGTTGCGAAAAGGAATTATAGAATGCCACCGTATCAACAGCGAATGGGTCCTCAGCGAAGGCCGCATCCGGATCTAGCCAGCATGAATCAAGTGCAATCCCAGAGCCAGAAGCCGCGATATTGCTAGGGGGCACTAGGATGTCCGGGTTAAGTTGCCAAATGTAATCATGTTGTACCGTGGTGTCAACGGCAGAGGAGTCTTTGGCGCAAACAACATCGAGGTCTGGCCCGGAGACGGTGAGGTTTGATGCAGAATCTTGTCGCGCTTCTCCATCGATACCAAGAGCTGTGCCTTGATGGAATTGATTGCTGAGCTCAGCCGTCACATTGTGCGGGCCGTTGCTGAAGAACGGGATGATGCTCAATTCGGGTTCAACCCCAGGGGATCTGTAGATATCATAGTGCTGGGTTGTTTCATCGACCCAATCAACCATATCCAGGTGTGCCAAGGATCCAGTTTGATCAATACCATCAACCCCAAAGTTGTTCATGAAATCAGGAAGAGCCATGTTGCTTTCTCTGATCTGAAAAGTGCCACCGGCGCCCTCGGTCCCTCCCCTGTCGCTGGATGGGTAGACCGAATTCATTGGGAAGAGCTGTGGAGCTTGAATAACAATGTCTGGCTCCGATAATTCGATCCCATCATCATTGGATTGTCCATCATCAGATTCGTCTTCCGTTGAGGCCCACGATGTATCGTCAGCTTGATCGGTTTCGTCAGCTGCGTCGGAAAGCGTTTCAGCAATGTAAATTCGCCAGTCCTCGTCATCCCACGGTTGGCAGTGTTCTCTCAATATCGCTTCAATGACAGAATGGCCTTCAGCGGCCGCAAACTTGACTGCTCGAATATACTGTCGCCGGTGCTGGTTCTCCGTAGAAACACCTGAAGACAGAAGAAACTGAACGGTTGTGAGTCTCCCGTGTTCAGCAGCTGCCTCCAACGCTGTTCTCCCATGTACTGGACTCGCGGGAGCATTGAGGTCTGCTCCCAGATCTTTCAATCGTCTAACGAGGGCAAGTCTGCCGGCGCCTGCCGCAAGCTGAAGCGCTGTTGCACCCCTAACCTTGCCTGCCGGCTCATCGACATTGGCTCCATGCTCGATCAGAATCTCGACCATGGCAACGCTACCTTGCTCAACGGCTGTCTGGAAGGGTGTTCGGTGAACCCAATAAGGAGTGTATAGCTTGGTCTTTGTCATGTTGCCGTTGACTTTCACTCCTAGGTCAAGAAGTCTCTTCATTGTCTCCAGATTGCCATGCTCACAGGCGCGTTGAAGACACCCTTGTTCATCCAACTCCCTTCGGTCCACTCCATGTTCAATCAGAGTCTCGAGCAAATCCGACCTTCCGTATTCAGCTGCAATCATCAAATGCTTCCCAAAGGGCTTGAGACCTTGATCCAAAGCAGACTGAACTGCCTCGGACGAGGCAAAAAGTAGAAGCCAATCAAGCCCATCTTGCACAGCGGCCCCTTCACAAGAATAGCTGAATGGAGACGGGTATTCAGTAAAAATATGTGCGAATTCCTCAAAGGTCTTGAACACTTCAATCAGACGTCTCGTTCTCAGATTCCCGCTTAGATAGAGCCCAACTTCCGCCATGTGGTTGACCAGCTCTCCAAGTCCTCCACATAGTGCAAAAATAAGAGCGGTGCCCTCGTTGGCACAGATCTCAGTGCGGGATGGTCGGCGCTGTAGGAGGCATTCGACGAGTCTGGAACTGCCAAGGCATCCTCGTGTAGCGGAGATCTTAAGAACAGCTATCATCAAGGCCCGACAATCATACATCGAAGGTCTAGCCTCCAAAATGAGTTCAAGATACTCAAAGCTTTCATTTGACACAATCGTCACCAGAGGCGAATCTCCTCGCTGAGCACAGTCCCATTCATATGAAGTATCGAGACTGAGCATGCGCTTAAGAAATTCCGGCGGTTGCTGAGAGAGTATTGCGTGACTTAGTGTGAAGAATCCTTGCCGGTATAGTCTTTCGAAAATATGTATCGGCACCTTTGATTGTTGGCTTGTCTGTATATCTTCCCACGGCCATGTATCAGTCGCAGCACCACAATCTAGGAGGAGCTCGGTAATCTTCCAATACCCGTGCCGAATCGCCATATTCACTGGTGTTTCTTCTTCATTAAAGTCTTCGAGTACATAATTCGGATCAGCACCCAGGGACAGCATCCTCTCGATGACTTTAACAAGCTGGTCTTCTGAAAGGATTTTCGCGTTTGCAACTGAAGTAATCGCGTGCGTAATGGGTGATCTTTCGAAACTCTCCTCGAAATCCTTGAGAGTCACGCACTCGAATTTGGGGAAGCTTGAGGGACTGCTGGAAAACAGCGAGAAGTAGAGGATGGCTGACTGCCAAGGTCTTGGACAACTCATGTCTGGGAATAAGGACAAGAGTTTGTGTACGGCAGTCCAATTTTCCGGCAGTGCATTCCGTCCCGGCCTCTCTTGGATGAATTCTCGAGCTTCTCTGAGGGCTTCTGAGTACGAAGATGTGACAAATTCCCAAACATCATCTCTTACAAGCCAGGGACCGACGTCTAAAGAAAGAAGTAATTTGACAGGTGTACGTATCGAAGAACGTGAGGTGATCCAAGACATTCCTTTTTCCTTTAGAAGTTTAGCCATCGAGAGATTCTTATGCAAGAAACAATAGACCAACGCTGATACCGGATTGTGTCCCCACCTTGACCTTGAGATTTCTTGGTCGGGATCCATGTCAGCGCCCAATTCAAGGCAACTTTCAACCATTGCCATGTCGAGTCGCCGAATGGCATTGGCGATCAAGGCCCTGGAGAGGCATTTTGAAATCGCTTCTTGGGATGCGAAAAGTTGTTTCAGCCAGATTGATTTATGACAGACCATGTGAAACAAGTCCCCCAGGACTCGATCGTTCGGCCTCGCACCATGAAGGTTGTTTGCTATGGCAAATGCCAGGATTTGCAGGATACACCCGGCCTCAATTCTACTAAAAGTGAACTTTGAGAGGAAAGCTTCTATTCCATTCATGAGGTCTCTTGAACCCTGCTGTGGTATCGATAGCAGGAGTGTCTGAACTGGATCTCGGAGGTATCGAAGACAAGTCTGTTTGTAATAAACAAGTGTCTGCGTCAGACCTACCAAACAGAGGTCAGCCATGATTTTGAACAAAAAGGCGGGAGTTATTGGCGTTACATTCAAGCACCGGGGGTATAGGTATTGATATCGTATAGGAGCTGGGCCAGGCGCCATCGTAAAGCCCCTGGAAGTAGCGATAGATGTCAGATTTGGGAATCAAGGCCATGGACTCGGGTGGAGGAGTTTGCACAATGACGACGTGAGAAGGTTCAGGAGAACGACGCGTTATGTCTTTCCATCCCAAGCCCAGCATGTTAGTAGATGACCACTATCGTGCTTTCATTGGGATTATCCTCACCTCGCCCGCCGATAGTGAACTTGTCGGCTAGTCGAGGCCCGGTATGGCGATGAACCCTCTGCTGTATCGCCGGATCTGAGATTATGCTGCCATTCCAAATGACAATACTGGCTTTGTTGTGAAGTGCTCTATCGCGTAGTTTGCGTCCCGCTTGCTCCCAGGCCAGGACATCCTTTCTGGAAGCATACTTTTTCCCATGCCATTTCTCTACCCGCTTTCGGTACTGAGTCTTACTACCCAGACTGTCAGTCTACAAATATGGATACTTGTGTCAGTGTGCATGAATACATACCTGGCATGAATTTTGTACTTCGAATTGATTTCTTTGATCACATCGTCCAGCTTCTTGTTTTTGTACAGCTGAAGAATCTCATCTTCATGCTCATCAAGCTTGTTACCCTCGGTCCTAAGTGCGTTCTTTCGCTCCATGACGCGATATGTATTCCACTGTGCAAGCACGTTGTTCCTGTAAATGAGTGAGTCAGAAATCCGTAGCTGTAATGGGCATCATGATGTTTTCAAGCCTCTTCAAAGTGGCAAAATGGCGGGATGTGAAGGATTTTAATAGGTAACAGATGTGCACTTCTTGTCACGCGTTATTGGCCCATGTCTTGTGCACCCCCTCCAACATGAGCCTCCATATGTGAGATGCTTGACCAGCAACCTATCGCCCCCACCTTCAAAAGGGCATTTCGTCTCTCGGCCACTCACAGGCCGTGAGATGTCGCCTGCCTGGCAAGTGCAGGACCGCCCTACACTCAATGACAAGGGGTGACTCTTGGTCGAGCCTGATTGGATAATTCTTCAAATGCTCTTTCAATATTCCATCTCTCAGGGCTCGTGTGATTTGTGCAATGCGATTGGGTTACTCACTAAATGCCTTTTAAAGAACATGAGGCGAACAAGGGGCGAAAGCTTGTCACACACATTTAATGACGATAGTGGAGTACCTTGATCAAGCTCGATTGGATCATTTGCCAAATGGCCTTTCCATCCCAAGGTCGTTATATTCGTGCAATGTGATTGGGTTACTCACCAATTGCCCTTTCTTCCTCGGTGTCAGTTGAGACCATTTGGTCTGCCTGGCACAGATGCTGGCCGATTGTTTCTTTCCACGTAGTAGAATCATGGAGGGAGTGTTGTGTCTATTATAAAAAGGGGGGCCGGCTCTCCTCTTCAAAGCAGGTTTCATGCTCTCAAACAATCCCTTCAAACCAGTCTTCCGCTCCTTGAAAGATCTCGCAGTCTCTAGTCTCTGAACAATTCCATTCTCTCGAAGTGAGAACAATGCCCTCCAAGAATGTCGGTACAATGGCTCTATGGTTTATGGGTGCCACCAATGCCGACCATGTCGTGTACAAGACCCCAAGCAAGCAACAGCGGTCCCGACGTCCCAAGAGGGACCGTTCGAACCCCAAGAGAAGGGGCCCTGCCCCAGGCCCGGCACAAGCCTCCGAACCTGAACCCCAACACGTACTACCCAATACCGGCCAAAGAGAGACATTTGGCCAAGTCGATATGATGCCTATCCATCGTGGCGGATATGCTGGTCCCCACGACGCAGCGGACCACAATATCAACCCAGGCATCCAAGGTGCTACGAACGAGACTGAGTCTCGTTACGAAATGCCTCTCGCCAGATGGCTCACCCAGCCGATGGCTGATGAGCCTTATCATACCATCGGGTTTGTCCAGGTCAATCAGCAGGCAAATCAGCAGTCCGCCCCGTTCGATCCTCATGCCACCTTGGGTGAGGACGAGCTGCAGATGGATTACAGTGATCGCCAGCAAGCTTGAGTATGTATTGACTTGGTGTTTTTTGAGATTGTGGTCGTTGTGTTTCGGTCTACAGAGTTCTTGATATTCGTGCTTTTGTCTCTTTCCCGATTGTGGTGTCTAGTTTTAGGTATTCTCTCGCTCGCTCAATATACGCAACTTATACCGGTGGAAACACACCGATTCATTCAAATCTTGTCGTGTGAATATGAAACAGAACCACTGTGCTTTTCCAAATTGATGGTACTTTTGTGGCTTTCCCACCCCCTTTGACGAATGTCAAGCCGAGCTGGCATGAATAATGGCAGTAGGTGACCGTGGTGGTGTTTGTTGATGATGTTTAACGAGCGATGAGCAAGAGCCACCACAATGGACTCTTGGTGACTGAAGGAGAATTGATAGATCCCCATGTTCCTCCTTTCTCTGAGGCCCAGCCTTTACGACGAAGTGGAAATTTCTTGCCACCAATCTGTCGGGCGGGAGGCATGGTTAATAGACGTGTAGTCAACTTACACGGGCAACAGCTAGCGGGGCAGCTGTCAGCAGCTGACACGCACAGTATTGTCAATTGCTGGCCATGCCCCAGCGATCTCTGTCTTAACAATTCTCATCAACAATGATATACGTCCACTTGACGAGATGACTGAAGAACAAAGCTCTGTATATCGATATCATGAACTTCTATTGTCAATTCACTGTAGGTAATGGCCACGAATAAAAAGCATGTAGAGTTGATCTTGGAGCCAATCACGTGCCCGCGTTCACAACCTCTAGTAAATGTGCTGTCAAACTTTTGCTCCTTCAACCCTCCTCCTCAGTTTACCTAATTCAGCCCAAAAGTGAAGCAATTCCCAAAACTTGTCACACAAGTCACTCCTTCATACATCACCCAGGATCCCTCCTCTAGCACACATCCTACCCAAGAAGAAAAGAGAAAAAAAGGGACCATGCTCCCCACCCCATCAACCTCCCACGTCCCCTACGCCCGCGTCTACGAGCCGGCAGAAGACTCCTTCCTCCTGCTGGACACCCTCTCCTCCCCCTCGGAGCAGGCCTTTCTCCGCTCGCACTTCCCGGCATCTTCTTCTTCTTCCTCCTCCTCCCCATCCCCGCTCCTTCTCGAAGTCGGCTCCGGGTCGGGCGTAGTCGTCGCCTTCCTCGCCGCCAACGCGGCCGCCATCTTCGGCCGCGCAGACGTCCTCGCCGCCGCCACAGACGTCAACGTCCACGCCTGCCGCGCCACGGCGCAGACCGTCGCCGGCGCGGTGGCCGAGGCCGCCGCATCGGCGTCCAGCCGGGACCCGGAGTCGGGCCTCTTCCTCGGCGGCGTGCAGGCGGACCTCGCCTCGCCCTGGCGCGCCGGCGGCGTCGACGTCCTCGTCTTCAACCCGCCGTACGTGCCGACGCCGGACCTGCCGCGGTGGGACGACCACCACCAAGGGGAGGGGGAGGGACAGGGGCAGGCTCCCGGTACAACCACCACCACCACGACCTTCGAGGGCGACTCGCACCTGCTGTCGCTGTCGTACGCGGGCGGGCGCGACGGCATGGAGACGACGGACCGCCTGATCGACAGCCTGCCGTCGGCGCTGTCGGCCCGGGGCTGCGCGTACGTGCTGCTGTGCGCGCAGAACCGGCCCGAGGAGGTCAAGAAGCGGATACGCGGCTTCGACGGCGACGGCGGCAGGAGGTGGAGGGCCGAGACGGTGGGGACGAGCGGGAAGCAGGCTGGGTGGGAGAAGTTGCAGATTGTGAGGATATGGAGGGAATGACGGCAGGAGCCCGGTTGGCCTTTTGAAAGTTCTCTGTAGAGACAGTCTGTCAAGATACCCCGGGTTCGAGACAATTTGATAATGGTGCACTGCTGTACTTCCGGGCAGATGTTCGGGATCATTGACGTTATCCCGTCATTATTCTGTTTTCAAGGGGGACCCCTTACGCAAACGTCCCTTGAATGCAGAGAAATATTACCACATAAGCTGTAAACATCAAGTCAAGTACCAAGTTCAGAGCATTGGCACATGGATAGACCAGGTTCCGAAGTGCATGTCATTCCCAAGGGGTATTTTCTTTGATCCCTCCGAACTATCGGTTATTCGTCAACCCGAAACAACAGACAGATGAAAGCCACCCCCCGTTCAGTCGAAAGAGGCTCCGATGCTTGAGACCAAAATGATTTCGTTCTAGTTGCATTTTTTGTCCCTCCCCCACGCCCAGAAATAACGCCGTAATGAATTCCTTTCAAGACACCCTCCATTCTCCCCATCCATCTCGAATCTCGATATATCTCGTCTGGTCCGGTCGACATATCACGCCCCAGCCTGGCCGACACAGCAGCCCTTTGGACATCGCACCGGTCGCCAGAGCCCCAGCAGCGTCAGACCATGCCGACCTAGCCGCGACCCCCTCGCGCAGCACCGGGAGCACCCGTAGCAGCCACGGCACCGCCCGTCCCACGTCCATCTCCCCGCCCATCGAGCGCACCACCCACCCCCCCTTAAGGCCGGCCCCTCCCGCCGCGCATGCCCCGGCCCCTCCCGCCGCGCATGCCCCGGCCGCCGCGGCCGCCCCTGCCGCCGCGGTCGGCGACCTCCTTGCGCGCCTTGTTCTTGGGCTTGGGCGCGTCGTCGATGAGCAGCGTGTCGAGCGGCAGGCTGTCGGGCAGGATGAAGTAGCGGATCGTGCTGCCGCGAATGTTCATCGTGTCGAGCGGGATCGGGTCCTGGCCCCGGGGCGTCATCTTGACGTTGCGCAGCGCCGTGTTCATCTGCGGCGAGACCGAGGTGATGGTGCCGTGGACGATGGTGCCTGTTGTCCGTCGTCGTCGTTGTCCCGACCTCGTTAGCAAAAAAGATTGGGGCTTTTTCCGAAAGCAAGGCATGAATGTAATGAAATGGATGACCGGGTTGGGGAGGGGGATGGGGCTTACCGTTCTTGAGCTCGACGGTCACCGTCTCGTTGGCGCACTTCATCAAGAACCTGCACGACCACGGGTCAGCCTCGCGGTCCATTCGCCGTGTCCACGATCATGGTGCACATTGTGCAGGATGCAGGAGGTCGCGCTGGGAGGGCAGTGTCGATTTACCTGACGAGCTTCATCTTGGCTGCTCAGATTGCAGTGTAGAAGCTAATGTGTGTCTGGTTGGGAGGGTGTGCAAAGTTCACGTCGTCGCGAAATGCTACTTTTTGATGGTTGGAGGGCGGTGCTTCAAGCTCTACCTACTAAAATTGATGGACTGAGGTTGGAGGTCACGTGTGGACTCTAAGATTTGGTGGAGATACATCTAAGCTACCCCGCAACCACGCGCATAAAGCCTCAGAGTTGCGCGCGCTAGCAAGTACTTTTCAAGTCTTTTCGTCGCTATCTCGCCGTAAGGCGAGTTGTATCTTGCCTTCGCTGCTCGGGAAAGCTATCTAAATGTGCCTGAGAATCTTCTGAGCCCCATTTGGCGATCCCAGCAGAGCGTGAATAACATCGCAGTTTAGCTATGTACAGAGTGGAAAGATCTGCGAGCAGGCGAGCCCGGCGCGGCGTGGACTGGTCGCTGGGTTGACTAGTTACCAGGACTGCCGTCGCTGATCAAACTCGGCCGTTCTGCCGACGACTTTATTTGTCCTTCTCGTTCTCCGACACCTTCTCCCACTCGTCCTCCGTGCTCGCGCTCGACTTGGAACCCACCGACTGCTCGGACGCGGCCTCGGCGGTCCGGCGCTTTAGTTCGCCCTTCTTCTGCAGCGGCTCGACTTCCTTGCTGCCCGTCACCGGCGGCCTGCCCCTGGCTATGACTGTCTCGACCTCCGTCTCCTCAGCCGACGATGATGAAGAGGCCTCGTTATCGGCGTCTGCAGCCGCGCCCGCCTTGCTCCTCTTCTCCTGCTCCTCGCGCTCCTGGAAGATCCTGACTTCATTGGCAAACCAGTTGATGGCCCACCAGAGACCGCCGCAGAGGAAGGAGAGGATGACGAAGTGGACGGACCAGGTCGCGAGCAGGAGCGCAAAGAGCACGAGCTGAAGGGCGGCGAAAGAAACGTTGGTGGCGATCAGGAGTGTCGGCGTTGCGCCGGGGGTGAAGATGGACTCCCACAGGTCTGTGACGAATTGCGACATGGTGCTCGTGCGGTTGTGTCTTGTCGGGGTTTTAGAAAGGGACAGCCCGGAATGGTTCTGCGAGCGTAGTAAGAGGCTGCAAACGACCAAAAGGTCAACAGCGACTGGCAAGGTGAGGTGATTTGTTAGCAGACGTAAGGTTGAGGGGTGGATTTCAGAAGCATCATTGCCTTGCGGCATGTGAAGGTTGAAAGCAGACCAGCGCATGGCTTTTAGGGCCGCGGCATTTGGCCCAGCGCCCCTGCGACAGTCTGCTTGGACAGGTGTCAGGAAAACACGACGACTCACTTTTCCAGCCGTATTGCAGCGCGTGTGCGAGGCAAAAAGACAAGTGTTGTCTTGGTGAGGACAGACAGCGCGCGCCACAGAGCAGGCAGACGTAGAGATGGTATGGCGGATATGCAGGGGAGACGATCTTATCATAGGCGGGTTTGGTTGCCCGGCACTTTCTTTTAGCGTTGTCTTCCCGACCGCGGGGGCCTAAGGTAGGAACGCCGTATGTCTGCTGAACGAACCAAGACAATTTCGGGACGACACAACACGTCGTGGGTGCTGGTGCTCGGTAAAAAGAGCAGGAAGGATTGAATGACCCCGCGGTGACGGGGAGAAGTGAGTATTCCCGGCTATAATAAGCAGTCGGTGGAGGCAAGGGAGAAAGAAAAGGCAAGTAATAAACAGGATGCGACTTTGATGCGAGAGCGTCGCGCGCGAAGGGCGGTCAGGTCAAGTGTGGCCCCGTCCAAGCAAAAGAGGGGAGGGATGGAGCAAATTGATGTTGTCGCAGCTGCTGTCAGGTACAAACCCAAACCACCTGGATTAGGCAGGGATGCCGCCTATGACAACATCCCTTTCCATGCTGCTTTCCCTGCGGGGCATGCACGGCACATGCCCCTTTCGGCCTTTCGGGTTTGCAAAATACAAAATCATGGGCAAAATCACATTGATGACTACGCACACCACGTGGACTAATCCCCACCGTTTCTAGCAGCCAGAAACATTGATTGAATCTGACGACTCGCGATTCTCGTTATCGGTCATCACCAAACTACCTACCAAACCACCGTCACGAGCAGCCAGAACGCTGTCAACCATACAATGCGCACGTCCTGGGCTAGCACCCTATAGGTCAGATGAATTGGTATGGACTTGGATGATTATTCTGTAGCTATGATGTTGAAGCAGAGTAGTACCTATAAAGAGCAGGATATTATAAACAACATGGCAGTCAGTATAGTTATAGCAACTTATAGTCAGATCAACGCCTGGAACGGGAAAGGCTCAGAGGATAAGCTGAACACAGTGGATATTCTGGTCAGCAGAAAGGCGACCTAGATGATCAAAAGATAAACCATAAGAAGAAAACGAAAGAAGGTTTCTGTATGATCTGGTTGCTTATGGCAAACCTGGCCGCCCACTTTACTCCTGATAACCGTCGCCCACCTCACGAGCAGCCGTCTCCCCTTTGACACAATAGTGCTCAGAGCCCCTGTCGTTGCTCCTCAACGCTCTGAGAATCCCCAAGAGCCCAAACTCACTATGTCGAAGTTGGTGGAACGGTGCACGAAGAAAGCCGATCAGTTTACTTGCCAGCAGCAAACATCTCCATGTCCCTCTTGTCGATCGCGATGAGTTTTGATTCCTTGCGGTGGCGTGTTTCACATTCTTGAACAGACCATGATCCCACCTGGTGTGGTAGCTGCACCTTGCACTCAAGCTGCGTACGGATGGATGTGAGGACGGATGTCCGGTTGACCTTGAGCAAACCTTGAAACTCGAACCAACCTTGAAACTCAGACAAACCATTCAGCCACGAGATTATCATTGATTGAGGAAACCCAGATTGACAGTTTCTGGATCTCTTCTTTCACCCGATCAACAGCAAGCAAAACGAAAAAGTTCAGCACCAGCTCCTAGTCCAGGACTTCTCCCCATCTCATTCTCCTCCCGTTCGCCATGGGAAATCTATCCTACGACCCAGAATGCCCGTCTGGTGATCGAATGCCTTCACTGGCCAACTATCATTTCACCGAAAATGCCAATGTCTTCAGCATCCCCGGTACGCTACATGACAACAGGACCGCCGGCCCGATGAGCATATGTTGTGCTCCCAGCACAGTCCAGGCTATCGATGGCTGCTATCTATGGTGCCATGTCCCAGCCCGGCATCTCGAAAAGGGAGTCGAAAACACATCGAGCAGCATGATAAGGTGCTTGCACGAGAACGACCTGAGCGAGGAGATCAAGGGATTCCAGCTGTACTCCTCGTCCGCTAGTCACCCGGTGCAGCATTGTCGACCATCAGCAACGCACTTGGGATTTCTTCTCCTGTTGATCTCCTACGTTACCAATAGTTTCGTTGGCATGGGAGTGTTGTAAAGTCCAATTCTGGTCTGAACTTGGGGCCGAATTCTTGTCTGTTTGCAGTGGCATATTCTGGCTTTTTCTACGGATAGTTGTATCTCTTTGTAATCTTGGCAATGATTTACTTCCCGAGGGACTTTAAGTTCCATTTTCCGGCTTCGTAACCCTCAAGATTATTGTTAGCAAGTTAGTTAGTTACTATAACCTAGGCGAGGACCAGCAGTGCTGCAAGTCCTTGCCTAGGTTATACAAAGCTACCAGTTTACAGCGGTTTCGTTGGTCTCTGTTCCTGTAAGCCTTGACGGTACTGAAGTGGTACATATTGTCTTCACAATTGGTTTCCCCAGTACGAGTTGCGGCTCTCGAGCGACAGTTCTCATTGAGCGTCCTGCTAGACCACATCCTGCTAGAATCTTTCCAAGTCGCTCACGTGGATCGCTTCTGTGTCCGCAAGACGACCGAAAGCCAGCCCTCTTGAGCTGACAGACGACTTTCATGGGCACACACACACACACACACACACACACACACACACACACACACACACGCCCAAACAGGAAATCAGAGCTTTGACAGAGCAAGCACGCACTGCAACCACCAGTGCCGGTTTCAGGGGAACAAGCCGACAAATCGCACAGCAGTTGGCTCTGCGGCCCCTCTAGAAACCCACGCATCGGGGTGGCGTCGCCACACTATCTTGAATTCCGAGACCTCTTAGCTTTCGGCTGTATCTTTTTGTGAACTTTGCAGGTGTGTAGCTGTCCTTGTGTGAGTCTCAGAGTAAGGCTGTGCATTGTCACTCCTGAGCTCATAGATCTGCCTGCAGGCGAGTTCAGTAGATATCTCAGAACAAGTGTTCCCGAGCAGACTAGATGCAGAATAGTGTATAGTTTATATGGCGACAAGGGATATTTAAAGACCTTTTGAAATATCGTACAAAAGAGAGCAGAGAGAGAGAGAGAGAGAGAGAGAGCTACAGCCCTACCCCAGACCTCGCTAGGCCCATCTGCCCACACCGACGTCAGCATCGTACGACCACCACACAGTAGATCTCTATCAGCCCTTAAAAGTCCCCTCCCAAACCCACCAGAACCCCCCCATGCTTCCCCCCAAATGCATCCAAGCTGAGATACGAGTACTTGTACATAGCGCTAAAACTTCAGTGCTGAAGGACAGGCTCCCGCCCCTCCTCCCACGCGTCGATCCCCTCGCGTATGTTGACCCAGTACCGCATCCGCACCGCCTCCCGGGCCGCGGCCTCGGCGTCGCCGTCCCGGAACGCCCGGCCCAGCGCCTCCTCGCCGAGCCGGATGCGCTCCTCGTTCTCGCGCCGCAGCGGCTCGAGCTCCTCCTCGGCGCGCGCCTCCTCGATCGTCTCGCGCGCCTCCATCACGGCGCCCAGCAGCTCCGGGTCCGCGTGCCGGCCCGCCACGGCGCCCGCCTCGTCGCCCGCGAGGTCCACGCCGAACCGCTCGCGCAGCAGGTACTGCGCCCGCAGGAGCGGCGACTTGAGCGTCCGGAACGCCTCGTTGATGTGCGCCGACGCGGCGCCCGCCTCGCGCGTGCTCGTGGTCTCGCCCGACGACGACGACGACCCCTGCTGCAGGTCCGGGTGCGCCGCGGCCTGCAGGCGCAGGAACTCGCGGCGCAGCGCGCGCTCGTCGATGTGGAAGGGCCCCGCGGGCGGCGGGCCCTGCGGCAGCGTCTGCGGGAAGAGGTCGTAGTAGGACGGCGGCTTCTGCGAGAGCTTGGAGGCCTGCGCCGAGGACGTTGTCGAGGCAGAGGTGTCGGCGGCGGGGGCGCTCGTGGACGCGGGGAGGCGACGGTGCGCGCTCTGGGTGAGGCTGCGTGTCTGGGAGGCAAAGGCCGGGAGGGCTGCTGCTGCGACCGTGCGTCGAGGGAGCTGCGAGGCGGGTTGCAGCCGTGCCTTGCGGCATGTGCTGGAGAAAGACCTCATCGACAATGATGCGTCCGAGGTGAGTAGAGCGCGCCGGGCCTGGCGGGCGCAGGAGGCGCAGAGGCCGTGCGTGTATCGTGACATCGTGGATGCTGGCATCGTGACTTTGGCCCCGTTCGTTGGTTGACGGGAGATGCTGCAACAGTACTCAAACAATGATTCGTAAATGGACGACAGACTATGCTTTCAATCGCGCGTCATTAGCAGGTCTTGAGAGTGCAGTGGGTTGGTGGAAGTGGCGCTGCCAAAGATGTTTGAAACACGGTAGAGGGATTTGTGTGGCTGCGAAGTTCGGAGCTTGGGCGACTTTTTTTTTCTCCTGCGACAATGACGTCCTGGTGATAACTACCCGCAGCACTGAGAACACGAGGCTAGCCGCTAATGCCCGCTCGGCGCCACCGGAGCTCGGGGGTCTGCAGGGGCTGTTTTAGGCCCGTCTCGCTGAGATCTCTCGCTGATCCATCTTATCTCCGACCCGTCATCCAACGGCCGGGGATCCGTTGATCTCTCAAACAACTTGGTTCCAATGGACCGGACTACATGTACACACTGGGCCTTGGTAAGGCGGTGCACAAACAGCAGAGACACAGAAACGGAGCAAGATGCATCCCATCTGGACCTTTTTGATGATCTGATGATGATGATGATAGTGCTCGGCGTGTTGAAGAAGAGAAACAGATGCCCTGATCCCATGATAATAATCCTTGAGTTATCAAAACCACCGGTAGATTGCAATGAGGGCACCGGCACCGTCGCCTGACACCTCTGAACATTCAAGGTCCCTTGCACGATCATTGATGATGTGTTGCACGGGTAGTCAGTCTCGTGGCTACATGTTTTTCTGCACAACTCTCCATCCACACGCTGACATGCAGCTCGGATTCCTCTTTCTCCCGATTCCAGCATACAAACCGGGCGTAACTTCGACCTCAAGCTGCATACAAACCCAAATACCCAATCAGACAGTCAAGCTCGTTACACCCTCAAGTCCAAGCAAGCCCGGGTTTCACGGGATAGCGGGAGACTGGTGAATGCCGTGTAAATAGAGATCCCACGGAGTATTTAAACACAGAAAGACTGTCAATGAAGTTCAAAAGACCTCTTCTTTCTTTTCTTTCTTTCGTCTCATGCACACATAGGTGGCAACCCTCATTCGAGAAGCGAGACTGTTATACGCACTCTGAAAAAAAAAAAGCATCGACTTGAAGCGTAGTGGCTCCTGGCTCCGGTCCTCAAGAGTGAGATAGACCCCGACCCCTGCTATAGGCAGATACTGACAGTACGCCAAACCTCTCAGAAACCACCGAGATGGAGTTGCAAAGCGTTCCACGCCCTGTTGTGATTCAGGGCCCCGAGTCCGATGAGCGGATGGGCCCCGTTGTGACTGGGGCAGAGGTCGGGGAGCGGATGGATGATCATTATCGTGATCAGCTTCGGGAGTATTAGACCGTGACGAGCCAAGTGCTCCAGCCTGCGGCTGAGCAGTGAAAGGGGGGATACAACAACATGTTCAAGGCACGTTGTCTCCATTGGGGAACCACCCCAGTCTCTGCAATCTTCTGTATCACGGGAAGCCGGCCGCTCTCCTGAGCCACAGAGAAGCACAGCTACGGAAAAGACTGGCGAGGTGTATGCCCCTACGGCTTGCTGCGTGGCCCAACGAGGTATCAAGAACAATTGAGACAGGAACCGTTTGAATTGGTCGAAATCGTGCCGTTCTACTAAATTGTCGAGGTCTTGGGGGCCATCGAAAAGACCGCCTTCAGGGTTGCCGAGCAGAATGTTCTTGCACTTGAGGGCGCTGCTGTTCCTGGCGTTGATAAAAATGTATCATATCTCATTCAACTGATACGTCCACTCTATCCCAGCCAGGGGGGGTATTGCCCATTTGTCAAACCAGTAAACCAACCCATCTCCCCAAAAATGATAAACGCAATCCAGGCCGTCCCTGTCCAAACTCCAGGCAACATGTTATAGGTTTTGATCCCAACAAGAGAAATGCCATCATAAAGTCGTCAGCCCATCTCTCTCTTCCTCACGACAACTCCACACTCCGCCACCGCCCCCTCTCGGTATGCCACCACCTCTCCATGTCCTTCTTGTCCACCGCTGGCCCGGCCCACGTGTTCCACCTCCCCGTGCACCCCTCCCTGACCTCGACCGCATTCTTGTCCCGCCGCCCCTTCTCCCTCCCCCCAGCACCGCTACCCTTCCCTCTATCCCTCCCCCGCTGCTTCCACTGCTGCTTCCCCTGCTTCTGCTGCTGCGGTGACGAAGACGACGACGGGCGAGGAAGCACCAACGCCTCCCCGCAGTCCCCGAGCAGATCCCCCATGTCCACGAGCCCGCCCTTCTCGTCCCGGCCCCCCTCGTCGGGCAGCAGGTGGTACCGCACGCGCGACCCGACCGTGCCGATGTACCCGCCCATCCCGAACCGCTCCGCCAGCACCCCGCGCTCGTCGACGACGTCGACCCGCATCCGGGCCTGCCTCCGCGCCGCCTCGACGCGCGCCTGCGCCGCCAGCCGCGCGAGCAGCAGGTCGTTCCCGAGCCGCGGTGGCGACTTCCCTCCCCTCCCCCGCTCCTTACCATCATCGTCATCATCCCCGTCGTCGTCATCAGCATCGTCGTCGTCCCCGTCCACTGACCCTGCCCCCCGCGTCTGGAACTTATCCGTCGGCAGGTCCACCCGCTCGGCGGGCCTGCACAGCGCCTGGAACATGCCCCCGGGGTCCCTCGGCGCGCGCAGCCGCCGCAGCGCAGGGAACCCGCCGGCCGCGATGCTGCGCGCGAGAATGGCGTCGGCCGCCGTCGCCGTGCTGTCGGTGTTGATGCCGATGGTGTCGCCGCCACCGTCCGCCGCCGTAAAGTCCCAGTGCAGGCTGCGCAGCGACGCCGACGCGAGGTACGGATACAGGCAGATGATCTCGCCGCGGGGCAGCAGGGGCGGGCGCGCCTGCACGAGCGAGAACGTCTCGAGCCGGGCCAGGTTGGCGAGGACGCGCGCCAGGGCGGGCAGGGAGTCGAGCTCCGTGTGGACGAGGGTGAGCGTGCGCAGCCCGGAGCCGGAGCCGCCGGCGGTGGCAAAGGCCGCGAGGCCGGCCGAGGTGACCCCCGCGACGTGGGCGAGCGAGAGCTTGCGCAGCGACGCCGGCAGCGCGAGCAGCGCCGCGTCGCCGAAGACGGCCGCGGGGAGCCGCGAGACGTGCAGGTCCCGCAGCGAGGGCAGGCAGCGCAGGCTGTCGGCGAAGGCGCTCGCGGGTGCGAAGGCGGCGCCCGGCTGGAAGTGCACCGTCAGCGTGGTCAGCTGCTGCCAGCGGGCGTGGAGGTCGAGGAAGTTGTTGCTCGTGCGCGGCTGCGGGCAGGAGGAGTAGTAGTAGGAGGAGGAGGACGCGGCGAGCGGCGGCAGGGACGACTGCCTCCACGAGTCGGGCTTCTGCTGGCGCGCGGTCGAGAACCGCTTCTGCAGCTTCGGCATGGGCGCCGGCTCCGCCCGGTCCACGATCCACGTCATCTGCTTCAGGTTCCGCCGAGTGGAGAGGGCGTTGAACAGCCGCTTGAAGGAGTGGTCGTACGACGGGTAGAAGCCCTCCAGCCGCTCGAGCTCCGGGCAGGCCATGACCAGGGAGGCGACCATGTCCTCGTAATCGTCCGTCTTGACGCCCTGCGGGATGGGCGGCACCTTCACAGAGCGGACGAGCGACGCGAGGGTGGGGTTCGCCCTCAGCGTCCTGCGCAGCAGCATGATGCGCGTCCCCGGGACCGACTTGTACCGCTTGCGGTGGTGCGCCGAGTCGTCGCCGATCAGCTGGATGTTCTGGTACAGCGCCGCCCGGGCGAACCGGACCCACTTCCGCGCGCTCAGCGAGACGGCGCAGACGTTGCGCATCCAGCACGTCGCGCAGCTCTTGCTCCCCTCGGCCAGGTGGAGCTCGCGCAGCTCGGCCAGGATCAGCTCCAGGACCTCGCCGGGCAGGGCGGCGAAGAGCTCTCCCGGCCTGGCCTTGCGGCGGCGCTGCTGCTTGATGGGGCTGGGCCGCTGCCACGGGAACTCGTCGTACTCGCGCGCACCGGCCGAGGTGGCGGGGGTGGAGTAGGTCGAGTAGTACGAGTCAAAGGACGTGCGCGAGCTCCAGCTCGAGGAGCGCCCGTGAGACTGAAAGCTGGTCCGGGAGGCCAGGGACTGGCTCGCCGTGGAGGCACTCGATATGTCGCTGCCGTCGGAGCGCCGTCGCGGATAACTTTCTAGGCTTGGCCGCGACGATGGATAGTGATTGTAACTGTATCCTTGTTGATAAGGAGCCGAGCTGTCATTTCCCAAGTCAAAGTAGGAGTCTGGTGCAGATGGTCGCCTAGGAGCCTCCTCGACAAGATGGGTACCGAGCCCAGGCTGTTGTTGATGAGCCATGTCGTCCTCGCAGTCATCCTCCCAAGGAAGAGACCGCCTCCTTTCCCACGCACTGCGATACGGGCTGTCGTCGTACAAGAAGTGATGCTGCTGGGTCGGCGACAGAGTGGACGGAGAAGCCATTTTCCACGTCTGGGGCGAAACTACCTGCGGAGAAGATCTGGTGAATGTCCGCGGAGGAGGCTTCAGGAGCGAGTCATCATAGCCAATGGGAAATGAGGCAGCAGCTGAATAATGCCTTTGGTGAGATGGCCTGAAGCTAGAGACGCTCGGGCTGTTAGCAGGCTTTCCTAGATATCGTCGATTATGTCTCTCATTCACTCGATAGAGCCCAAAGGAATAAGGTGTGAAAGCATAAATGAGTTAATTGCGCAAGATGGAGTGCTCCAAGGTATCTTAAATGAAATGGATTTGCCCTGGCACTGGTAGTGCAAGATAAGCAGTTCATGACTTCATGATCAACTTGTTCGATACGTCACTCAGCCCTCTAGGGCGTAGGGAAATTATGATATTTCAGAGGGACACCCGCCCTGTGACGAGAGCCGAATGAGATCGCGAGACAAGATATTGGCTGGGCGCCAAATTACCTTGGTGTGGGGTGTTGGAGAGTAACGGCGCGTATTGATACAAGGCTGGCTCTCACGACACCGTGTCGCTAAATGACGACGCGGAGCCACCTTGGACTGCCGCTAATGGTGTCGAGGGAGGGGGGGGGGAAACCACAAGAGAACACCAGGGACTCACAAGAGTGAGAGAGTTGAAGAAGCAAGGGCGGGCTTGACAACTACCAAGCGCCGTGCAGCGGGAGGAGTGGAGTGATGAGGGCGATCAAGGGAGGATCAGCCACGGTATCGAGATTCTGTGATTCCGCCAAAGGAAAAGAAAAACATTGGTACTAAGACAGTCACGGACAGGATCGCAATCCAGGAAAGTCAAGAAACCACGGGGCATGTATTGGCTTTTGAGGATCCTGGAGGTGCAACACTCGAGCCTGTCCAGTCCGTGCTGACTGATTGCAACTTATTGAAACGGAGCATGTTTAGGAGGAGGGGGCTAAGGCGAGCCTTGATCCCGGTCCAGATGCACACATCGCCGGGGCAGGAGGGCCGAGGTGGTAAGACTTGGAAACAGAGCAATGTCTAAGCCGTCGCGCTCTGAAGACAACATTCGAGTTTGGATGTTCACCGACGACTGTGCCTGGTCTGCGCTGCGCCCTATTGAGCCTGCACTTGCAGGATCGAAGTCAATGCAAAGACAATACAACATCGGGTTGCAAGCCACTTGTATCTTTGCGACAGCAATTAAACCCGAGACCTTCAATACAATGCGTCGTCGTGACAGGAGATGAACGTATTGACAGCCAGACATCACTATCTCGTTCTGTCTCGAAGAGGAAGAACAGGGCGCAACACAGAGCAAAGAGCCCAAGCAAAATGCGGAGACAAGAAAACATGACGGGCTTGCTTGGAAGAGTAAACAGGTAAGAAACGGCAACTCACTGGCTGTAGTCCACTGCCGGCAGAGGCGAGTCGCTATAAATAGCAGGCTGGTCCGCCACCCAGTCCGACTGAGGGCGCTGTTGGAGCCTCTGATTGGCGGCGGTGCGGCTGCTGGTGCTGGTGCCGTTGGTGGTGTATTCGCTGCTGGGCCTCGCGTTGGCAGCCATGTAAGCGGCAATGCCCCGGCGGACGGCATCCTGGTCCAGCTCCGACAGAGACCGCCTGCCCTGTCTCGTGGGAGGGCCAGGAGGGCCCGACTGCGGTCTCTTGCTCGTCCGCCGCGCGGCTGCCCAGGGCTCCTGGTGGTGAGCGTTGTCGAGAATCCCGTAGGGACTCATGGTGGACAGCGGTCGTGCGTGAGAAGGGCGATTGTTGGTCTCATCGAAACGGGGGATTTGGCTTCTTCCACTCGTTCGGGCTCTCGGAAAGAAGGATTCTGGGTGCTGACGGAGGATGGTGATGTGATGGCCCTTGGTCGTTGGAAGGAAGTGCTAGGAACTCTCCACCTCTTGTTCCTCCCGAATCGGTCCTTTGTCTGTTCTTCTTTCCTCCTTGCCTCGAAGTCTTCTTCGCACGCAAAATGCCGTCCGCAACGAGAAACCTCTTGAAAGACGAGGTTGGGCTGCCCGGATATTCTCTGGGATGAGGGAGGAACCCCGGCACAGTGGAGGATCGGCCGGAGACTTATATCTGGGCCAGCTCCACCACATGCACCAACTGAATCTTGCTTCCTTATTTTTCCTGGATGTTGCTGGTCCATCGACCCCGCAAAAGATCTTGGAAAAGGAAAAAACCTGGATATCGGCTCTCGCTTTCCCAGCAGGTTAGTGGGATTCTAGACAGGGCAGGGCGGGTGTGTGTACAAGAAATGCTTGCCGGCTCAGCGCCCAGGATATCGATATCGATGATGCGTTTATTGCGGTCGAGCGAGAGATTACCAGGGTGCTCTCCCACTATCCAAGTTCATGCAGTGGGGGTGTGATTTGATCATCCAGAGAGCCAGGCATGCGGATGGGACGGAGACCTTGTGAAGTCAAGCCAGGGAATAGGGCTCTGCTTGCGGCGGAAGAAACAGGATCATCCGAGCACAGGCACGGCACCGAGAAAGTGATCACTTCGTGTCTACACCATCACCAGGCATTGATCCCTCTTAACTACCTAACTACCTCCGTGGTCCCATGGCGGCATCCATCCTTCCCAAGCACATGCACACCCAGAAGGTCTGCAACTTTTCAGCCACCTGTATATTGTGCATATTTGCCCGCCCGGTCCGCAGACAGACGTGCATCCGAGACTGGTGTGGTGGTGGGCAGCCTAGCCTGTGAGGACAAGTCAAAAGACCTCCAGCTCGATCGGACTTGCTTGTAATGCTGTTGGTGATGGTTCAAAGGTTACGTTTCTAGTCCCATGTAAGGGGGGGCCACCCACAGCTCACAGCCTGTCGCTGCATGCGAAACAGGCCATCTTCAGGCGTCAGTTCCAGCTGCTCTAGCGCCTCCGGGAGTGCGGGAGGAAGGCTGGGGACCCGCTTAGCCGCTGTAGCGTGTCCCACCGGGCCACTGCCAAAGAGCCGTCCCGATCTTGTGCCAGGTTTTCATGTGTTTTCGTCTGCTCTGGCGCCAAAGTCTAAAAATCAAAGAGGCGGCGCGTGGCGTCTTGTTTCTAGGCTAGTTGGATTCTTCATTCCCAAGGACAATCATGAAACAAATCGATGGCGTGGCTGGATGGAAGAAGGACAGTGGTGTGCGTGGACATTGGGCAGTGCTGCTTGGTGGAGAGCCAATGGGGGCTCGGAGGAGCTCCAGAGGCGGAGGCGAATAGGACAACGCAAGCAAAGGTGGGAGCACTCGAGCTGAGACTTGCTCCAAGGCCGAATCGCCGAGATCGAGATTCCACACAGGCAGGCAACTTCAAGGGTCCGCCGCCGTCCGTTGTGAATCGTCCGGGACCCATTGGCACTCCATCAAAGGTGCTCAGTAGCCGCACATTGTTGGGATAGCCGTTGCCAGCACTCTACTCAAGAGAACCTGCTCTCGATCAGCCATGCTCGTGACAATTGCCGATCACCAGTCCATCCATCTGGACCGACATCAGGACCTAAGACATCAGCGTCAGCCGCTGGAGGCAGCCAGAGCGAAAAGGCCTTACACTGGATTCCGTCAATGTTCAGATTAGCACACCTTCGCCGGAGGGCAACGTAGCTTTCTCCTTGCAAAATGCTGCATATGTCCCAGACGCTCTTTGCCTCTGAGTGAACAAGAAGCAAGAAGCATGGACACTGGCAGTTGACAGATGCAAGGAAGGCGGCCCCGGGATGCTCGAGGTCGGTATGCCTTACATGCATCCAAGACATGCCCTTCCCGTCCATGCATGCCATGCCGGCACATGTGGTCACGCATCACAAGCCGATGTTAACCCAGGAAGTTGTCAATCGTGATTTGTCGTGTTTTCAGGCAAGTCGAATTCAAACAATGAGAAAAATCTGCGCTGTCCTCTATCCTGGCCCAAGCAGAGGAGCCATACATACCCTGTGAAGCCGTGTACCGTGCCATGAACAAACACCTTTCGACCGGACGAAATGTACACAGAATAACTGCAACTCCCGAGACTCCTTGACCATGGGGTCACTCCGTAAAGCCCCCCAACCGCTCCAAACACATGTTCATGACCATTTAGGGCAAATAGGTCCGCCTTACTCATCCTCATCCGCGCCGGCAAAGCGCACCTGCACCCGCGCCTTCTTCGGTTTCCGCGGCGGCGGTGTTGCCGGTGCCACCGATGCCGTTTGTTGCACCTGTACTCCAACACCGGCACCGTCTCCGCCCTCTTCCGGCCCCTCCACCGCGCGGGCCCTCTTCACCCCTTGCCCTCCTCCTCCTCCTCCCGCCACGGCTCTCTGCTGCTGCCTCTCCACGACGCCCACCAACCCTTCATCCGGGTGCTCGACCCGCCCAAACTCCCGCCCAAACACGTACTGCGGCCTCCTCAGCGGCGCCATCTGCTCCGGCCCGCCAAACATCTCGTCGCCATCCCCACCCTCACCCTCACCGCCCCCCCGCTCTGCTCCATCCTCCTGCCCCCTTGGTCCTCCATCGCCAAGCGGCAGGATCCTCGCGTTGCGGATCCACTCAAAGATGGGCGGGTCGTCGAGGATGCTCTTGCACCGCCGGTGCTCGGCCTGCGTCATGCTCCGCCGCCGCTCGACGATGAGCTCCTCGAGGCTGCCGCGCAGCACGAGCGTCTCGACCGACACGCGCCGCTTCTGGCTGATGCGGCGCACGCGGCCGATGGCCTGCGCCTCCACCTGCGGGTTGAGCACCGGGTTGATCATGTAGATGCGCGACGCGGAGCGCATGTCCAGGCCGAACGCCGCCTGGGTGATGTCCATCAGGAGGACGCTGTGCAAAAAGGGGAGTTTAGTTTGATCATGTCAGGTTCGGCGAGAAGCAGGGAAATGGGAGAATTGACAAAAATACATACCGAAACTTGGGGTTGTGATTAAAGGTGTCAATGTACTGCGCCCGCCGCTCCGTCGTGAGCGTCTTTGCGTAAATCAGATGGTGGATTTGTAACTGGTCACAAATCATTGTCAGTCCGATCATCCCTTTTCCTCCTGACGACCAACCCGCACATCCTCAGACAACTGCACTCACCACTTCAAGCATCCCAGCCAGGTAGAACGCCACGTTGTCATTTTCGTAGAACACGATGATCTGCTCCTCGTCCTTATACCTGAGGATCGAGTCAATGAGGTACGACAGCTTCGCAGACGCCGTCGACACGATCTGTGCCTTGGCCAGGGGCTCAGCCACCTCGATCCCGGAGACATCTCCCGGGCCGTCGGCGTCCAGCGTGCCTATCATCCGCTCCTGGGCCGTGATGAGCCCCGCCCGGCCCTTCTTCGGGCTGTCCTCGCCGAGCTTGGTATTACCAGCCAGCGTGCGGTCGCGCCCGGAACCGTGGCCACCAGAGCCGCCGCCCGATCCCGCCGCCGCCGCCGCCCGGTCCAGCTGCTCCTCCGCCTTGAGCCGCTGCTGCCACCCCAGGTCGACCAGCCGGCCGTCGTTGAGCATCACCTGCAGCGAGTGCGGCGCGTCGAGGCAAGGGCGCAGCGCCTTCTGCAGCGCGTGGAGCAAGGGGGCGCTCGTGCACACGAGCCCGCCCGGCCGCGAGTCCAGGGACCAGGCCTCGGCGAGGCGGTCGCCGCCGGGCAGGCCGCTCACGTAGACCGGCACCTCGTGGAAGGCGTTGGCGAGCGCCTTGAGCCTGCTCCTGGCGGCGACCTTGCCGACGGCGATGGCCTCGCGGAGCAGCTGCCCCTCGTCCGCCGTGACGAGCACCTTCTTCTCCTCCAGGAACTTCTCGGCCGTCTCGACGGCCTTCTCGATCTCCGAGGTGGAGAAGAACGAGCCCCCGAAGAAGCTCGTCTGGCGGATGTTGTGGACCAGCTGCGCGAGGCTGCTCCGCTGCGTCTTGTGGAAGAAGTAGTCCTGGTCCGTCCTCTGCGACTGCACCGCGTTGAAGATGATCATCATGGAAAACAGATTCAGGCAGAGCTTGTCTTGGTAAGACCCATCCAACACGACGATCTTCTCATCTACGGGAGGCAACAAGTCGCCTATCTGCGACTTTGGGTGGCGAATGATCAACGAGTTGAGTGTCGCTAGAAGACAGTCCTTGCGCCCCGCACTCTTGCTGCTGTGCTGCGGCTGCATGACATATACCGACCAGTCTGCAGGCGTATCTCCCTCGTCGTAGATGGTGTTTGCCCAGGGTCGGGCTTTCAGGTACAGACTTGCCATGGAACCTATCCTCTCCAAGTCTCTGCGCTCTAGGATGTTGGAACTTTCTGCCAGTTGCTTGGACAGGCTCTTTGTGGGTGAGGTTGGTGATACATCACCCTCGCCGCTCGGCTCGTTCACCGGCGTGGCGGGTTGTGAATCGTCCAGTCCAAAAAGTCCAGTGGACGGCGTTCCCGTGACGATCCATCGAGCGGAAATGTGAAGACACTCGAGGACGAGCAACAGATTGCTCTTTCTGCTGATTCTCGAATTACCCAACTTGTGGCCCTCGTCGACAATGACCCTCTTGAAGTGGATGGATGACAGCGGCGAGATGAGCTCCCAGGCACCCGTACGGTCCGTGGCACGGTCTTCAATCAACTTTTCAAATCGAGGGATCGAGAACAGCACAAGGTCACATCTGAGAAGCTCCCTGAGAGTTGGAACGTCTTTCTTGCCGGACACGGTCACGTATTTGAGCCCTTCGGTATGTTTGCGGATCTCTTGCTCCCACTGCTTGACCAGATTGGCGGGTACGATCACCAAGGTGGTGGCGCTAAGATATATCTTCTTGGAAGGCACTGGAGCGATCGGGTGGCGGCTTTGCCGACGTGGCGGTGGACTCGGAAGCAGGTACCATCCTGGATTCCTCTGGATTGCATCAGCGCAATTCGTGTAGCCATCGCCGAGATACAGCCGCCAAGGTATCGAGTTCCGTGTCACGACGGCGGCAGCCATATCTGCCAGAGAGCCAACCCGAGGGCGGGGGTTGCTGGGACAGCTCAGATGCGCAGGGATCTCGGCCGGGAACTCCTTGGTCGCCATGACGATGGCAAGACAGATCAGCGTCTTGCCTGCGCCCATTTCTTCCGCGAGAATGCCGCCGGAGATGCCGCCGTACGAGCGCGGCGTTCGTAGCACTGTCGCAGTAGCCTCGTCATAATAAAAGGTGTCGCCTCTCAGGTCCTGCTTCTTCATAAGACGCGGGTCAAGGACCTGTCCAGGCTCGAACTCTCTCTCCAACATCAGGGCCGCGGAGCGTTCCTGGTAGCCATACAATGGCGTTTTGAGACCGCTTACGGTGCCTCCGAGCAAGATATAGATGGCTCTCTGTTGCTCTAGGTCTTGTACACGCTCTGGATGTGGATCAGGTGGTGGGATGGAGTTGAATAGTTGAAGTAGCGACGCATCATCAGAATCCTCGGGAGTCTGAGGAGCTGCAGGCACAGCAGCTCGCGATGCTTGAAAATTTCCTTGCCAAAGGTCAACCGATACGTCAAGAAGCGGGATGAGGCACTGGAGATCCTTTCTGAGCCTGGAGTCTGACCGTGGCACCGATCGCCGGTCGATGTCATCAGGAAGGACATACACCCTGATAATTCCATGGTCGGGTGCGCCAGCACAAGTGCAGAACTCAAATTGAATCCACCGCCTTTGAAAGAGTTTTAGGAATGGAGAAAGAATGGCAGAATGGAGAAGTAGCTCTTGTAATCCTGGGTCCAGGTGTGAAGCAGGAGCGCACTGCTTAACCGCGGAGCCGAGCTCCTCTGGATGCAGGAAACACCTCCATCGGCGGAGGTCCTCCAGGGACCATACTTCATCGGAAAATCGGGTCTGGGACTGAGAAACGACCAAGCATCCTGCGGCTACATACTTTTGTAGCGTCGAGTCGGCCATGGCGTCGAGGTGGATTTCTCATTGGAGAGGTGGCTGCCTGGTTGATGCCTGCATCAGACTCGATTTTCACCCGCAATAGACCTACTGTGAATCGCCGCTGTCTGGCGGCGTCCGTGTCTTCAAGTATCCATATATCTTCCTAGATTGGTACTTGGAAAGAAAATGAGACCAAAATGAGCAATCGGATGGATGCTGGTGCAAAGCTGATGTGGTTGGTTCTTCTCTTCGAGGTGCAAGATCTTGGATGTAAGAGATGTAGTGGCCGCGGCCCACTTTTCGCACAGACGAGATCACATCTCAGCCCCCGGATTGGTCAGTCTGCTTCAACTTCGCCTACCACCCTACAAGTACCACCCTCAGAGATCAAATCCGGTATATCACGTCAAAAGGAGGTTTCTTCCAGGGAACAGGATCCAGCTCGAGGTGTAGATTAACTATCGCTGAACGGTACATAAATATGTACAAAACTTTATCTCATTTCCGAGTCTCTCCATGGACAGATGATCCAGACCATCTTTCCTTCCATGCTTCCCCATCACCAAGATTGGAGGCATGCATTTATGCGGAAAACGGGACCTCCCGCTTACCGTTGCCGTTGCCGTTGCCGTTGCCGTTCTTAGCATTGCCCTTCGCATTGCCGTTGGCGTTGGCGTTGGTGTTGCCGGCAGTGTTGCCAGCAGTGTTGCCAGCAGCAGCAGCAGCACCGCCTGCGACCGGCACGGCCTGGCCGTTACCAGCCATCTGGACAGCCACGATTCCGCCAAAGGGACCGGCGCGGTTCGCGTTGGCAATCTTGACCAGGCAGACGTTGTTGACGCCGTTGATGGTACCCGTGCAGGTAGTACCAGCAGGAACGGAGAAGGCCATGGGCTGGATGGAGGATGCAGTCAGCAAATGTGGCCCGTCTCATTATTCGAAAAGCAATCAAACTCTCGCCACTTACAAAGTCCATGTTGACGTTGGTCGCGCGCTTGACGATGCTAAAGCTCTCCAGAGCCTCGGCGGCCCTGTCCCACAGAGACCGACCCCGGTTGTTTTTGTTGTTGTTGTTGTCGTTGTTGTTCTGGTTGCCGTTCTGGCCGTTCGCCGCCGCCTGCTGCTCCTTGAGCTTCTTGGTCACCCGGATGTTGCCCCGGTTGCCGGGCACCTGCTGCTTGGTCTCCAGCATGACGCCGTTGGAGAAGGCGCCGGTGCCCGTGGGGTCGAGCACGGCCTTGATGGGGCCCGCGCCGTCGGTGGTGACGATGTGGAAGGTGCCCGAGATGGTGCCGTTGCCGTCGTTGGAGACCTGCGGCAGGGTGTTGCCCGACAGCTCCATGGCCTTGGAGAGCATCTGGAGCTTGTTGTTGCCGGAGCCTTTGGTGCGGCCGAGGCCGTCGGTCATGATGTCGGTCTTTTTGAAGATGGTGGTATCGACCTCGGTCTGTGCGGTACGTATTAGTCTTGAGACCCGGGTATATGACGGCCAGTTCTTTTGTGCATTGGCAACAACTGACCTTGCGGTTCGGGCCAGGGCCGGGGACGACGCCGCCCCGGATGGCCAGGGCAGTGCCGTTGCCGCCCTTGTCGCCGGTGACCACGTCGATTCTGCCGTGAGCGGCCACGAGAGGCGACGCAGCCAGAGCGAGGATGAGGACTTTGGAGAACATGGTGGAAAAGGAGTGTTTGCTACGGCTCTTAACAAACTGTGGAAAAGACGGAAAGATGGCACGAATCAACCGTGGTGGCTTGAATGAATCGACTGGAAAGAGGAGAAAAGGGGGCACGAGTCAATCGGCCTCGGGTGAAGAATTGAAGAACAGAGTAAAGGACTGAGAAAGAGCTGGTTGTTGGATGATCGAAAGGGAAGCATCATGAGCAAGGACAACTGCTGCCTCTTATACACGACGAAGACGATGTCATCGCGAGCCGGCACGGTCCAAGACAGAGGAAGCATTGTCCACCCCCTGTGCGACCTCGCCAAGCACCCACCGCCATGAAACTCCTCATACGCATTTCTCGGTGTTGTCAGTCCTATCGGAGCCTAGTCTGGAGAAGAATGCAGCACTTTAAACTCGTGACGGGATAAAGGAGGCGGCATTTACAACCCACATACCCTGGTGCAGCGGTCCCCGCGATACGGCCGGGGGGGGCCAAGTCGGCCGCCAGAGGCTTGTTTTTCACTAGTCAATACGAAGAAAGGCGACTTCTGGCGATGGTATTTCGAAGAAGGTCTGTGGTGGTGAAACGCTTCGTGGCGACAGTCGAAACGGGAAGGCCGCCAAACCTGGCCGCTTTACCCGCATACCTAGTCGGGCAATGCATCCTTGCGTCTCATCCTTCGATCTTGCGGATCGTTTTGGAGATCACTCGCTTAGGCTAGCGCATGAACTACCCTTTCAGGAAGAAGAGAGAAAGAATAGGCGAGATTGTGACTGATGATGGCTTCGCTTGGCGACAACCTGGTGATGGGATGCCAAGAAGTCAAACAGAAAAAGGAATGCTCCCAACGGGCACTTCGCTCCGGCGACAGTTCTCAATTTTTTGCCATGAGCGCCAGCATAGGGAGAAGTCGTAACGATAAACATTGAGGCCATGGCTACACCGACAGTTGCCTGGCGTGTAAATGTACAGAGAATGTGCGTCCTTCGTGGCCGAGACCCGTGAACACGACTTGGAAGGTGCCGCTTGCCGTCTCGTCATGGTCAAACTCGTGTTCAGCCATCAAGAACGTGAAGCATCCAAGCATCCATTTCAGCCATACAAAGAGATGATTGGAGAAGCCGTATGCTTCGCGCAGGCCGCAGCGCAAGGGTTGACAACATCTCAAGCAAGGTGCTGTCGCCCACGACGTTTCAGGCTTGGCTGGCCTTGGCCCCAGATCCCGGCCAAAGCTTGGTGTGCGGGTTTGTGGGTTTGACATGGCCGTCAGAGGCTGTCAAGCATTGGTCCATGGCGGATGATCGGCACATTATGCTGGTTTCTTGATACCCCCAGTCCAGTGAAAGGGGATGATTGAGCGGGAGCACAAGCTGAATGCTGGGCAAAGGTCACGGGCGGGAAGGTTGAAGCGAATGCCAAGATCTGGGGTTGGGCTTCTGGCTGTTCTTTAGGCCGAAGCTTGCTGTCAACAGCGCTGGATTGGCGCGCGCTAAAATCGACGGGAGGCTCTCCAGCTACCGCTGTACCTGCATTAATGAAATCATCACTGGTGAGCCTGGTCGGGGGGCCTGCATCCATGGGTGCTTGAATTCAACACACAAACATCATCTTCAGACATTCAAGCGCGTCCGCGGGCACTATGGCTCAAAAGTCCCTACCGATGGATTCTGGAAATCTTCATATGCAGCCCCTACCGAATGTACCTGGAGAGAAGCGACCGCAAGTTTTACCGGACTTGGCGAACAATGAGGCCCAGGCAGCTGGTCCCGCCAAGCTGATGCGACACAGGGGTTTTTCAAAACAACAGCCAGGATGTCGGCTTCAGACAAAACATGACAGGCATTAGAGAAGCCATGCAAGCAAGAAAAGCCATGTTACCTAATCCTTGGCCACCGCGAAATCCGTTCACAGGCCGACTTATTTCCGAAGAGCGCGGTCCATCTCTGCAGATGTGTCTTTGTCGCCGTAATTCATTACTCATTAATACACGCTCTTGAGACATATGACGATACCACCCACTCGAGTGGCCTTGAAGCATGAAGTACTCACCAGGTTGAATCTTGATGGAGTAGACCGATTCTAGCCTCGAGACTATGCGTTTGATCTCCGACAAGCTCATAGCGGTGTTTCTTAGGCTCCAGGTTGATTGTTTGCCGATCAGTCTGTCATTTCAGTCTCGCCGATATCTTCTTGTCTTGCCCATTCCATTTTCAGATAATCGTCCGTGCTTCACCGAGGAAATACAGCATACACAATGTGTCAAACACACAAATTGTCAAAACAAAGATTGATGGATGACAATGACCGCGAAAGGGCACGTTCACGTTCCAGAAAGGTGATAATTACAAGATTCATTTTGCAGTTCAAAAACACAGACGATTCCCACCCCCCCTTTCCCTGATAACCTGACCTCTAATGAGAGCCATGCATTTCCACCACATAGCACCCCCTTCCGCCTTCCCTTGCCTGCCCCTCCCTTAACCCCCTTTTCTATGACGAAGAGCACGAGACGGGGATGGGGATGGCCTCGAGCGGCGTCTTGATGTCGATGGGCACGGTCTGGTTGACGCTGGCCAGGGCGTCCGAGTAGTAGGTCAGGTGCTGGCCGTGGTTGACGACGTCCTTGCCGCGCAGCTGGAAGTCGAGGATGCCCGTCTGGCAGGCCGGCTGCTTGCGGATGGCCTGCAGCACGGGCAGCTGCGTGATGTTGGCCACCATGGGGAACGAGTTGACGCCCGGCTTGAGCAGGATGTTGTTGATGTAGACGGTGCCGATGTCCTCGCCGTTGAGGTAGTTGAAGAAGGTGGCGTTTCCCTTGATTGTCTCAGGCGTTAGCGATTACAAATTTCCCATGGTGTCAAGGAATATACCCTGAAAGAAAGGGATGCAAGACAAAAAAAAAAAAGAACGTACAATCTCAAAAGTGACAATGGAGCGGTTGGGAATGTTGGCCATGCCGCGGAAGTTGTTGCCGTCGTCCTGGGGCGTGATGGAGATCTTGGTGTCGGTCACGGTGGTGCCGTTGAACGACTGCAGGCCGGGCATGGTGATGGTCTTCTTGAACGTGACGCCGTACGCGTGGCTGATGCCGCGCACGTGGATGCTGGTCTGGCCCTCGACGGTGACGCGCAGCGTCTCGTTGGCGAGCAGCCACGTGTTGAAGTCGGTGAAGGCCTGCATGTCCGTCACGGGCGTCTCCTGCGTCACGTTGACGACCTGGAAGGCCGACGAGTCGGTCTGCGGGAAGTGCACCGTCGCGAACGGCACGTGGCCCGGCTTGTCCTCGAGGTACATGACGCCGTCGAAGGCGTCGATGGTGGCGTGCTGGGAGCCGTCGGTCGTGATGGTGCTGTCGATCTTCATGGTGTACTGGTTCGACTGCGTGTTGGTCACGACGATGCTCTGCACTTGCAGCTGCGCGTCGTTGATCTTGGACTGGGCGATGTTCTTGACGCCGACAAAGATGCTGCGGACCCCGTGTTAGCCAGTCGATTCTAGAGAATTGGGCTTGTCTGGGGTGTGGGATGCGGCGATTGTGATCTCCGGATTGATGTGCACGCCGGTCTACTCCCGAATCATGCTGCCATAAGCCAGACAGCGGCCTGCGTAGCCATATGACTATACCGAAGAGAGCGCCGGCATGCATCAACTCAATCCCCGGGAAACCCGTCGCGGAGCCTTCCTCCGGATTTCAAACTTACATCAAACAGACGACCAGGACGGTGACGCAGATGAAAATGAGCAGGTGGAGCCACCAGAACTTCTTGCAATGCCTCATGCAAGTCTGCCTCTTGCTCCGGCGGATGGCGGGCGCCTCCTCCTGGGTCACCGCGATCTTCCCGTTCTCTTGCTGCTCCATTTTGAGAGTCGACTGTTTACTTTTCTGATTCCCCAGTCAAGCCGCCGGATGCCTCTCACAATGTCTCGTGATTTCCGTCTTTCCCGATATAAGAGATTCCCGTGACAACCCTTCGGCCCTCCCAATTCTTTCCCAGGAAAAAATGGCGATTGTTTATCTCTCCGGTAACGAGCGGCGGCGGTTGTGTTATGACAAATCCAAAGTCAAAGGTAGTTTCAAGTGAGTGCCACGCCCAAACACTCACAACACGTCGTCGTTGTCGTCGGAGAATTCGAATCCGGGGAATCCGAATTACCAACTACCGGGGAGAGGAGAAGAGAAGAGGAGACGACAAAGAGCTGGATCGAGAGAGGATTCAAGGTTTAAGACAAGGACCAGCACGGGGAATAAGGTAAGGAAATAGGGTCATCAAGAACCTGGTCACGAAAAGTGGGATGGGGGTGGACATGGGTCGAGGGATCATTTTACATTTATGTATCTCTGTTACGCATTCTGCCATGGGACATTTTCACAGGCCAAAAAAGTCTTCTCGGTCTGGCACCACAATGGAGACCCAGAGGTCAATCCCTTGTCTCTCTCTCTCGTCCCGCGATGAAGATTTGTTCTCGCTCGCGCATTCGTGCTGGGCGAAGAGAGGGACAAGGGGGGCGGGTGACCCGATTTGCCTTGACTCGGCCGGGGTGCGCAGCCAATCTGCGGCCAATATCCGCATTGCGACTGGGGGGTGGTCAAGGTGGTGAATACCCTTTCTGCTGTTAGTTCGATTTGGATGGGAGATCAGCGCTCCCAATTCGAGCGTTAGGGTGGCATCTCCACCTCCACTTGCGGGGAAAAGGCAGGCACTTAGGCATGGAGCTGAGAGGTCTCCCTCGTCTCTTTGCTGCGTGTTGGCAGCGGTGGTGGTGGTGTGTGGTGCGTTTGTGGCAGCTCACATGCCAAAACCAAGGTTCGAGACATGGGAGGGAACAGAATGCTTCCGTCCCTTCCATGGCCATGCTCGGTCGACTGCCAATCACAAACGGGCTCTCACCTGTCCGCGATTTCCATTCAGATCGGGAGGCCTGCCATCATAAGAAGGGAACAACAGAGAGAATAGGAAATATTCATAATGTTGCCATGACCATTCTTGCTGTCGCGCTCTCTCGCTCTCCTGTGTGTTTCGTGGTCGACTGATCGCCGTCCATCAGGAAATCACCACAAAACCAGACCCTCCATCGCGAAACTCGGGGACCCGGTGGTTCAACGGCATAGCTTCCAAATCTGGCAGAGGCCGATGGCGCCGTTGGGTCCACGGTGATCTTAGTGTCATCGCCCACCTCGAAGCTTGGTATCTTATTTCTCTCTCGCTACGCGATTTTGCCCCCGCATTGAGCCAAGGCTAAAAGAGATATTGGAACTGTGCTGTGAGGGTGTCCGGTGGTCATGCGAGAGGAGAAAACAGACACACCAAATGACAGCTGGAAGTCTAATTCTTTCCCCTTTCCCTCTCTCCGCAAGCTGCTTTGGCAATAGTTAGTGTCGTTGGCATCCCCCCTTGTCCCTTTGACAGGGGACCACCGCCGTCGATACTGGATACGTGCATGCATGCTGCAGCGTGTGGGTGGAGATCGTCCCGAATGCCAATCTTTAGTCTCTCTTTGGTCCGAGGCATCTCGTGAGCACATGGCCTCTTTTTTGAGTGTTGCGAGAAAGCACATGCAAACTTTTGTCATGATGTTGTTGATTTTGCTGTTTGCTGCAGTCCGAACTGCGCCGCTGGGCGCTGTGAAAACCTGGAGAACACAGCTTGGCCTTCCTTAGCACTCTCCGCACCCCCAGACGCCAAGTACGGAGTACTCGCCAGCACTGCTGGACTTGTCTCGATGTGTCTGGCCCGCCCGCTTCGACCTATTACTAAGAGTCGAATGGCAAAAGGCCCGCCTTGAGCTGGCTGCACTCGAGACGTGCCAGTGAGGCCCAGTGTCAATCGCCACACCGGAGTACGCGGGTCTGTTTCCAGCACACCCGCCCTCACAGTATCGCCGGTTTGTGGCCGTATGGACTGTTTTGCCCTGCCCGAGACCCCACCGGCAGTAGTAGAAGATAGAAATAAAAATTCTGAGGCTTAAAAGCAACGTTGTGTAGTGGTCTGAGGGCGAATCCTGGGCTGCGGATCTGGTGCAACCATCGCAGTTTCGCCCATTCGGCCCATCTCCCTGCTCAAACAAAATGCTATTGCCAGGGGGCACAGCCTATCACGATGGCCACAGGGCAGCGCATCTCTTGGCCCTTGCTGCCATCTGGCTCAGGGCATGTCGTGCATACGCCTGCCAACCGAATCCCAGGGGCCGCAGAGGGTGCGTGCTCATTGCCTGGAATAGATTGAAATAGGCACGCACCCAGACGGCAGAGCTGCACACCGCAAGATTAATCCAGTTGCAGATTCATTTGCCTGGCCATAGGCTCTTGCGATGCACCTGCCTGCTCGTAAGCAGGGCCCAACAGCCGGCTCCAGCTCGGAGATTTGGAGGTCAAGCGATCTGGAGTCGACCAGCGGACCAAGATGTCCTCATTGGGGCCTGGCGGCCGTTGTTGACTTGCCCTAACCGGCCTAGTTGCACTGCAGGGACCAGGGGAGGTACCGTCATCCGAGGAGACGTTTGCTGGGAGTTTTCATTGAGAGGATGAGATGCATCGTCTTTTCGGCCTGATCAAACAGAAAAAAGGCTTGTGTGGCTGAGCAGGCCTTCGCCTGTTAGGTCGTGCCGCAATGATGCGTGTAGCTAATCAATTCGCGAATTGCGACAGCCTCGAGCCTTGCCTCGCATAGCATAAGCTGCCCTTTGAGCACCAGCCAGTCCGCGGCGTTGACCCTGGCTGGCAACTTCCGCCTGCACCAATGTTCAGCTGTGTCTGGCACAACTGTAGCTCCGGCCTATCACGCACGGCGCCCAGGTGTCAATCGCTGAAAGGTAGGGAGGGGGAAAGGAGCAGACAACATTACCTAAGATAGGAGACGGTACTTTTAAACTGCATCTCCAATTCAGGGCATCCCATCCCGGTCTTCCTAGTCTGCGCTTTTGACGATCACAAGCCTGCGCCCATCATTGATGGCTTTTGCTTTGCGATAGCGATTGGGCTTCAGGAGACTTGGTGTTGATATCCCCGGAGCAGAAAACGGAACAAGCCTATGACGGAAGATGCGGAGGAGACAAGAAGCAGAATCGAGGTGCAGATCATCACAGGTGAGCAAGTGGTGAGGTGAGGTACGACCGCCGTGATCTCCAAAAAGTGGAAGGAACAAATTACTACCAAACAAGGCAAGTGCGCCGGTATTTACGGATACGCCGGTATTTACGGATAGCGTCTGGTGTCATTCTACTTGTACAGCTTCGTCAAAACTATGAAAATGTCTACATCCTCCAACCTCTACCTCTTTCGTCTTTCACACATGCATGTCTTCCCCATCCGTGCTTTCAGAGGCAGCGTCATTGGAGCACGCACCCTCCGAACGCCTCGGTATCTTCCTCCACCCCCTCACCCTCCACATCCTCTTCCTCCACCTTCGCCCTCCACTACACCACCGCTCTAGATCTTCGCCTTGGTCCACAGCGAAGGCTTGTCCAACCCCGCGTCTCCGTCGTAGATGTCCCGCTCCACCATCCGCGTATTGATCTGTGTGTTGTCGTCGTGTTAGCTCTGAGATCTGCCCGCCGCGTGTCGAGGGGTTGCACATCCCCGTGGGGGGGCGGCGTGTTTGCTTGCGGGATAAGTCGGGGGAGGAGGACAGGTACAGCATGTGAAAGCGAGGGGATTCGGGGTTCCAGGATGAGGGGTGAAAAAAACACTTACGAATCTGGGGCCAAGCTCGGACAGGTTCTGCACACCGAGGAGCTTGAGGCATGTGTCGATCTCGGCGGTGAGGACTATCATGAGTAAAAAAAAACATTGTTAGCAGCTGATAACACCATCCTTGTTTGTTCGTTCGCTCTACAAGACGCATTGTCTCCGAGGTCCCCGAAAGGTCCTTATCAAACAGCGCAAATCGAACAGAGACGAGGAAAACCAAGACGAATGGAATGACTTACTCTCGAAAGTCCTGTGCACGCCCTTCCAGCCGCCAGCGCCGAGCCCCCAGAGGGCAGCACGGCCAACGCCCACGGCCTTGGCGCCCAGGCACAGCGCCTTGACGACGTCGGTGCCGCGCCTGATCCCGCCGTCGACCCAGACGTCGATCTTGTCGAGCACCTCGGGGCAGTACTTGCGGATCTCGAGCAGCGTGTGGACGGCGGGCGGCGCCGTGTCGAGCGCCCGCCCGCCGTGGTTGGACAGGATGATGCCGGCCACGGAGCCCGGGTTCTGCTCCGCGTACCGCGCCGCCAGGTAGGCGTCCTCGTGCGTCTGCACGCCCTTGAGCACGATGGGCAGGTCCGTGTGCTTGCGGAGCCAGGGCAGCGTCGTGTGCCACGTGAGGTCGGACGCCGTGCCCCAGAACATCTGCTGCCCGATGCCGCCGCCGCCGGGCCGCGCGTCGCCGCCCTGCGACGGCGCCGAGACCTGCAGCTGGCCCTCGAACTGCGACTTCTCGTCGAGCTCGCGCTTGCCGGGGACGGGCGCGTCGAGGGTCAGCACGACGAACTTGTAGGAGCGGCGCATCTTGTTGATGCGCGCCAGCATGGCCTCGCTCTTGCGCCGGTCGTTCTGCACGTAGATCTGCCAGCCAAAGACCTGGCCCTCGGCGGCGTCCGCGACGATCTGCTCGGGCGTCATGCTCGCGTTGTGGCTGACGACCTGCATGCCGCCGAAGCTGGAGATGCCCCTGGCGATGCCCGCCTCGCCGTCCGGGTGCGCCAGCCGCGCCATGGCGGCGGGGGCCACGAAGACGGGCGTGCCGACCCTGTGGCCGAACACCGTCGTCGACTGGTCCGCCCTCGTGCAGTCGACAAAGACGCGCGGCCGCAGGAGGATGTTGCGGTACACGGTGTTGTTGTAGTACTTGGACAGCAGGTCGTCGCCGGCGGAGAAGTAGTACGCGTAGCACTTGCGCGAGACCTGCTTCGTGGCCGCGTCCTCGATCTCGTCGAGGTTCATGAGCGACTCGAGCGGCGGGGGCGGCTCCTTGCCGTCCTTGCCGCCGCCGCTCTTTTGAGCCCCCTTCTGGGTCTTGGCCTCTAACCTCTTGAGGCTCTCCATGTCCACCTGGCCGAGCTTCGCCTCGGGCTTCATGTTCTCGATGAGCGTGCCCTCGGGGTGCACGGGGTCGAACTCCTCGGTCGCGTCCTTGCCGGCCAGCTGGAGGATGATCTTGGAGCCTCCGGGGTGCTCCGGGAGGAACTCGGTCACGTCCCAGACTTCGCCATAGAGAATGACCCAGCAGCTCTCGGCCGTGTTGTGCTTTGCGACTGGTGGCAGGTTAGCAGTTGAAAAGTGTATTGAATCCCAGGTAATATGATGTAAGGGGATCCGAGCAATCGAGAGGTCTGAACAGGCTCTCAATGCGTTTCCCAAGACCAATCCTCACGCTCTGGCATCCTGAGTCCTGAGCATTGAGGCAAAGGCCTGAAGAACAACTTCTACCATCATGCAGACCGCTCTCCCACAGAGGTTCGGCGGGAATTCGGGTAAGTTACTGACCTTCTTCGGCGTCGAATATCTTCACCATCTTGTAGATTCCGCTGTATCTACTGGAAGAGCCAGACTTGCAAGGAGAATATCGTACCAGGGGAAGTTTTTCCCGGTCGGTCAGGATGCAATTGAGAGATTCGAAACAGAACAAAAAGAGGAGAAGGAGCCGGCAACGAGGGCCGGTCGTGAGAACGCAGAAGCTCCGGGGTGCGGGATGGCCTTCTTTCTGCCCACTTGTGGAGACTGTTCGCTGTGGGGGAATGGGTGGCCGGTCGCCCAAAAGCTATCCACTTTGGTAATGCCGAAGCGTTGGCTGGCTCGTCCACCTAGGCACCCTCGAGGCACCTAGGTATCGTGGAGCCGTCTCGGTGGGATTTCCGCCGACGGTGCCCAGTCGCGCCATCTCAGGGCGGTGTGCCGAGAGAGGCGCTGCCGCCGGTGTCGGAAGATGCTTCCGGGATATTTTGGGGGCACATACAAGAGTGAGGCATCCGTACTTCCCAGCCTTATGATGGCATAGGATCATGTAAGTACCTAGGTACTCGGACATAGTCAGATGTAAAAGGCGCTGCTATGCCTTGAGGGGTTTTAGTTTGTCTTCTAATATAGAACACTTGCGCAGTGTGTAATCACCGCCTTTTCTCATCAAGAGACGTGTCTCCTTGATCCAAGTCGGTATGATGATACAAGTCGCTTTCACTCTCAGAATCAATCAGCACCTACATAAATAGACATAATGAAAATCTCTTTGCTGTCAGTATGAGTTGTTGATAGTCACTATCTACGGCTGGATGTTGCTCACCCTGCATGGACACTGGGTGAGCCTCAGCCAGGCGGCTGCCGCAAGGCGAGTCGACGATCAGCCGCAATCTCCACGTGGAACGGAACGGCTGGCAAGTTGCTTGCCTTGCCTGGCAGCGTCCCAGCAAACGTGTTGGAGTTGCGCATGGCGGGCTGGGCAGCCTGCCTCTCATGACAAATTACGCAAGATCGAGGCTTGAGGCTGTTTTCAGTGGAAGCGAGACAGACATTCGAGCACATTACGGAATTCTCCGCCTGCATACATTTGACTACTGCAGAGCCAAGCTACTTTACTTGTATAAAGTCCTCGACTAGGAACAGATCAGTTGAGTCGAAATAACTACTCTGTACTTACATGAGACTCTTACTTCGTAGTTGGAGATTGTTAGGTTTAGTCCAACCAGGCCCGTTCGAGGCGCTAACGCAGGCCGCCAGCTTATACACGTAACTACGTATCAGGCCCCTGAACAAGACGCCGGACCCGCGCTCTCCCCCACCACAGGCAGCTGCCTAGCTCTCCGTGCCCCATCCCGCCCGCCGCTATCCCATCCATAGTGCTTATCAACATACCTGTATCGACCATCGTCATAGCCAGCCAAATCGACGACGACACCAGCCCTGTTCGACTGCAACCCCGTGCATCATACTCCCCTCCAAACGAGCTTCTCTTTCGTCCCTTCCGCTGCCTCATCGACCAACGATTCTTTCAACCCTCTGTTGCGGGGGCCGTTCACGTGCGCAATCAGCGCACGATCGGAGGACCGACGACGACGACAACGACGACGGCAACATGGACGGCCCACAGGCGCAGAAACCCCTCCGCATCCTGTGCTTCGGCGACTCGCTGACGGCGGGCTACTCGGCCTACGGCAGCATGTACCACCCTTACAGCGAGCAGCTGACCGAGCGCCTCAAGGCCGCCGGGTACGGTGGCGGGGTCGTCGAGGAGACGACGGATGGCGTCCCAGGCGATCTGACGGGCATGTTCATGTCGCGCATCCTCAGCCACTGTGCGTTTCTGATGGAAGATCAGACCCTCAGTCATAACGGAAAGTCACAAGCTAACGTTTTCTCCCTCTCTAGTCGGTCGAGACAAGGGCAGGCAGCCCTATGACTGGACCATTGTCCTCGGCGGCACCAAGTACGTCCTCTGTCACGCGCGCACACCATTCATCCATACGCCCCCCCTTATGAAAGACATGTTTCCCCGCTGACCACCGACCGCAAAACCCACCAGCGACCTAGCATATTCCTTCCCGCCCGAACAGATCTTCCAGAACCTCGAAAAGACATGGAACGTCGCCTTGTTGAACCGCAGCAAAGTGCTCGCCCTGACCGTGCCCGAAGCCGCCGCCAAGAGCGAGCAGCTCAACAAGCGCCGCCAGCGGCTCAACGAGCTGATCAACAGCTACAACCGGGAGAACTTGTACGTGACTTCCTTTTCGCCATATGGGGGTCCCGTCTGATGCTATCATACGCGCTAACTTCTCTCATCCCGTTTTGCAACAGCTACGTCTTTGACTTTCACGCCGCACTGCCCTACCACTCCCTCTCAGCCGAGGACAGGGAGAAGTACTGGGACGATCACGTCCACCTAACCGCCGACGGATACGACTTCATGGGGGAAAAGATCGCCGAGGCCCTCAAGGGCATAATGGGAGACACGGGAAGTAGCGTCGTGCCTGCCACCAACGGCGCGACGACCGATTCCTCGCCTAAGCGGCCGACGAGGAGGCGACGGGTCTTTAAGGACGACGACAATAATTTTGTCGAGGAGACCGGCGACCCGACCCTCATAGACCAGGGATACATCGTGGTGAGGCGAAAGGACTTGGACTAGATTCTGCGGAGATATCGCACCGCGCAAACACTTGGGAACCGGTACTTTATGGGACACTGGCTGGCGTATTGGGATAGAGCTATTCAGAGGCGCGCGCAGGACATTGGGATACTTTTGATGATGATTCCCTCGGTAGCGGTTCTTTGTTCGTAATTCGACGGTCTAATTCTTTACTGCATGTCTTGTGATGATGACCCCCTTTTTGGAGGTCCCTGTCCCTGTACCTAATAACGCCTGCCTATGATGTGATAGTGATGGGAGTCGGAAGTCCCAACGCCGCATGATGTGGGGGAAATCTTCATACAACCAGATTCGCGGCCACGAACTCCTACAAAGCGTCTTTTGCGTCAGCTCCATAGCCTCACCACTAGACTTTTGAGATCGACACAAACTTACCGGAAAGTCCCGCTGCAGGGCGTTGGTGACGTTCTCGAGCTCCTCGGCCAGGCCCTGCACGTTGGCGTCCCACTGCCGCATCTCCTTGCCGACGACGACCTCGGCGCGGCCGCTGCCCTTCTCGCCCGACGCCTCGCCGCCCTCGAACCAGATGACGCGGTCGATCTGGTCGATGCGGCCCACGAGCCGGCCCTGCTCGATCATGCGCGCCGTCGTCTCCTCGGCCCTGTCGGCGCCGAGGCCCAGCAGCAGGCCCAGGGCGTCAAAGTCGATGTTGCTGTAGAGCCGCGACGCGCCGAGCAGGTTGTGCTCGACGACGGCGCGGGCCAGCACCGTCGACCCGTCGGCCGTGCGCGCGAGCTGGTGCGGCTGCAGCGCCTGGGCGAACTTGTCGACCTCGTCGGGCGCCAGGAGCCGGTCGAGGAAGATCTTCTCGAGGATGCCGAACTCGGGCAGGGACGGGGACCGCTCGTCCTTGTACAGCCGGCCCAGGGCGCGGCTGCGCGCGGGCCCCGCGGGGGCCAGGACGGCGCACTTGACGGCCATGCCGAGCGTGTGCAGGCGCTCCTCGTCGGCGATGGCCGGGCTGAAGCTGATGTCGTGGTAGGCCTGGCTGGCGGCGAGGAACTCGCGCTGGGCGTCGTTGATGCGCGCCTGCGACAGCTTGAAGTGCAGGTTGAGGTCGCGGTCGGCGACCGTGTGCATGACGTTCTTGAGCTTGTTGAGGTACGTCGCGGCGGCCGTGCTGTCGTCGACCTCGAGGTAGTCGCGCACGATGCGGATCCACACGCGCACCTTCTCCTCGTTGCCCACCCGCCGCTGGCTGCTGTCCATGGGGATCTCGGCCAGCACCTTGGCGGCGTCCTCAAAGTCGTCGTTGTGCTCGTGCGCCGTGGCGATGAGCTCCCGCAGCGCGGCCGACTGCTCGACGTAGCTCGGCGCGGCCTGGGCGTTGCCCTCGAGCTGGCGCAGCGCGTGCCGGCCCGCCTCGATCCAGAGGTCGTGGTTGTCGAGCTGCTTGAGGGTGGCGATGAAGGCCGTCAGGACGGACCGGGTGGCCACGATGCCCAGCGCCGCCCCGCCGCCGAGGAAGGCGTCTACTATGCTGGCCAGGTCCTGCTCGACCGTGCTGGGCGAGGACAGGTTCTTGATGTTGCCGAGGAGGGACTCGAAGGCGGGGCCCTTGTCGCCAGACGAGGCGGCGATCTGGGCCAGAGCCTCGCTCACCTTGGGCGACGCCATCGTCAGATGAGGCAGTGTCTAGTTGTCCCTGTTTCCACCTCTAATGAAGTCAAGCTCGGCTGGTAAATCTTGTTGATATGTGAGGAAGCTTGAGAGCTGTCTAGTTTGTCATATCTTACATGTAAGGTATGAAGTCTAGGCAGATGAGTGAGCGGACGCCTTGAAATGGTGGGGAGCTTGTAGTGAAGTCTTTGGTGGGGAATGGCCCAAGCTTCTGGCCTGTGGGGCAGATCTGTAGCCTCAAATATGGGGGAGGAGCTGTCATGGCTTTGGATATTGCCTTACTGTTGTTAGGATTTATCCTTGATAGACCTTGAGATAATTTCTCATAAGTAGAAGTAGCATGAGAGTGGGTTGTGTAATCGGTTTTTTAAGCCCTACAGTGATATCATACGTTTTCAACTTTTCAATCCTCATATGATGAGAATCATCAAGACATTAAACTGGTTTTCTAGAAGATATCTTTATGTTGAACTACAGGGCTAGCATTTGATTCACGTCCATGATTCCCTAGAATACAAGACATGTTTCTGAAACTCAAACCTAGGGGCATATTCTGTATCTTGGCTCGTCGTCATATTCAACGATGTCCGAGTCTGTCTCCCACTACCTCTAGTGCCATCGAAGACGACAAATCGTCATGACTAGATGACTGCTGTGCTGATTCACAAATTGTCTCTCGTTCGCGTTACTTTCTCAAGGTTTGAAGCCCTGTGCTGCTGGGACGGACGCGGCCTGAATTTCCTCTGACCTCATATGAACTTGAGGAGAATAGGATTAAGTGCTGCGGTTCCGTGCCCGTTTTCGGGCCTGAGCTGCTACCTCTGCTCTCATAGTAGTCTGACCGATAACAGACTCTATGAAGAGATAACTGAATCCTCGGCCAGAGGACTGCAGACAGATCTGTAGGTAGATCTCTGTACCGTGACCTTCCATAATCGCGGAGAACCAGCCACATATCCAATGGTTCAAAATGTCCCAAGTCGTGGTGGCATCTCAAGTGTCGAATCGTGTCTTTCGCTTCCCAGTCACACTGGTAGTCCCAGGAGTACCGGACCTGCTGCCCTGCTTACTCGAGGCACCCGACGCCGAGACAAAATCCATCGCCTCGCCGGTTCCGCGTTGGCGTTCCTTGTGCAACTTCTCCTGCGACTTTCTCAACGCGCCCTTGGACGCCCATCCCGGAAAAGCGGCGGGGTCCCAAATCTCTGGGGGCAGAGTTGTCGCATACTGAGCAGTAGGCTCTGACTTCCTCGATGAGCCGTCTGCCTCAAAGGAGCTCTCGATGCCAACAAACCCCAGCAGTTTGTCCATGAGCGCCGGGTTCTTCAGCGCGTTAGACTGTGCTATCCTGGCGTTGAAATGCGTGCCCTTCTTCCGCTTCAGCTCAAGGAAGTTCTCAAACTTCTTGTTCAACGCGTCGAACCCCGGGGGAGGCGTGCCAGGGGGGGTGGGCGGGATGTCCAGATCTGGCACCGTCGGCAAGGTCAGATCCCGCAGGAGCGTGCGGTTCGCCGAGTAAGGCGATAGCGGTGGTCCGCCGTTGGTGTCCGGCTCCAGGGGCGGCAGTTCCGTGGTCTGTGGCTCAGCCGGAGGAAGGCTGGGCCCGATGAGAGCTCCGTCATCTTGAGGCGGCGTTGGGGCTTTCACTGGCTCTGGCTGAGGTGCGACTTTCGGAGCGGCTGCAGACGGCTCCGGTTGAGACTGGGGGGCCTCATCAACGCTGTCCTCCTCATCACTACTCGCATACGCCACAAGCCCTGCCATTTCCGTCCGAGTCTGAGCGCGTCCAATATCTTGAAACGGTGTGAGTGAGATGGGTTTGTTTGAATCTCAGCCGCCCTGAAAATGGCCTGCCAGTAGGCACAAGGCAGTAGGCAGATGACAGGGGCAAGCTCTGCCAGGTGCCACGCCGAAAAAGACAGTTGGGCCAGCACTGGATACACCATTAGGGACCCACCACGTGACTGCATGACGGGTGAGGCAGCACCTGGGACGCGCAGCTTGCCTTCTCCTCGCCCTCACTAATCGCAGAGCTCAACTGCGCCAGCAAGCTCCCTCAGCCGTGCCAAACATCCAACGTCAATCGCAGCATCACAACTCCCAATATTCCAACCACCCGTCTCCCACATCGCTGAGAACCCACGATCATCTGCTCCTGTTCGATTCGCACCTACTCACGACCCAATCACCCCTAACCTTCGAAGTCTATCAACATGGATCATCGCCCGCAAGCCTGGGGTCGGGTAAGTCATCTCTCCTCAAGCAAGCTTGGACGACCTCGTTGGCAAGAGCACCGACTCCTCTTGAGCAATGGAGCCCGTCTTTCTGCCAATATCTGGCTCGAGAGTAGCTCACTGTGCATTCATGTCACGATCCATGCTAACAGAAGCTCAATTCCAGCCTAGAGACGACGTCTACGGCGCCTACGATGCCTCCTACCTCCACACAAGCGGCCCCAAGCAGGCCACGCAATCACCAATCGTCACCGGCACCTCAGTCATCGCCATCAAGTACAAGGACGGCGTCGTCATGGCGGCAGATAATCTGGGTACGTCTAGGCCGACATCCTTCCCCCCCAATCATACAGACCATCCATGAAACTAACAATCATGGCGCCCTACAGCATCCTACGGCTCCCTAGCCCGCTTCACAGACACAAAGCGCCTGCGCTCCTTCGCCGACACGGCCCTCGTCGGCTTCGGCGGCGACGTCTCGGACATGCAGTACCTCGACCGGCACCTGACGGAGCTCGCCGTCGACGAGGCCTACGCGAACCCGACCTCGTCGCCCGACGACGCCGCCGCCAACACCCTCTCGGCCGCCAACCTGCACAAGTACCTCGGCAAGCTCTTCTACAGCCGCCGCTCCAAGTTCGACCCGCTCTGGAACCAGGTCCTCGTGGCCGGGCTCGACGACGACGGCGAGCCCTTCCTCGCCTCGGCCGACCTGCGCGGCACGACCTTCTCGAGCCCCTCGCTGGCCACGGGCTTCGGCTCCGCCCTCGCCCAGCCCATTATGCGCCGCTACGCCGCCACCGAGGAGGACGCCGCCCAGCTCACGCGCGAGCAGGCCGTCGACGTCATCAAGGAGTGCATGAAGGTGCTCTACTACCGCGACGCCCGCAGCCTCGACACCTACAGCATCGGCGTCGTGACCAAGGAGGGCGTCGAGATCAAGACGGACGAGAAGCTCGAGCAGCAGAGCTGGGCGTTTGCCGAGAGGATCCGCGGCTACGGCACCCAGACCGTCTAGGTTGGTCGGAGGGGCCGAGGAGGCAAGGGGGATAATTCAGGTGGTGGTTGAGATGGTGCCGTTAGCTTGTGGTTGAGTTAGACTTGGTGTTTGATAAGAAAGCAAAGCGAATGGGTTATTCATCCTGTTTTTGATAACAGGTGTAGGCCTCGCAGATCTCGCCTCTACAGAACTTGGGCACTGCAGCTTGATTTGGTACGGGACCGGTACGAATCATTCACACCACCCAAGTCATCACCACCGAAGCGGACGCCGATGAATGGTCCTCACAGACTAAAGGGACCAGGTCGAAGACCTATAGTCTTGTACAATAGAAGAAAGGTTCATATTTGCGCATTATGCCCTCTTGCAAGTTCAGTCCTGAGGAAAAAGAAAAAAGGCTTCTTCTTGCCCATACACCATCTAGTTAAGTTCGTGGCCGGAAAACGTTACATACACAAATTACCTGGGGCCCGCGCACCTATTTCACGTAGGGTATGTATGTGGGAAAACAAATAGAGAAGTTGGGCCCCCCGTTTACATTCGACATCATCGTCATCCATCCTCATCCTGCCCCCCAGAACAACAACAGAAACATGCAAATTATGGTGCTTGCTTTCCCTTCTTTATGAAAAACGTCGAAAGAGAAACAACCGTAAAACTCCTCCCAAACACTGGTTTCAGACGACGATTATCTTGTACAGACCCCCCTCCCCGCTCAGGCCCAGCGTGACTGGCTGCACACATCTCTTTACTCGACGGTGACAGACTTGGCCAGGTTGCGCGGGAAATCGACGTTGAGACCCTCCATGACGGCGAGCCAGTAGGCGATGAGCTGCAGAGGAATGACGTTGAGGATGCCCTGGAGAGCGTCGACCGTCTTGGGAATCTCGATCCTCTCGGCCTCCTCAGCGTTGAACTCCTGGTCGCCCGTGTTGCAAATGACAATGGGCTTGCCACCGCGAGCAGCAACTATGAGAGAAGAATAATGTTAGTCCACCCGTACAGGAAACAAGATGCCTTAGGAAAAATTAGACTTACCCTGCTGGTACGCGTTGAGCGACTTCTTGAAGAGGTCGTCACGGGTCAGGATCATAATGATGGGAAGGTTCTCGTCGACGAGCGCCAGGACACCGTGCTTGAGCTCGCCAGACATGACGGCCTCGCAGTGAAGGTAGGAGATCTCCTTGATCTTGAGCGCGCCCTCGAGAGCGGTGCTGAACTGCTGGCCACGGCCCAGGAGCAGCAGCGACTTCTGGTTCTTGAACTTCTTCTCGCACATGGCCTTGATCTGCTGGTCCTGCTTCAAGACCTCCTTGATCTGGTCCGAGATCTTGCTAAGACCCTCCATGATCTCCTCGCGACGCTTCTGCTTGCTGGCACGGTCCTCACTAAGGGACAGGGCGAACATGACCATGGCGATGAACTGCGAGGTGTATGCCTTGGTAGAAGCGACACCAATCTCAGGACCGGCGTTAACGTGGACGCCACAGTGCGTCAGCAGGGAGATGGAAGAGCCCACGACGTTGACGATACCGACCGTCAGAGCACCGCGCTCCAGACAGTAGCGGAGAGCCATCAGGGAGTCGGCAGTCTCACCAGACTGGGAAACGAAAACGCACGTGTCGTCACGGAAGACAGGGGCTTGTCGATCAAGGAAGTCAGAGGCCAGCTCGACGGCGATGGGGATCTCGGCAAGCTCCTCAAAGATGCCGCGGACAGCCATGCAGCTGTGATATGAGGTACCGCAAGCAATGAAGATGATACGTCTGCACCGGCGGATGGTGCTGATATAGGAGCGCAGACCACCGAGGGTGACCTTCCTGTTCTCGATATCCAGACGACCACGCATGGTGTTGACAACGGACTCGGGCTGCTCGAAAATCTCCTTCTGCATGAAGTGGTCGAACTTGCCCTTCATGATCTCCTGGAGTTCGAGCTCGAGGGTCTGGATGGTGCGGACATTGGAGCTACCGTCGGCCTTCTTGAGACGGTGGATGTTGAGGGAACCCTCATGGATGTGCGCAATGTCGTCGTCCTCCAGGTACATAACCTTCTTGGTGTGCTCGACGATGGCAGACGGGTCGGAGGACAGGAAGAACTCGGTGGGCATGGGCATGCCGTCGTCGGTCATGAAAGCACGGGACTGAGACCGGTGGAGGAGGGACTTGTCTGGGGGAGCGAGGCCGCTGGCACCGGCGGCAGCGTTGGGGGAGAGGAAGTTGCTGCCGCTGCTGACGCCGGCCTTCCGGAGGGCGACGTTCTGGGCGGCAGTCTCGGCGGCCAGAGGGGCGTTCTCGTCGGCGTACTCGACATCGACAAAGTCGACCTTCATGCGCTTCTGCGTCTTGACACCGATGACAAGAGGAGATCCCTTGCGGGCGGCAATGACCTCGTGGGGGTAGTGGACGGACTTGATGAGCAGACCGTAGGCACCCTCGAGCTCCTGGATGACGGCCTTGGCCAGGTCGGTGAAGCCGACGCCAGGGTGCTTGTCGTAGATGTACTTGGTCAACTTGGCAATGCACTCGGTGTCGGTCTCGGTCTCAAACTTGAAGCCCTTGCTCTCGAGCAGCGTCCGGAGCTCCTTGTAGTTGGTAATGATACCATTGTGGACGATGGCGAACTCCCAGTTCGGGTCAGATCTAGCAATTGTGGCTCGAATCAGTCTTCATGCTCTCGACACGCATCTGGCGGCAAGCTGCCAATGCCAAGGATACTGAGACAACATGGCCCACATGCGGATTGTGGCCAAGTCCTCGAGCAATTTTGTGTGTATCTTTTCGTTGGGGGTTGCTTACCGGTGAGGGTGGCAGTTTACGCGGGAGGGAGGACCATGGGTAGCCCACCGGGTGTGGGCGATACCGGCATGTGAGTCGAAAACCTTGGTAAGGTCGATCTCGGACTCGTCGATGAGCTGCTTGAGCTTGGCAACCTTGCCAACCTCTTTGAAGGCAAAGACCTCGTTCTTCTTGTCGCCGTCGACAGCTAGACCGGCCGAGTCGTAGCCGCGGTATTCGAGTCGGGACAGACCTAGAGGAAAGGTGAAACACCACCGTCAGTCTAGAAGCTCTCTAGCTGCAACAATCGAAGGGTGTGCGTGTATGTGGCGTTTGCGTGGTCCGGTGTATAGCCGAGCCAACAGAGAAAAAGATTACGTACCATTGATGAGAGTGTCAAGAATGAACTTGCGGTCCTTCTCCACCAGGTAATTGACGTAGCCGAAAATGCCACTGCCGTAGGAATTACTGGTTAGCTCAATTCTTCCGGACCTCCGTGCTTGTTTCAATTGCTGCCCAGCTCAGCCTGCTCTGCCTCTGCTCAACAGAAGCAGTAGCAGCAGGCCATCATCGAGCAAAAGCAGGCCGCTGCGGCGGCGGCGGTGAAGATGTGTCCAGAATGGCGGGGTGCAAGCTTACCACATGTTGTCGGGTCAACCAGTGAAACCGGCGCAATGGCAGTGAGGGACGAAGAGAAGGATGCAGTATGCAAAGATGGATCGCGAGGGGTATCAAGAGCGAGAGACCGGGCTTAAAGTAGTCGTACGGGAAAGAAAAGGGCTTGCAGAGCTTCTCTCTCTTTCTTGGGATAGGAAAAAAAGGCAGGATGAGGTGTCCGAAGCTGAAGGGTGGGTTGAAGGGGGATGATGAATGGGCCTTTATGGGGCTGAGCTTGTTGCTCCAGAAAAGACAAAACAGGTGTGGTGGGAAAGCCGCTTGGCTCAGGAACCTGCAGCAACCATTCAGCGTTGCTGGTGGGGGCAGCAGCAGCCAGTGCACACTGCAGGCGACAAGGGGGTTCGTCACTGATGGAGTTTGTTGGCGTGGGTAGGCGGTAGGCGGTAGGCGGTGGGCGCTGTTTGTGCTCTGGCTGACCGACCCGACCCTGGATCTCACCTCACCCTCTTTCATCCAGTGGCCCCCAGTGCATAAAGGCTCCCCCAAAAGGCCAAAAGGGGACCTTGGAGGCCTTTGCTGGCAGCATTTGGGGATCTGATGGAGTCTCAAGCTTCTTAGCGTCAATGATAAGCCCCGGACGCTCTAGCTTTTACTAATTGGCGTCTCACTAGCCTTCTCGTATCCTTTGGGTGTTTCTTTGTTGATGTCCCACTACCTGCCTCTGCTCTGGTGGTGCCTCTCTTGCATGTCTTTCATGTGTTTGCCATCAACACGGCAAGTAGAGTTTGGGGCGCTTATCTCTGTCATGTCTTTCCCTGTTCGCTCAGAAGAAGGCTGAGCCAACTAACTAATAGTCTTGTGACAATTTGGGGTTCCCCGAGCCAAACACATTGTTTGCAGGCAGCCTAATTTATTCGAGGTTTGAGATGACACACACGTGCAAGTCCTAGAGCGACGCTAAAGTCAGCCTCTACCTTCTCAAGCACCCCTATTTTGGAGAAGGTTGTTTGATGTAAAGGAGGCTAGGGAAGGTTCGTTATCGGGACAGCTCACACAATGTCTCACCGTGGTGACCAGTGGGTTGCTGTGGCGCTGCGAGCTTGACCGCGCCCTTCGAGGCTTGTTTCAAGAACTAGTGGACTTGCAGGCTGTCAATCCATCATGGATGGGATCTCTGTCACCGCCGCCCTCCGATGATGCAGTCGTGCAATGCAAAGTACCACCACCTACGGACAAGTGAACAGCGCTGCAGAAGTCTGTTGTGTGCCATGGCATCCCTTTCCACCCGCCTGTGCGCTGTTGCTCCATCTCGTATATTTACAGTACGAGCCGCGAGGGTATATCCGTAGATCATATCAGGAACGATGACGAAAAGCGCCTGCAGGTTTCCAAGGCGGCGCACTACCAACCCATCTACGGCAAAAAGGGCAAATGGCAGACCAGGGTCACATCCGGGAATCACCCATGACATGGTAGCTTTCCTTGTCTGCAACCTCTGCTTGGCATTGGCCTGAGTTTTCGTACTGGAGCTACTTGTAGGTACCGGCGGCGATCTCAAGCATGCCCCCCTAGTGCCACTGGGAGTTTACAGTTACAGTAAAGCATATCTCTTGCTCAGCAAATCGAAAGTCTTGCCCGGCATGTTGCTCGCATTGATGATGTCCCTGGGTTGAGCTCCAGTGGGGTTACCCTTTGCTCGAGTGGGCCACTTCGGTCCAGGAACGGGCGCGCTAAGTGGCTGTACAGCCTCAATTTCAAGGGGCGAGCTGGAGATCGGCCGTCCAGAAATAGAAACCCATAGCATCGCAGACACCGCCATTCACGACACCCATTCTTCGGGATAGTTATTTGCCATCTGTCGGTGCCGCCGAACGAGTCTAACTGTAGACGCCCTGCATATGACTTCTCGTGGCGGCGTCTGGGATCCGGAGGCTGGCTGCTAGTCAAGCTAGTCCATACAGTGGTCGGATCCGATGTCAGACACCAGCATGACGGCTCTGGGTGGAGCCGTTGCTTGACAGTCCATGCAATACTAGACATTCAAGATCAGTGCTATGTAATGATGTAGCCTCAAGTTTGACATGGCCGTTGCCTCTCGTGCGTGTTAAGTTTCTTGTCCCAATGTTGTGCATGGCACCCTCTCGTTAGAGACTCGTGTCGTGGGCTATTTCTCGTATAAGGTACGCGAATAATAACTACATGTACATACCTGAGTGCTCCTGTTGTGTTCAGGGGGAGTCCACCCCGTGTCCTCCAAAATGGTAGGTGGTTCAGCTGGCGGCCAATAGGTTCAACACTAACTAGAAGTCAGCCTTATTGGACCCTGGAATGATGGCAGTGTGGCAGTGCGGCTGAAGACCTCTCCTTGGTCCTCGAATCCTCCGTAAGCGTCCAATCAGATGGATGAACGAGGCTGAAGAAGTCACTCCCGAGAACACACCGAGGTAAAATCATTGGCGTAGCAAGAGATCCTGTTATGCTGTCATGTCACGGTTGCAAGGGTTATCCATTCGAGCCATTCAAGCAATCGCTCCATTATTTGCTCGGAACCAATGGCTAACCTGTAAGATCACCAACTGCACTCCTCAAGCGACAGCTAAGGAGATCCTGCAACAGGTCTCTAATCTATTGATACATCTGTACAGTGGAGCTCTAGATCTTGGCTCCATATCGCTCACCCAATCCATGTGGTCTTATCCACCAGTCCAACCGCCAGCCTCAACGCCTCAAGCATGATGCTTACAGCTTCTGGTACTCGAGCTTGCCCTCGAGTTTCTTCGCTTCGGCCACCTTGCGAACCGCCTTGTTGAAGTCGTCCTGGTTGATCGCATCACGCTCGTCCTTGATGGCAAATAGACCACTGTAGAGCATGTTAGCGGGTACTGCATGCGACAGAACATCACGTTCACAGGAGGTACTTACGCCTCGGTGACCACGTTTCTCAGATCTGCTCCGTTCAGGCCATCGCTCATCTTGACAACGCTCTCGAAATCAATATCACCCTCCATGACGACGCTGGACGCGTGAATCTTGAGAATCTCGAGCCGTCCGACCTCATTCGGCAGAGGAATCTCAATCTTGCGGTCCAGACGCCCGGCTCTGAGCAAGGCCGGATCGAGCGTATCGGGCCGGTTTGTTGCCATGATGATCTTGGTTTTTCCCAGGTAGTCGAAACCATCCAACTGGTTCAGCAGCTCCATCAGCGTCCGCTGAATCTCTCTGTCCGCACTGGTACCCTCCGAGAAACGTCTTCCGCCGATGGCATCGATCTCGTCCATAAAGATAATGCAAGGTTCGTGCTCTTTGGCATAGCCGAACATCTCACGGATAAGCCGAGCAGACTCGCCGATGTATTTGTCGACAATAGCAGACGATACAACTAGAGGGAGGAACCATGCGTCAGTAGCAACTCTGGTGTAAGCTCAAAGCAGAGATGGATTGACGAACCTTTGAGGAAGTTGGTCTCAAGACTGCTAGCCACAGCACGCGCCAGCAGAGTCTTGCCCGTGCCGGGAGGGCCGTAGAGGAGCACTCCCTTGGGGGGCTTGATGCCTACTCGCAAGAATAGCTCGGGGTTCTTGAGCGGCAGCTCGATGACCTCTCGCAATTCTCGGATCTGATCGTTCAATCCACCGATGCCGCCAAAGCTGACCTGGCCGGGATCTTCGAGCGACATGTTGTAGACCAGAGGATCGACTTCACGGGGCAGCATGCGCATAATCGTCAGAGTCGTCATGTCCAGCGCAACACGTGTTCCCTGCTTCAGCTTGATCTTGTCGACTTTGGACCTGCAGCCGACGACATATCTGGGACCTGATGAAGCCTTGACGATGACTGTAAAGAATTGTATCAGTAACAAGCATTTCCAGAATACGATTAATCCTCCAGAAATGCTGGGTTCTGGAGGATGTGTGGCAAGCACCGGGATGGAAGAGCTCACATCTCTCGTCGTCCAGTTGTTTCAGCACCTCGCCGATGATCTGACCGACGCTTTGCAGCGCCTTGATATTCTCTTCCGTTTGATCAAAATCCTTTTGCAGACCCTTGATCTCTAGCCGCAGCGCCTTGAGCTTTGCCTCCCATTCTCGCGACTCGATCAATTTCGCCTTGAAAGACGCCAGGGCGTGCTGGCGCTCCTCGTCGGAAGACATGCCTGCAGCTGTGTTTTGCAGATCAGGAGGAAGGCGGAAGATGCGAGGGGAGGGCTCGAATCAAGATCTCGAAGATGGAATCTAGGACTCCTCGATGGTGGGCGTGTCGATGAAGATGAGTCGTGGTGATGTCTGAGGGCGATGGCATTCGACGTTGACTAAACAAGGCGTCCAAGCAATGGGTCCAGATTGATTGGGAGCTTACCTGGAGCTGTGCTGCCTTGTAGCGCGTAGCATATTGTCTAAGCTACCATTAGGCGGATGCAAACTAGGCCACCAGCTGCCAGCAGTTGGTGGTACGCGATAAGATAACAGCTTCGGGATAACACTTTGAGCGAGCACCGAAATTAGCTAATCACATGCCTTGATCACGTGCAATTATTGAACGGGCAAAATTCAGAGTCTTAATAGTCAATGATTCACGCTCCACTCAAGCCACTATGGGGCTGTACCGGCGCCAAAATTTTAGTCCAGACCTAGTGCCCAAGCGGGATGTTTCCCAATCAGGGCATCGCCCGGCGGCTGCCAGTCCACAGCGCCACGTGAGGGCTGGTCTTGCCTACTCCTGGGGTACTGTACCTACCCGTTTGGTTAGTGGGGAGAGTTGCGATTGCCTGAAATGGTGGGCAGCAGATGGTGGAGTTTTGCTATTCTGGGCAAGGAATCAATTTCCCTTCCCCGTCTTCTGTTTGATTCTGAGACATTCTCCATTTGCGGGTGCTCGCTGACTTCGGTTCGTTGAACTTGCAAGAAAGAAGGTTGGTTGTGGCTCGGTTTCAGGCATGCATCCAGCTTGGCAGCGTCGATCCTCGTCGTGGGTGCTCGCTTACACCCTGCGTCCCGACTCCGTTCTCTACGCCGTCTCCCCCCGTCTCCATTCCGGCATGCTGGGCTATCTTGACCGCCTCGATCAGGGTGATTATCCACCTGTTTCGACCGTGGGAGCTAGCAGGGAATGGAGTCTGCCAATCTGGCCCTTGGCCTCTAAGCAACAGCGCCTCGGAGCATGCCGAGTTTGGGTAATTCTCCTCGTCACTTCTTCCGGCATCGACACTAGCTCCTGGAGCTATGTGAATACGGGGCTGGCTTCAGCTGAATATTTTTCTTCAAGTTCTACCGTGGTCGGCTCGATCTACAGGGATACCGATGGGACGAAGCCGTGGTGGCAATGTCTTGCATGGCATCAAGAGCCGAGCATGCGTCACCACACATATCCCCCTTCCCTCCCCTCCCCTCCCGGAGGGAGAGATGACCGTCAAACTGTGGAATGAATACCACGACCCGCGGATCCCATCGGCGCGGAAGCGAGTGATATGGGACGATCTTAATCGTCTGGCCCGGCTCACGCCGCCAATAGATTGACAATTATGGCCAAACTGTACGGACCCCCCACACCAGAACACGGGAAATCCGTTATTACACAACCAGTCTATGAAATTTCCGAAACCTCCTTTGCCCCAGACCGCCGGCATAACCACCCGGGGATTGGTCGTTGTGATTGCCATGGATGCTGTTGCGTTGACCGCTACGCAGCGACCAACCACCCAAGGTCTGCTTGCCCCTGGTGGCAAGACTAAAATGGACGGCTACTGCCGTGCTGCCGGGACCAGGTCGGTAGCAATCCTCGTTTGCCGCGTGGTTTTGACATGGCGAGGCGGCCGACCCATCTTGCCCAGTCCAGCCCTGTCATGCCGCCAAACAGTACACACCAGCGGTTTGAAATAGCCAGGCGGCTGCCTGGCCCTCGATGTGCCATTTCCCTACTCTACACTATGCTTTCCACTAGCGAACCTCGAATCGCCAACATACAACTGGGTCAATGGGTCTGCTTCCTTAAGTGGCTTTCTGGGGCTAGGGTGAGCCAAGCTAAGTACAATAAGTGTGGGCAAGTATTCTCCAGCGCCCACAAGCGGCCGTTGGATGGTTTCCTCCGACTAGGACACCTCCATCCCCCTTTCATTTTGGCTCTCCTCCTCTCTTTCCCTGCTTCTCATCTCACCTATTTTCGACAATAGCCAGCCGTGGTGGAGGAATGGCGTGTTCTCCTTGAGTCTTTTTAATCCTTGCACATCCATTGCCGCAAGCTATATTTCCCGATCACATCTTTGATCGGGGCACTGAAATATACGCGCTTTGTCACTTGTCATATCAGCTCCGGTTATAACTCATTTCCTCTACTAGGGTCCGCAGCTTGGGAGGGAGACGAAGCGCGGTGCGCGTGTGAGGATCTTCGGCCAGTCCCCGTTGGGAGATTGTCACTCTTCGCCCTAAGATCGCATCCGAGGACCGCTGTTGTCCCACTCTCACGCTCCCGACCTACACCGCACGCCACGGGTAGGCAACCCCCAGCGCCCCATCTGTCATCCGGCCGGTCTTGATCTCGTGGACCGTCTAAATCGCCTGGCCCCCATGCAGAATATTTGAATATCTTGCCCTTAAGCCCTCCGGCCACCCCTCAGCTTTTCTCTTTTGTTTTGTGTTGTTCTTGTCCTGGGCTCTGTCGGAGTCGGACTCACCTCCGGAGTACGGGTCCCCACAAACTCACAGTCTTGCTGGATTAATCTGAAGGCTGCCATAATTCGCTGTGCCTGAATGTGTCTCAGCTCGGGCACCCTTGGACCCATTCAAGGACACTTCTGTAACCTTAGATCGGCTTGCCTGCCGCCGCGCTTTCTAATGTATCCGGCATCTCTACCGTGAGATCTTTCCACGATGAACTCTGGCACCCCGCAACAAACAGCCTCAACCAGCACAAGCTCAGCTTCAACCCAGCCAGGGAGTCACAGGAAAGAGAGAGGTGCTATTGCCGCCCAGGTAAGCAGTCCTGTGAGCGTCCCGAGGGCGCGGGCACAGCTCGCTAATCGAAAATCGCAAATCCCCTCCTGCCCCTTCAAGCATCCCACCTCTTTACATTGCTTTTGAATGCTGAATAATTCACCTCTTTGATCGTCCAATCGTTGTCTCGCACACGACCCTTTCGAGACGGGACTCGCTCCTCTTGGCTCTTACTGATCTAGCGTGCTCCCTTCTAGGCTTGTGACACCTGTAGGAGCAGAAAGCAAAAGTGTGACGAACAGAGGCCACAATGCGGTACTTGCAAGCGGTTCGGGCACGAATGCCGGTATCGAGAACCCCAGCCAACCAAGTACGTGCCGTTCTACTAAGGCATCGCTGTGTCCCTGGCACACACACAGCAGGTCTTTCTGGCGCACCGCCGAGCTGACGCGGTAGACATCTAGGAAAGACAAGACGTTGGTTGAACTCCTAGACAACGTCAAAGGATTGCATGACAAGCTGGACAACCTTGAGCGACGGCTCCCTCTTCACCCGAACTTATTCGGCCAGCCCAGCACCGCGCCCATCGTCACTAACCCTCCCAGCATCTTAGGCTCGGCATCGCTCTCGTCTCTGTCCTTGAACCTGCAGCAGCAGCATCACACAGACACCGCGACTACCGGCAGCGCGTACAGATATGTTTCTGGGGCGCACCAGATGCTGGGGTGGCCGGTGGTCGCGCAAATACTGGAGCCCGCACTGCCCAAGATCCCTCGTTTCAATCTCACTTCGATCGCTCACGAGGGTGTTGCATTGGTCCTCGGGATGGACATGGATGGGTCGACCAACTTTCGCATCCCACCACCAACAACCGCGAACGAGATTGCTGCAGCGACGTCCGGCCTCGACTGGGAAATGATGCAGAGCCTTTGTAGCGCCTTTTTCGACACTTTCAACTGCGCATATCCGATACTGGATCGTCATTTGTTCATGGACAACATCATGCCATCGGCAGTCAAGAACCAGTTCAACGAGCCAACCTCATCTGCACTGACTTATCTGGTTCTTGCTCTGGGCCAGACTGCTATCGAGGGCGTTCAAGGCGCTTCACTTGCTGTTCACCAAGCTCAATCAGGTGGGATATTAGGTTCTTCCCGCGAACAACATCCGGGTTTGGCGCTCTTCAACGCTGCCAGGTCCAAGATGGGTTTCGCGTTCGCCGATTGTACCATCGAGAACATCCAGATTCACGCTCTGGCAGGGTAAGATGTCTTCTGAAGGGTTCCGATCCTCATAGTGAAGTGCAACAACTGACCTGGCACATCGAAGGGTGTATTGTGGCGCGTGCTCCCGACATTTGGTAGGCTTTCCTGTCGCGCACGGACTGCATTTTGACATTTTGACTGACTTGGACGACAGGACCACTGGAGATATCTCACGGCAGCTTCTTCGATTTGTAATGCCATGCTCACCGCGTAAGTAATCCTGCCGAGTGTGTGAAATACCGAATGCTCATTCTTTCGTCAAGAAAACCCTCTATACTTGCTTCACCACGTGCGGAACAGATCCAGAGACTGTATTGGATCTGTGTAATGACAGAAACGTAAGATGCGCCTATCAGTACACTGAACAATATCTGGATAGTTGGAGTTGACTAGTTTCCAGAATATTCAACCTCGAGCTGACGTTGCCGACAACCGGATTGGAGAAACTCGAACATCTAGTTGGTGTACCCGAGTTTGGGAGCACATACTCTCAGGAGGAATACATGGCGAATCAGACCTCTCAGTACCAAGGGCACTTTGTTTCGCAAATTTTCCTTCGGGGCAAAGTCGTGGAATGTCACAATATCCTGAGCAGTGGTAAGTCCAAAATCTGGAATCTAATAGAACGCTGACAAGGGCTGCGTATCGAGAGTAGCCTCTCCGTAGTAGCCTTGGTGAGACTGACCCGAAATTATTCACAGGACCTCTACCAGGCCAGTTCATGTCCCCTACAGCTGAGCCAACTGCCGCATCGTTTCCAGGCACCGTCCGAGAACTAGCCGCTCAGCTTGACCAGCAAATGTTGCTCATCACTACATCTCTCGACGCCGTGCCCATCCCTTATCCCTACACCGACAACATCCACGGCGCTATGCTCCGAACGCGCTACTACCTCGCAAAACTCGTCCTTTATCGACCGTTTATCTTCAAGGCACTACATCACCCGGCACGCATGGTCCAGGAGGATTTCGACGGAGTGGCACAGTGTCTGAGGGCCTGCCTAAAGTGGCCGATCATAGCAGCGCTCTCGAGTAGTCGCAAGAGGCTCATTCCGTGCCTATTATTCTGGACACAAAATATCCTTGGCGCGCTGGTCATTCTGCATCTCTCGAGGCAGGTTCCGATCCTGCTCAATATCCGCACGACACTGTGCGGCGACAGCTTCGAGCTCGAGGCGCGCGAGACGGTAGATTTGTACCTCGAATGGTTGCGGGACCTGAGCCCTGTCGACAGGGCCGCGGAGTGGGCTTGGGACGTGGTGAGCTGCTTGTACCACGTGGAAGAATGAAAAAAGAAAACTACTACTACACCAAAGAGCTTGCATCTTGGAGGGAGTTCAGGGTTAGGAAGGGAGGCTATTTGGGCAGCTAACGAAAAAGCATTAGAAAAAGGGGCAAGGAAGGTCGGACAAAAGTTTTTTGGATTTCTTTTTCTTTCTTTCTTTTGCGTGGAATCAGCAGCGCTTTCAGGCCTCTCGCTTCGTTTCTTTTGCTCATCCTCGACACCCAAAGAAACGCTTACGAAGTACACGCAGACGTAACGATTTCAGCATTTTCATGAGGCGTACGGCATCGCTGTTTAGACGCGCATCCATCTGCATCAACATCATCCATGGCCTTTGAGCGAGCAGGAAGGTGGCGGACGGGGCGGGTTTTTGGTTTTGTTCTTTTTGGGGTTGGTTGGAACAGAGAGATCCCGAATGTGCGGTGAAAAGGGGCGAGGAAGCAAAGACGACTTGGAGCAAGAGGGGATCAACCAAGTGGCTTCTGTTGATCTTGAAGAGTGCGGCAGCCGTAATCACATAAGTTTCAACCCGGAAGTCGAATGTTAATACGAGGCGAGTTGCTGGAAAAATGTTTTGCGAGATGCCGTTTTGATTATCGTAGGTTTTTTCTTCACTCGCAAACACAAAAGCTATATAGGCGTATTTGACAAACTTTCTGCCTTTCGGGCATCGGGTACTGCACCCATTATGCCGAGTTTCGCATAGTGCGAGAAGTAAGGATATTGCCTCATTGTGACACAACCAGCTCGCACACCGGTTTCACGAGCACACTCACCTAGATAGTCCCCTATCTGGGGTTTCAAAAACGTAGCGCCAAAGTGAAACTCACGACGACTAAACCGCGCCATCCTCTTCGATGGGCATTGAGGGCTCTTTTTTCTGCGCATTTCGAGGGGTGGGGTTCTCAATGCTTCCGTGGCAGGGACGGAACCGCCGTGTGACTGGTCGTCCGCGGGGGTACCCTTGCCATCCGGAAAAAGCAAGGGCCACCCGGGCCGGTCGCTGACGTACGCCGCACGCGCCGACCCGGCTCCGGTTCATGGCAGGTCAAAGGACGCGCAAAATCATTGAGTATAAGGGGAGGAGGAAGGATTCTGGTCGGGGGGCCGAATCAGAGATGAGACATACTATAAAATTGTCCGACGCCCGGCCGCGTCGCGCGCGACAGTCCCGAGACGCTATCCACCACGCGCCGGCACGAGACCTCCGTCCTGTCGCTCGGACTAGGTACATACCTCTTCTGGCTGGCAGAACCGGTGTCGACCGACCATTGTTTGTTGGAGAGAACACTCTGCCGTCAATGAGGATCCGCCGTTGACGTTTGACTGTGGATGACGTCACGGAAACCCCGTTTTGTAGATGTAAACGGAGACAACACATTGTGGATATTCCCGGACGCGATGGGAATGGAGATGGTGCCTCAAGTCCCTCCATACTCGAAAGAGATTGACTGGCACTTGTCAAGGGATGTGTTTTACCATCCTTTATGGCAATGATCGCGGTGCAGGATCTGCATCTCCCATATGGGTGAAATGGGTGAAATCGACGCATTCGAAAGCCGTCTCGTGACTCAGGATACTGTTAGCGTGGGCCCGTTTCGCGATAGCTCGATGGTTCTCGTAAGGCACCAGCTATATCCGGCTTGAAAAGCAATGTTTTGTTGAGCACCGCAGTGGGGCGGATGGGCATATCTCGCCGCTCGACATTTTCTCTGCCCCGTCTGCCCCGTCCGCCCTTGTAGGCCAGTCGACACCAGGCGGGACTCCTCTCGGAGGCCCCGTCTCCTGAAGGGGATGGTATGTCGTCAAAAGAGGCTTGCGGGGGCGACTCTGTATCTGATCAGGCACTATACTGGTTTCGCGGCACGGCAACTCCACCAAGCGGTTCCTGTTTCGGCTGTTCAACACGTGCAGAGTCTCTAGTTTGCCGAAGGAATATAGTCGACTATATCTCGCGTCGGCCAACGGCCGAATGGGGTGACGAACTGGCCGCTCGGCCGAGGCAGGGCACCAACATGCGAGGGACAAGACGGGTTCGTGAGAGCGGCGGCGCAAGGTAGAATGATGGCGCGCGACGCTTCATACAAGCTTCGATACTTGCGATCATTACCCATTGTTGTTGGTGCGCACTGACAGTACATATCGTCGTTCTTGGCGTTGGTATGCTGCGCCGCCCGTCCAAAGGATCACCACAACCCCGCCCGCTGGAGAGCAACCTGTTACAACGGCGTGACCCAGAGCTTGCTGACAGGATGCTGCGAGGTCCGACTCGATTGGAAGCCAACCCGTCGATCACAAGATGGACCACCATGCTATGCGTTGGCGACCGCACACGGTTATATAGTCGTGTTGTGAGATCCACCCTATCACGCCGGTTCCCCGTTTGCATGTCTCAGAAGACCCACCCGGCGACGGCGAGTATAGAAATCGCCATCCTGTATGCTCTCCATCTTTATATAAATCGGATTGGAGGTGCCAATTATATTTTGCGATCGTCGTGAGCAAAAGCAGATCCCCGAGACGGTCTGTTCTGCGCGAATGCCGGTGTGGGTCGGCGCCGACAGATGCCATGTTTATCCGAAGCCCGGCGTTTCGCCGAACAATTGTCGGCATCAACGTCGAGGAACCATGATCAGGGGAATTCGTCACACTGGCGGGCGCCGCGCGTCAGACATGCGACCAGAACGCCCACGAGTGTTTGAGACGTTTCGTGCTCGAATGGCAGCACCTGTCTTGATCTGACTTTGGCAAGCAATGGTTGAGAGCCGCCGGCGTTGCCATCTTTTCGGCCAAATAGAAAGGCCATGCTGCTAAATGAACGCGTCTGTGTGTACTGAAGCCTGAATGAGCAATGGCACGTGTCCGATCGGGAATGTAGTCGAGTCGTGCTTGCAGGAGGGGCACTCGGCTGGATCGTCTTGCAGGGCTGGAACCGCTCTGCTCTTTGAATGATCAGTAATCTAGTCAACCATACGAGAAGCCACAGAGGGGTTGGCCGACTTTTTCTTTTTGTGACCGAGAGAGAGAGAGTTCTGGTGCGCCTAAACCACAACAAGGTTGTTCGGCAGTCTCTTGACAACCCTGTTCGGTCGGAACAAGCAATACTCGATCCGAGCGCCGACGAGATGATTGAGGAGACGTGAAGCCTCTCTAAGTGTGATGGATAATGTATTTTTCTCCCTCTGGCACTGTCGAGCAATAGAAGTCATCGAAACTCTCCCCCTATTCTTCAAAGGGCGGCTAAGAGTCGGCTAAGTAGTCCCTCGGGGTTTCCATCGCGCGCCAAAGGCGACAACGATCCGCTATGATCGTAGAGGAGGTATCGGTCTCTGGCACATCGATGCGTAGTCCAGGCAAGTAGCGGTAACGGACGATGTCAGGGCTTCGAAGAACGAGGGAGTTATCGAGAAATAGTTAGGCCCTTTTCGTACGGACGGGTTGTTGCGCGCACGTTCTGCCTCGTATATGACGACAGCTGTCGATTGAGGTCATGGTACAGTGCAGCTCCTTCAAAGTCCGGTTCAAAGAGTGCCAGCAGTACTCCTGAGGACCCCCAGAGGTTGAATCCTAGCTTCGGCCCCTGACGGGAGGTCGAGTCGGTCTCTTTTCGCCGCCCGCTGGAGCCACGCTGCCCTTGGCGGCTTACAGGCTGGAACATGAAGTGCCATGTGCCGACGGCGAAGGGTTGAGGCGATCTTCGTATCGTGTTGTTCGGAGAATATTAACAAGTAATCTTTTCGTCGACGACGAATTTGGAAACAGGATTGGTGGAGCCCCTGTCCCATTACACCCTTTTTCCTGTCAACAGAAACGGCGCTACTTCTGCGGAACAACACGGCCACTGGTCAGCCCTACGTATCATCGCTATGACGCCACCACACAACAGGGTTTTTGCAGAAAGAAGCCAAGCGCAAAGCCAAAGAAAGTTGCAAAAAATGACACCCACAGTATTCGTAGCACGTCATTCCGGCCAGCCTGGTTTTCGCATTTGTAGGACCGTCGTACATTCTCTTGGCCTTGGGCTCGACACGCGCCGCGGCTAGGGCCAATCGGCGATGGGAGAGTACTTGCACAACAACAACGCCGGCGCCCCAGTAGTTGAAACAGAAGCCAGGTAGCGCAGTCTGGAGTCCTGGATTGTAGAAGACGCCCGGCACAGTTTGAACCGAAACTAAGAAGTGATGGAGCGGAGACACTTGGCCAAGAAGAGGCACCCAGCCCGTTACACACATCCCAGTCTCGCTGCGAAGCCAGAGACTACCAACTCCTGGTCTAATTTGATAATACCCTCGTTCCCCGGGTGGGTCATTGACCTTTTGGTGTTGGAAATATCGCTCTGATCAGACCACTTGGGCATCATGAACAAGCCCAGCCCCGATCGGCAGGCCGAACTCGAAGCTGGGATTCGAGGAGACGGCGGCTGGTCGACAGGGATACCATGGGTAAAAGCCTTTCACAATCTCGACATCGGTTGACCTCAAAGAGAGCATCGGTGATCCTTCCGTGAATGGCAAAAAGGCGGATGGGTATGCGCGCAAAATGCGGAGGCCAGATGATGATGCGGAGACGGTTGGGTCGAACCATGCGGACAGAGTGGATATCGAGCCTGGTAGGTAGAAGGCAAGTCTCCTTGACTCGTTCGAACGGGAGGCCTGTTGGTTCCATCTCGGGCCCGGTGGTATGGTGGTTGGGAATCAGAATGTCTTGCATGTCAGACAAGGTCTCGCCCTCCACACCTCCCAGCTGGAATGCTGACAACGTCTTGGGCCAAGGACGATCACCCCCCCTTTTTGGAAGCAAAATGAAGACGAGGAATTCCAGTAAATGACTTGGAGTTGCCAACGTACAAGAAAATCGTGAGCTTTGTCTCACAGTGAGATATGCGAACATGATCGATTGCTTTAGAGCGTGCGAGGCGGGCGAGAATTGCGTGAAATTAGCGAAAACCAGGTAGCCAGCCCAAGAGCGTCGGTGAAGTCGTCCAGACCACCGGTGTGCGGCTAAGCCAGGTAGTTAAGGTAGCAGGTCAGACCGAACCTTGGATCCTGGAATCCGGAGTTTGGAGCCTGGAACCTGGCAGCAGCCAACAACAGCATCCAAGGATCTATGGATCCGATGGCAGGCGCTGTAAACCCTGCCTGAAGGCGCTGGCGTCTTTTGTATGTAGCTGGCAAGCCTGGATGGATATTGGGCCTCCAAAGCCGAAATTTGATGTCGTGGGTGCATGGTCCTCGGTACTGAGGCGCGGTAATTAGTTGCGTTGGTTATAGAGAGCACTTGCTTCGTGTACAGTGCAGGTTCGTCCTGTCTGGGGAAACATTTGGGAGGGCGCCGCCCGGCGGCCCCTTGCACGGGAGACATCGCCTGCCGAATTTACCCTGGTCATGCAACCCTGCGATAGACGCGGCAGGAACTGCGGCCGGTTGGAAGATAGAGTTTGGTTCCTTCTGTAAAGCGGCCAAGCGGCAGAGAGGCGGAGGGCTTGTGCCTGACTCTGAAGTCGTCTGACGTAGTAGATGTAAGACACGGAAACCAGCTGCTTTAATCCATTTGTTGCAATCCTATCTGTTTGATCCCACCCGTTCAATCCTATCCGTGCAAATCTCTCAAGTCGGACCGCCAGCTTTATCCTTTGGCACTGTTTTGACGAGAAGACAAAGCCGCATCTGCCCTTGACTGTCCCTCACGACCACAATTTCGCTGGAGGCACAGGTCTTCCTTACTTTCCTGTCCATGTCTGTCCGTACGATTTCGACTGTCTCTGTTTCGACTTGCATCGAATCCTACGCTCCATATTCTGTTCAGTAGCCGTTCTTGTTTGTATGCCCTGGTTTGAATTCCAAGTCCCCCTGAGCTAACATTCGTCAGGTCGCAATACAGCCTACGACTTCTCAACCGTGAGCAACAGTCACAGCACTGACAAGACCCTCCTCGATTGTGTACGACTTGAGAGAACGATGTGTGACACAGACCTGCCAATTCAAAGACGAGACACAAGCCACATGAGTGGCTGCAGATTATGTCTTGACACTGTGGAAGTTGAGAGTGGCGCACTTGGACCTGCACGACACCCCTGAGCGCTTGGACACACTACCTCTTCCATCGCAAACAATCCTGCGCGTCTTTCAGCTGTGCCTCATCACCTTGGGCCAGGTTTAAGCCAGACATTTACACTCGACACTGGACTGAATTATTGCTAGCTAGTAGATGGTCTTCTTTGTTGGAGCTGCCTCTTTCCATCAGTTAGTATCCATTTGAATGGTCCCTTTGGTTCTGCATCGAGTCCTTCACGGTGTCTATGGCATTACGAGTGATACTTTGCAGATATCTCAATTTTGCGATCCTCTCTACTGCAGGGTCATGCCTCGGATTCATGTCTTGAGGCAAGCCGATGAAAGCTGCTAAGAACCTCTTCCCACAGAAATGCGGCTCCAAGAGTTACTGCGACATCGAAAGTTCCTTCCTTCATACCGATGAACTCCCGGGATACTGTACGGTGGTCACGCATGTAGCGTCTGATACGATGTTCCACCTCACCAGATTAGTTGGCCGCAAGTGTTGGGGGCGTGCGATCGGCCACTGATCTGAGCGACTACATTTGGCTTCAACCAGGGTTTCATCGCTATGGACTACAGTCTAGCGTACCACTTTGCCTCGAACCTAGGTCTGAACTCGTACCTGTCGGCGTTGGGAATCGGTGAGTCACTGGACCTTTAGCATGCGAATGCCTTAAGGCAAGGCCCGGACCCGTTCCCGCTTTCTTCTCTTGCACATCGACACCCCCCTCCGATATGCACGCAGCATTCCTCGACGATCATGTCAAAGAAGCTCGTCATGAACCGGCTCAAACACTGCCTCGGCAAGACCATCGGGAAGCCTACAGAGTCTCTAAACTTTGGCTGGCCTCTTTGTTTCCTATACGCGTCGCGTGTTTCGTGATGACTCTGTTTGGGCTTCTGGCCAGAGGCCGACAGGAGACTAGTTGGCTAGGGTGGCAATGCGGCTCGAAGCTTGACCAAAGACCAGCATCAGCTGCCGACAAGGCTGAAGGTCCAAGCCAAGCAGCGCCCATCAACGAGGCCGATGATGCGGTTGAGCTTGAGGACATCCTAAGACAGGAGGACGGACAGTCACCGGCCGACAATCACCCCGGCCATAGTGCCCAAAGCCCAAAGCCACATCCGCCGTCCACAGCGAGAGCTTTGTGCATCTGGTCGGCCATTATCTGCGGCGTTCTTTGTCCTTTCCTTGATGAAGGCATCATCGCAACAGCAATCCCCCAGATTACTGAGGACTTCCACTCCTTATTAGATATCGGGGTGAGTCTCCAGCCTATCGCAATCTCGAGAAGAGAGAGAGAGAGCTAATATTCAAATAGTGGTACGGATCATCATACCTAATGACACTCTGTGCATCTCAGATCATCTTCGGTCGTTTGTATAGCCTTTTCAACCCTAAGTATGTCTTTGTTCTATCCCTGATCATCTTTGAGGCGGGATCTATTGTTTGTGGCACCAGTTTATCTTCCGAGGCCCTCATCACTGGTAGGGCTGTTGCTGGCTGTGGAGCGGCAGCTGTCATGAGTGGAACAATTGCTCTGTTTGCTGCTGCGCTTCCTCCAGAAAGACTGGCTCTCTACGTCGGAGGCATGGGAATTGTTTACGGACTTGCGGCAGTGCTCGGACCTGTCGTAGGAGGCATCCTCACGAACAGCTCGCTAACATGGAGATGGCAAGTCACGTACCTATAAATATGACCATGGGAAGTTTACCTGACTAATCATACGACCGAGGTCTAGGTGTTTTTATATCAACCCACCCTTCGCGATACCGCCACTGTTGGCTATGTTCACGATTATAAAGATACCCCGACCAGACGAGCAGCAGGATGCCTATACTTGGTGGCAAAAGATGAAGCAACTGGACTACCTGGGGACAGCCTTGGTCTTTGCAGGCATCACATCTCTCATCATGGGCCTTCAATTTGGAGGGTCATCTTATGGGTGGGAGGATGGGCGGACAGTAGGCTGCCTTGTTCTTGCTGCCGTCCTTTTCCTATCCTTTTCTATCTCCCAATGGTGCCTCGGAGAGCGGGCACTTGTGCCACCACGAGTAATTCGAAGGCGAATTGTCATCTTCGGTTCCATCTTCACGTGCTTCCTAGAAGGCGCATTCTTAACCCTGGTCTACTATGTAAGGATAGCGAACTACCATGGGTTTGACCAATCGCGCAACCGCTAACTCTCTGAACAAATAGTTACCTGTTTGGTTCCAAAGCATCCAGGGTATTACAGCCGAAGAATCTGGTAGGCGATATCTCGCGCTGTGCATTCCCTTTATCGTCGCAATCTTCTCAAGTGGCTGGGCCGTTTCGAGGTTTGGCTGGTTTCAACCCTTTATGCTTGGGGGAACAATTCTCGTTTCCCTTGGTTCCGGTCTCCTCTCGACTCTTTCTGCATCATCAAGTCCAAAAGCTTGGATTCTCTACCAGGTACTGGCTGGTGTGGGTATCGGGGCTTCCACAGAGCAGGCTGGTGTTGCAGTGCAGGGCCTGCTGGACGAGGCAGATGCTCCCATAGGCCTTGCTGTTGTCCTGCTGTCACAAAACCTTGGTCCCGCGGTTGGCATCAGTGTTGCCAATGCAGTGTTCACTCGCACACTTACGGCCGGGACGGAGCAGAGGTTTCCTGCTGTGGACCCGAAACGAATCTTGGAGGCGGGAGCTACGTCTCTGAGGCAGATTGTAGACCCGGCTGATGTCACGGATCTCATTACTATATACAACCAAGCTGTCACTCGGGCCTTCGTGGTCGCGGCCGTCATGGGGGCTGCAAGTGTCGCCGGCCTGATTGGCATTGGGATGCAAAGAATTCCTACGAAGGCTTCCTAAGTTGTCTTGCTAGGCCTACAAATACCACATAAGGGATTTTCACAGCCCGAAAGCCAAAGCAAACTCTAGAGGCTCATATCTGTCGTTGACGAGATTAGAGGTTGACCGTGACGCGCGCGCTTGGACCTGCATGACACCCCTGAGCGCTTGGACACACGACCTCTGACGTTACAAACAACCGTGCGCATCTCTCAGCTGTGCTTGCATCGCCTTGGGACTGACTCAGGCCAGACATTGATGCTCGATACTACACGAACTTGTTGCCAGCAAGCAGATGTACTTCTTTGTCGGAGGTGTCTCATCAGATACCCCTCACTGTCCTCCCTTAGCTGCCGAGACCGGTTCTTCTCGATCACGGCCCCTGTTCACCCTGGACATCGACAGGACCAAGCACCGCACCCGAGAGCAACAAGTCTGCTTTGTAAGAGACTGTGAAGCTGTGGTTAAGCGCTCGTCTACAACCATCCCCGGCCCCTCGTACTCTTGGCCCCGGAACCGGCTTGCATCGCCCATCACCCATAGCTGACCCCGCGAAGGAGCCCTGTTGAGGCTCCTGTGTAACAGGGTTCTGGGATGTATGTACTGCTCCCTGTCTGTGGTCAGGGATATCGGTGCCGCTCGGGATGCAACTCTGGTTCGCCTGAACCCTGCACGATTTCACCCAGATTCGATATTGCACCCCGTCCAGGGTTGACCTGCTGGGCGCGCGGCATGTTATCTGTCCTACGGAGGGCGGTGTTCTGGGACCATGGGATCCTGCCCGAACATTGGCACTTCTGTTGCTACACTGGGAAAAGCGACCAGCGGGCGAGGGACAAGTCCGTCGTCCAGATCTCGGTGGATACATCATCGTTGACTTGCATCCAGCGCGCCCCTCCCCCAATGTCCTTGCGTCAATGCGCATCCTGCAGGCGATACCCATGGCATTGATCGCTGCATTAGATCCTGCACGTATTATTAGCATATGCAGCCGCTGAGTGGCTCGACTGTTTTATTCGGAGTGGGGGCAAATGCATTCGACGATCCGCAGCTGGCACCTCCCTCTGCGCGATTGTGAGCTTCACCGCGAAGCAGGTGGGGGGGCCGACAAAAGCACCTCATTGCCATATCATATCCGGCCGGCTCGAACCAACAAGTCTCTTTTTTTTTCTAGTTGGGGGCACCGTGAGTATTCGTCCTGAGTGGAGAACAACAGCATTCGGCCGAAATTACTGCCCTATGTTGGTTCGACGTGTTGGACGCGATGCGGACGACACATTCCGACCTGCAGGGCGCCAGACTCGGAAAGCAGAAACTGGTTTCCTGGACTTGCGGCCACTTCCACATGTCAGTCATCCATTGCTCATCCAGGTGGTGGGCTAGACCGGGTCATTCAGCTTTGTTCAATCTCCATCTGCCAAGCCGATCTGCCTGTTTTGCAACAGAGTGCAGTAGCTCGTCATGCGTTTCGACCTGTGCGCCCCAACGTGTCAGCGCGTTATACTTGGGGCCCAGGAAGAAAAGTCACAAGGAGGCCGAGAGCTCGAGGATGGTTCTTGGTTCTGGCATGTGCACTTCATCCTCGCCGCGCCGCTTTCCTCTTCAGATGAACCCAGCGACTCCAGATCATGGCACTGACGCCTCCGTATCTGAAAACAACGGGCTAGGACCAACGGACACAACATCGATGACCAAGGAACGGACGCACCGGTAGGGTATAGCATCGCTTCGTTATACACCCTTCTCCTTACTCTAGCCTCCTCGCCGGCCCCGCTCAGGAGAGAGAAACCGTCGACGTGCAGGTGATGGGAGGGGCCCTTGTTGCCTGCGCATCGTGGGTCTCGTCACCCAGCGGGCATACTCGGTCGATCGGAGCGCCACCGCTGGACGCACCTCAGCTCACGGATGCACGCAGCGGCTTGATCCTGGGCCGCGGAGCGCGCGGTCAGGCAGGTCCGATGGCGAGACCTACTATCGACCATAGCTGATGCCTGCAGCTGGGCGCACCCTGTCCTTGTTTCCTTCTCCATCCCGTCTAGCAGCCCTGGTAGAAGGTACGCCGGGACTAGCCGCAGTTGCCGAAGACCAAGCATCCCACAAGCCCGGGGAAGGGGCTGCATTAGGGAGGTCGAGGCGGTCCTGACTGAACAGGGCGTTGTACGGACCCTCTCCATCCAAAGTACGTGCAATCTCGGACGGATGCAAGGCATTCGCGGAATCCTACCCATGCTCAGCTTCCACCACGTGTGTACTACAGACGCAGCAAAAGTTGCCGCATCCGTCACTCCTTTGCTTCCGGGGACAGCGTGGCGAACACTCGTCGGGGCGTAGTCTTCGTTCAGGCCAGGCTGTTGCGTAGGCCGGAAAGTCCTTGTCAGCTCTGCTTCGTAAAGCCAAGGCAGGAAGGGTGCACAAGGACTTTGGTATCTGCAGCCAAGTGGCCCTGCCACCTACTGCTCTTCCATCACACCGGACTGTCCAGCTATAGGGCCATCTTGATACACTTTGTCCTCAGTCGTTCCTGATTTAGTTTCCTCCAGGACTGCCTCCCCTGTCAATGGCTGCAATAGATGCTATAGTGGCATGTTGCTGGCCCAAAGCGGACATTTTTTGCCTCCTCTTTTGATGAGGAAAGGACCTGCTGATCTCCCATAATAAGCAACACCACGAGTGTGAGGAGGCCTTTGAGAACATTTTGCTGACGTGGATATTCATCATCGTGTACCCCTCGTCTGTAATCCCGAGACTGCCCAGGCTCATCCCACGCTATTCTTGCCGTCCCGTGCTGATGGTGCTTCTTTCCCGGATCACAAAAGGGTGGCATGGTGGCCGTAGACTGGTCCCTCACTATTTCCCACCGTCACCTGCTATGTTATACCCATTTCAGTTATCATAGAGACGCATACTATAGCCCGGGCGATTTGTGACAACCGGAAAAACGGTGAGGAGTTCGACAGCAGCAAATTATATTACGTCCAATGACCAGTTCCCTCTCTCGAGTTTTGTAGGCACGGTTTTTTGATTACCTATCTAAGATATGCACTTCTATACCGGTGTGAGTAAGATCAATAGTTGGGCGAGGCTCCAATATATTCTGTGACCCCATGACCAAGTTCTGGTGAAAGTGTGATGCTATCAGAGAACCAAATTCACTCCTTCCGGGTCAGGGCAATTACTAAGAGCCCTTGACATCAATATTTCCAAAACGGCTTCACCAATTCGACTCCGCATCTGACCTGCCACCCCCAAAAGCAAGGTTCCCTGACGACCGTTTCGTGTGGTGCCTCTGTTCTGTGTCTGGCATGTATTGTGGAGATTGCCAAGTCTGATTATCACACCAATAGCCAGGGCTTATCACCGAAAAATGACAAGTGAAGACGTTATGGGTTGTTGAAACTTTCTTTTGTGACCATTGTGGTAGATCTGATAGACGGAAAGGGAAACCTTCCGGGTCCTTCCTTTCTAAAAAAACGTATTTATCCTTCCTATTAGTGATTTGGAGAAACGATAATGATCCAAAAACGTACGCGGCATGAGCTGTTCGTCCCCTCCTTGCTCCCCAGGGGTCTACTCATGGTGTGTGTGGGAGCGTGTGCAAATGCTAACCGTGATAGAAAGACGTGTGCGTCAAGAGACAAAACTCCTATTCCTTCATCCTGTAGAACGCCAATCTCCATTGCCTTGAGGATAAAAAAGAAGAAAACCATGATAGATAGACCTGCAAGATACGAGCCAATAGAGACATCATCGTGATGAAGAGAGAAAAAAACCCGCTCATCAACGGGTGGGGCCACAGGGAAAAAATCTCGAGTCCACATTCTTTCGTAAGGACGGGAGCTGGATGAGGTCGACATATGGGACATGGGAAATACCCAGAGTTTCGTCAACGGAGAGAGGCTCCACAAGTCGTGTAGACATTAGAGCTTGGGCGCGATGCTCGTGAAAATTCGTGGTGCACTTTGTGTGCGCGTCCGTGAGTCTGAGGCGTGTTATCGTACAAAGAATCCCCTCTTCCGGGGGAGCGTGTGTCGACGAGCGGTAGTTGGAGGAAGGCCGAGATGCCGATGACATGATCCGCTTGTCAGGAGTCGTTGGGCGCCGCATCTAGGCGAAGCCCCATGGCTGTCCTCAGCCGTGACAGAGTGGACAGTGGCCGGGCAGCATAATGTACCTCTCGTGTGGTCCCTTTGGGCAAGCATGCTTTCGGTTGCCGTCCAGCGAGGTGCGGAAGAAGTGAGCACCTGGGTCCGCACAGGACGTGTAGATGTAGTAGTTCTTGGTGACCTCACACATGATGGGTCTAGTGCAAGCAGCCCAGGTGGAGGACGGTTGAACTTTTGGAGAGAAGAAGACACCCAAAGCCTGGGAAACGTATGAGACGGATGAAGCGTGACAAAGAGTCGTCGACGAGGACAGATAGAGTGAAGCAGGTCAAGGTTGGAGCAGTACGAGGTCTGGAATGCGAGGACGCCGAGGAGGAGAAGTCTGGTTGTAGTCGAGAAGCGCTGTAGTCGACGGCATGCCTCTGCTTTATATGTGCGCCGGAAGGAGTCTGGGGATGGCCAGGATGCAAAGTGCAGGACACCAAGGAGGAGAAGACCGGATATTCTCACTAGGTTGCTTTGTATCGACAAGCTGATGAGACAGGTGATGAGCGAGCCTGGGAGAGGGAGTGATGGGCTTAAGAGCAGATTTAAGAAGCGTAGCAAAAGCAAAGTGATGTTGGCGTTGGCAACGGTGGTGGGTGTAAGTCACATTTAGGCATGAAGAGCAGCCCCATCGCGCGACTGGCCCCAACCTAAAACGGCAACTTGAACAGTGGGGGGGGAATGCGAATGATGATATCTAGTGTCGTCGGCCAGGGCTGGCTGGGTCACTTATACCTATTGGCGGGCTCGTACAAGCGTGTGTGTGTAAGTTCCTGTTCTTCTGTTGCTCCCTCTTTGCCAGGCCCAGATCGCACCACGGTCCAGTGTCCGAAGCGTTTCCGTCTCCCGCGTGGAGACAGCGCTTGGTGCCGG